CCCAAAAATCCCAAATCACCCCAAAACCCCCAAATTCCCCCAAAAAATCCCCCCAAAAATCCCCCAAATCCCAAAAAAATCCCCAAATCCCCCCAGAAAAATCCCAAAATCCCCCCCAAAAATCCCCAAAAAATCCCAAATCCCCCCAAAAACCCCAAAAAATCCCCCCAAAACCCAAAAAAATCCAAAATCACCCCAAAATCCCCAAATCTCCCCGAAATCCCCCAAAATTCCACCCAAAAAACCCCAAAAATCCCCAAATCCCCCCAAAACTCCCAAAAAATCCCAAAAAACCCCCCCCCCCCCAAAACCCCAAATCCCCCCAGAAAAATCCCCAAAATCCCCCCAAAAAAATCCCCAAAAAATCCCAAATCTCCCCTGATATGCCCCAAAAATTCCCAAAAAATCCCAAATCACCCCAAAAACCCCAAATTCCCCCAAAAAAACCCCCAAAAAATCCCCCAAATCCCAAAAAAATCCCCCAAAACCCCCCCCCAAAATCCCAAATCCCCCCCGATATGCCCCAAAAATTCCCAAAAAATCCCAAATCACCCCAAAACCCCCAAATTCCCCCAAAAAATCCCCTAAAAATCCCCCAAATACCCCAAAAATCCCCAAATCCCCCCAGAAAATTTCCCAAAATCCCCCAAAAAATCCCCAAAAAATCCCAAAATCCCCCCAAAAACCCCAAATCCCCCCAGATATCCCCCAGATATCCCCCAAAAATTCCCCAAAAATGCCCAAAAAAATCCCCAAAAACCTCAAATCTCCCCAAAACCCCCCAAAATTCCACCCAAAAAACCCCCAAAAATCGCCCCCAAAAAATCCCCCAAACCCCCCCCAAAAAAATCCCAAAAAAATCCCAAAATCCCCAAAAAAATCCCCCAAAAAAATCCCCAAATCACCCCCAAAATCCCAAAAAATCTCCAAACCCCCCCAAAATCCCAAATCCCCTCAGAAAAATCCCAAAATTCCCCCCAAAAATTTCCAAAAAATCCCAAATCACCCTCAAAAATCCGAAAAATCCCCCAAAAAATCCCAAAATCCCCCAAAAATCCCCCAAAAATCCCCCCCAAAATCCCCCAAATCCCCAAAAAATCCCCAAATCCCCCCAGAAAAATTCCCAAAATCCTCCCAAAAAATCCCCAAAAAATCCCAAATCCCCCCAGATATCCCCAAAAAACCCCCCAAAATGCCAAATCACCCCCAAAACCCCAAATTCCCCCCAAAAATCCCAAAAAAATCCCCAAAATACACCAAAAATCCTAAAATGCCCCCCAAAAAATCCCCCAAAAACCCCAAAAAATCCCAAAAATCTCCAAAAAAATCCCCAAAAACCCCCAAAAAATCCCAAATCACCCCAAAATCCACAAATCTCCCCGAAATCCCCCAAAATTCCACCCAAAAACCCCAAAAACCCCCAAATTTCCCCCAAAATCCCCCCCGGTCTCCCTTCCCCGGCGGTGACGTCACCGATGACGTCATTTCCCGCCATCCTTTTCTCCCGCGGCCATGGCGGAACCCGGAGGTGCGGAAAGGACCCGAAATCGGCGGAATTCACCCCAAAAATGGGGATTTTTGGGGGGAAAAAAATGCGATTTTGGGAAAAAAGGGGGAAAATTGGGATTTTGGGGAGAAAAATGCGATTTTTGGAAGAAAAAATGTGATTTTTTGGGGGGAAAAAATGTGATTTTTCGGGGAAAAAAATGCGTTTTTTGGGGGAAAAATGTGGTTTTTTGGGGAAAAATAATGCGATTTTTGGGGGGAAATCCTGGGATTTTGGGCAAAAAAGGGGGTTTGGGAAAAAAACGGGATTTTTTGGGGGGAAAAAATGTGATTTTTGGGAGAAAAAATGCGATTTTTGGGGGGAAAAAATGTGATTTTTGGTGGGAAAAATGTGATTTTTGGTGGGAAAAAAAAAGCGATTTTTTGGGGAAAACCGCGGGATTTTGGGAAAAAACGGGAATTTTGGGGTGAAAATCGGGATTTTTGGGGAGAAAATGCGATTTTTCGGGGGAAAAAAAAGTGATTTTTGGGGGAAAAAAAAGTGAATTTTGGTGGGGAAAAAAATGCGATTTTTGGTGGGGAAAAAAATGCGATTTTTGGGGGAAAACCGCGGGATTTTGGGAAAAAAGGGGGTTTTGGGGAAAAATCGGGAATTTTTGGGGGGGAAAATGGGGATTTTGGGAGAAAAAATGTGATTTTTTTGGGGAAAAAATGTGATTTTTGGGGGAAAAAAATGCATTTTTTGGGGAGGAAATCCTGGGATTTTTGGGGGAAAACCGCTGGATTTTGGGAAAAAAAAGGGGTTTTGGGGAAAACCGGGAATTTTTGGGGGAAAAAATGCGATTTTTGGGGAAAAAATGCGATTTTTGAGAGAAAAAAATGTGATTTTTCGGGGGGAAAAATGTGATTTTGGGGGGAAAAAATGCGATTTTTTGGGGAAAAATGGGATTTTTGGGGGGAAATCCTGGGATTTTGGGTAAAAAAGGGGGTTTGGGAAAAATCGGGAATTTTGGGGAGGAAATGGGGATTTTGGGGGAAAAAATGTGATTTTTTTGGGGGAAAAAAATGTGATTTTTTGGGGAAAAAAAAGCGATTTTTGGGAGAAAAAATATGATTTTTGGGGGGAAATCCTGGGATTTTGGGATAAAAAGGGGTTTGGGGAAAAAATCGGGAATTTTGGGGGGAAAATTGGGATTTTGGGGGGGAAAATGGGGATTTTGGGGAAAAAAATGTGATTTTTTTGGGGGGAAAAAATGCGATTTTTGGGGGAAAAAATGTGATTTTTGGGAAAAAAAATGTGATTTTTGGGAGAAAAAATGTGATTTTTTGTGGGGGGGAAAATGTGATTTTTGGGGGAAAAAAATGAGATTTTTGGGGGAAAACCGCGGGATTTTGGGAAAAAAAGGGGGTTTGGGGGAAAATCGGGAATTTTGGGGGGGAAAATTGGGATTTTCGGGGGAAAAATGCGATTTTGGGGGAAAAAAAATGCGATTTTTGGGGGGGGGAATGTGATTTTTGGGGGAAAAAATGTGATTTTTTTTGGGAAAAAAAAATGCGATTTTTGGGGGGAAACCGCGGGATTTTGGGAAAAAAAGGGGGTTGGGAGAAAAAACCGGGAATTTTGGGGGGGAAAATGGGGATTTTGGGGAGAAAAAATGTGATTTTTGGGGGAAAAAATGTGATTTTTTGGGGGGGAAAAATGTGATTTTTGGGGGGAAAAAATGCGATTTCTGTGGGAAAACCGCGGGATTTTGGGAAAAAAAGGGGGTTTGAGAAATAATTGGGAATTTTGGGGGGGAAAAAATCGGATTTTTGGGAGAAAATCGGGGATTTTTTGGGGGGAAAAACCGGGATTTTGGGAAAAAAGGGGGTTTGGGAAAAAAACGGGAATTTTTGGGGTGGAAATTGGGATTTTGGGGGGGAAAAATGCTATTTTTTTGGGAGAAAAAAAAGTGATTTTTGGGGGAAAAAATGTGATTTTTGGGGGAAAAATGTGATTTTTTGGGGAAAAAAAATGCGATTTTTGGGAGAAAAAATGCGATATTTGGGGGGAAATCCTGGGATTTTGGGAAAAAAGGGGGTTTGGGAAAAAAACGGGAATTTTGGGGGGGAAATTGCGATTTTGGGGGGAAAAATGCGATTTTTGAGGGAAAAAAAATGCGATTTTTGGGGGCAAATCCTGGGATTTTGGGATAAAAGGGGTTTTGGGGAAAAATCGGGAATTTTGGGGGGGAAAATTGGGATTTTTGGGGAAAAACCGGGAATTTTGGGGGGAAAAAATGCGACTTTTGGGGGGAAAAAAATGCGATTTTTGGGGGAAAAAAAAGTGATTTTTTTGGGAAAAAAATTGTGATTTTTGGGGGAAAAAATGTCATTTTGGGGGGAAAAAATGCGATTTTTGGGGGGGGAAAAATGTGATTTTTGGTGGGGAAAAAAATGCGATTTTTGGAAAAAAAAATGCGATTTTTGGGGGAAAACCGCGGGATTTTGGGAAAAAAGGGGGTTTGGGGAAAAAAACGGGAATTTTTTTGGGGAAAAATTGGGATTTGGGGGGGAAAATGGGGATTTTGGGGGGGGAAAATGTGATTTTTGGGGGGAAAAAAATGCGATTTTTGGGGGAAAACCGCGGGATTTTGGGAAAAAAAGGGGGTTTGGGGGAAAATCGGGAATTTTGGGGGGGAAATTGGGATTTTCAGGGGAAAAATGCGATTTTGGGGGAAAAAAAATGCGATTTTTGGGGGGGGGAATGTGATTTTTGGGGGAAAAAATGTGATTTTTTTTGGGAAAAAAAAATGCGATTTTTGGGGGGAAACCGCGGGATTTTGGGAAAAAAGGGGGTTTGGAGGAAAATCGGGAATTTTGGGTGGGAAAAAATGTGATTTTTGGGGTAAAAAATGAGATTTTTGAGAGAAAAAGTGTGATTTTTTTTGGGGAAAATCCAGGGATTTTTGGGTTAAAAACCTGGGATTGTTTGGGGGGAAAAACCGGAATTTTGGGAAAAAATGGGAATTTTTGGGTTTAAAAACTGGGATTTTGGGGGGGGGAATGGGGATTTTGGGGGAGAAAAATGCGATTTTTTGAGGGAAAAAAAAAGTGATTTTTGGGGGAAAATCTTGGAATTTTGGGGCATAAAATGTGAATTTTGGGGCGTAAAAGGGGATTTTTGGGGGAAAAAAACTGGGAATTTTTTTGGGGAAAAAAAAAAGGATTTTTGGGGGGGGAAATGCAAATTTGGGGGGGAATGGGGATTTTGGGGAAAAATGCGATTTTTGGGGGAAAAAAATCAGATTTTTTGGGGGGAAATGTGGGGATTTTGGGGGGGAAAAAGGGGGATTTTGGGAAAAATTGGAAATTTGGGGGAAAAAAGAGGGATTTTGGCTTAAAAAATGGGATTTTTTTGAGGAAAAAACGGGTTTTTTGGGGGGGATTTGCGGAGAAAAAAAAGATTTTGGGGAAAAAGCAGGAATTTGGGGCGTAAAAAATGCAAATTTTTGGGGGCTGAGGGGATGGGGATTTTGGGGGGAAAATGGGGATTTTTGGGAAAAAATGTGATTTTTTGGGGGGAAAAAGGGATTTTTGGGGGAATAAAAGGGGATTTTTGGGAAAAAGGGAATTTTAGGAGGAAAAATGGGATTTTGGGGAGAAAAATGGGGGTTTTTGGGAGGTCGAGGGGATTTTGGGGTGTCTGATGACCATTTTGGGGTGAAAAATGACAATTTTGTGGTGAAAGTGCCAATTTCAGGGGGGAAAATGCCAATTTGGGGCAAAAAAAGCAAATTTTGGGGTGAAAAATCCAAATTCGGGGTGAAAAATGCCGATTTTGGGGGGAAATGCCAATTTTGGGCAAAAAATGCCAATTTTTGGGGCAAAACTGCCAATTTTGGGGTAAAAATGTCAATTTTGGGGCGATACATAATTTCAGGGGGAAAAATGCCAATTTAGGGGTGAAAAATGCCAATTTTTGGGCAAAAATGCCAATTTCAGTGGGAAAAATGCCAATTTTGGGGTGAAAAATGCCAATTTTGGGGGGGAAAAGGCCAATTTGGGGCAAAAAATGACAATTTTGGGGTGCAAAATCCAAATTCGGGGTGAAAAATGCCAATTTTGGGGCGAAAAATGCCAATTTCAGGGGAAAAATGCAAATCTTGGGGGAAAATGCCAATTTTGGGGTGAAAAATGCCAATTTTGAGGTGCAAAATGTCGATTTTGGGGTGAAAAATGCCAATTTTGGGGCAAAACATAATTTCAGGGGGAAATTGCCAATTTTGGGGTGAAAAATGCCAATTTTGGGGCAAAAAATGCCACTTTTGAGGGAGAAATGCCAATTTCAGGGAGAAAAATGCTAATTTTGGGGTGAAAAATGCCAATTTTGGTGTGAAAAATCCAATTTCTAGTCAAAAAATGCCAATTTTGGGGGAAAAATGCCAATTTTGGGGCAAAAAACGCCAATTTCGGGAAAAAATCCTAATTTTGGGGGGAAAATGCCAATTTGGGGTAAAAAATGCCAATTTTGCAGCGAAAAATGCCAATATAGGTGTGAAAAATGCCAATTTTGGGGTGAAAATGACAATTTTGGGGGAAAAATGCCGATTTTGTGGGGAAAATGCCAATTTTGGGGCAAAAAATGCCAATTTCAGGGTGAAAAATGCCAATTTTGGGGCAAAACATAATTTCAGGGGGAAAATGCCAATTTCGGGGAAAAATGCCAATTTCAGGGCAAAAATGCCGATTTTGGTGTGAAAAATACCAATTTTTGACAAACAGTGACAATTTTGGTGCGAAAAATGCCAATATAGGTGTGAAAAATGCCTATTTTGGGGTAAAAAATGCCAACTTTGGACAAACTGACAATTTTGGGGTGAATAATGCCAATTTTGGGGTGAATAATGCCAATTTTGGTGTGAAAAATGCCGATTTCAGGGCAAAAAATGCCAATTTTGGTGCAAAACATAATTTCACGGGGAAAATGCCAATTTCGGGTGAAAAATGCCAATTCCGGGGGAAAAATGCCAATTTGGAGCAAAAAATGCCAATTTTGGGGCAAAAAAAGCCAATTTTGGGGTGAAAAATGCCAATTTTGAGGTGAAAAATGCCAATTTTGGGGTGAAAAACGCCGATTTGGTGCCAAAACCACCGTAACTCTCTCCCCTCCCCCAGCCCCCGCCGCCCCCTCCCCCCCGGCGCCGCCGCCGGAGCTGCGGCTGATCCTGGAGGAGCTCCGGCAGCTGCGGCAGCGGCAGTTGGTGCAGATGCAGCTGACCCAGGACATCTTCCGCCAACTCCTCCTCTTGGGGGCGCTGGAGACGCCCCAAAAATCCGCCCCGGGGCCGCGTTTCCTTCTGCTGCCGAAACCGCCGCGATCCGGCATCGCCGCCGCCTTGGCGTCCACCTTCGGCAACGTCTCGTCCTTGGCGTCGACGTTGGGTTCTTCGCCGTTGTTGGGGTCGACGTTGGGTTTGACGCCGTCGTTGGGGTCGACGGGGCCGTCGTTGGGGTCAACGTTGAGTTCGACGGCGTCGTTGGGTCCAACGTTGGGTTCTTCATCGTCGTTGGGTCCAAAATTGGGTTCTTCATCTTCGTTGGGTCCAACATTGGGTTCTTCACCATCGTTGGGTCCAACGTTGGGTTCTTCATCATCCTTGAGGTCAACAGGGTCAACGTTGGGTTTGACGTCGTCATTGGGGTCAACGGGGCCGTCGTTGGGGTCAACGTTGAGTTCTTCATCATCGTTGGGTCCAACGTTGGGTTCTTCATCATCGATGGGTCCAAAGTTGGGTTCTTCGCCATCGTTGGGTTCATCATCATCGTTGGGTCCAACGTTGGGTTCTTCTCCATCGTTGGGTCCAACGTTGGGTTCTTCATCTTCGTTGGGTCCAACGTTGGGTTCTTCATCATCATTGGGTTCTTCATCATCAATGGGTCCAAAGTTGGGTTCTTCATCATCCTTGAGGTCAACAGGGTCAACGTTGGGTTCAAAGTTGGGTTCTTCATCATCGTTGGGTCCAAAGTTGGGTTCTTCATCATCCTTGAGGTCAACAGGGTCAACGTTGGGTTCTTCATCGTCTTTGGGTCCAACGTTGGGTTCTTCATCATCTTTGGGTCCAACGTTGGGTTCAACGCCATCGTTGGGTCCAACGTTGGGTTCTTCATCATCCTTGAGGTCAACAGGGTCAACGTTGGGTTCTTCATCATCGTTGGGTCCAACGTTGGGTTCTTCATCATCCTTGAGGTCAACAGGGTCAACGTTGGGTTCTTCACCATCGTTGGGTCCAACGTTGGGTTCTTCATCATCGATGGGTCCAACGTTGGGTTCTTCACCATCATTGGGTCCAACGTTGGGTTCTTCATCTTCGTTGGGTCCAAAGTTGGGTTCTTCACCATCGTTGGGCCCAACATTGAGCTCAACGCCATCGTTGGGTCCAACATTGAGCTCAACGCCATCGTTGGGGTCAACGTTGGGTTCTTCATCATCGTTGGGTCCAACGTTGGGTTCTTCATCATCGTTGGGTCCAACGTTGGGTTCTTCACCATCGTTGGGTCCAAAGTTGGGTTCGACGGCATCGTTGGGTCCAACGTTGAGCTCAACACCATCATTGGGGTCAACGTTGGGCCCAAAGTTGGGTTCTTCATCATTGATGGACCCAACGTTGGGTTCTTCATCATCGTTGGGTCCAAAGTTGGGTTCTTCACCATCGTTGGGTTCTTCGCCATCGTTGGCTCCAACGTTGAGCTCAACGTCATTGTTGGGTCCAACGTTGGGTTCTTCACCATCGTTGGGTCCATCGTTGGGTTCTCCACCATCGTTGGGTTCTTCACCATCGTTGGGTCCAACGTTGGGTTCTTCACCATCGTTGGGTTCTTCACCATCGTTGGGTTCTTCACCATCATTGGGTCCATCGTTGGGTTCTTCACCATCATTGGGTTCTTCACCATCGTTGGCCCCAACGTTGACCGTGACTCCCCCACCGGTCCCGCCGCGGCCCCGTCACGGCTGCGGTTTCTGCGGGAAACCGTTCGGCAGCGCCAGCGCGCGGCAGATCCACCTCCGGTCGCACACGGGCGAACGGCCGTTCCGCTGCGACCTCTGCGGCGGCCGATTCACCACCCGCGGCAACCTCAAGGTGCACCTTCGGCGTCACCGGCAGCGCGGCCGCGGCGACGGCGCCGGGGTGAGAAATGGGGTCATGGGGTCGATTTTTGGGTCATTGGGTCAATTTTGGGTCAATTTTGGGTCAATTTTGGGGTCATCAGGTCGATTTTTGGGTCATTAGGTCCATTTTGGGTCAATTTTGGGTCATTGGGTCAATTTTGGGTCAATTTTGGGGTCATCGGGTCGATTTTTGGGTCATTGGGTCAATTTTGGGTCAAGGTTCGGTCATTGGGTCAAGGTTGGGTCAATTTTGGGTCAAATTTGGGTCAAATTTGGGTCAAGGTTGGGTCATTGGGTCAAGGTTGGGTCAATGGGTCAAATTTGGGTCAATTTTGGGGTCATCGGGTCGATTTTTGGGTCACTGGGTCAAGGTTGGGTCAATTTTGGGTCATTGGGTCATTGGGTCAAATTTAGGTCAAATTTGGGTCATTGGGTCAATTTTGGGGTCATTGGGTCGATTTTTGGGTCATTGGGTCAAGGTTGGGTCATTGGGTCAAGGTTGGGTCAATGGGTCAAATTTGGGTCAAATTTGGGTCATTGGGTCAAGTTTGGGGTCATTGGGTCAATGGGTCAATGTTGGGTCAATGGGTCAAATTTGGGTCAAATTTGGGTCAATTTTGGGGTCATGGGGTCGATTTTTGGGTCATTGGGTCAATTTTGGGTCAATGGGTCAAGTTTGGGTCAATGGGTCAAATTTGGGTCAATTTTGGGTCAAATTTGGGTCATTGGGTCATTGGGTCATCGGGTCGATTTTTGGGTCAATGGGTCAATTTTGGGTCAATTTTGGGTCATTGGGTCAAGGTTGGGTCAAGGTTGGGTCATTGGGTCAAGTTGGGTCAATGGGTCAATTTTGGGTCAATTTTGGGTCAATTTTGGGTCAATTTTGGGTCATTGGGTCAAGGTTGGGGTCATCGGGCCGATTTTTGGGTCATTGGGTCAAGTTTGGGTCAATGGGTCAAGGTTGGGACAAATTTGGGTCATCGGGTCGATTTTTGGGTCATTGGGTCAATTTTGGGTCAAGTTGGGTCATCGGGTTGATTTTTGGGTCATTGGGTCAATTTTGGGTCAAATTTGGGTCAAATTTGGGTCAATCGGTCAAGGTTGGGTCAATTTTTGGGTCATTGGGTCAAATTTGGGTCAATTTTGGGTCAATTTTGGGTCAAGGTTGGGTCAAGGTTGGGTCAGTGGTCACTCAGTGGTCAGTTGGTCACTCAGTGGTCACTCAGTGGTCAGTTGGTCACTCAGTGGTCACTTGGTCACTCTGGGGGGCAGTTGGTCACTCAGTGGTCACTCAGTGGTCACTCAGTGGTCACTCAGTGGTCACTCAGTGGTCACTCAGTGGTCACTCAGTGGTCAGTTGGTCACTCTGTTCCCCCCCCAGGTCTCCCCGGAAGTGGCCACGCCCCCTCCGCCTGGCCCCGCCCCCTCCCGCCGGGGCGACTTCCGGAACATTCCGGGCGGGAATTCTGCAAATTCGGGGGAAAATTCCGCGATTTTGGGACAAAATTCTGGAATTTTGGGGGTGAATTCCTCAAATTTGGGTGGAAATTCCACAGATTTGGGTGGAAATTCCACAGATTTGGGTGGAAATTCCGCCATTTTGGGGCAAAATTCCGCGATTTTGGGGGAAAGTTCTGGAATTTTGGGGGGGAATTCCACAAATTTGGGGGAAAATTCGACAGTTTTGAGGGAAAATTCAGGAATTTTGGGTGGGAATTCTGAAATTCTGGTGGAAAGTTCTTCAAATCTGGACAAGAATTCCTCAAATTTCGGGGAAAATTCCGGAATTTTGGGTGGAAATTCCTCAAATTTGGGTGGGAATTCCTCAATTTCGTGTGAGAATTCCACAATTTTGGGGGAAAATTCCACAATTTTGGGTGACAATTCCTCAAATCCAAGTGGGAATTCCACAATTTTGGGTGCAAATTCCTCAATTTTGGACAGGAATTCCCCAAATTTAGGTGGAAATTCTCCAAATTTTGGCATTAAATCCCCAATTTCAGGCGGAAATTGCCCAAATTTGGATGGAAATTTCCCAATTTTGGGTGAAAATTCCTCAATTTCGGACGGAAACTCCCCAAATTTAGGCAAAAATTCCCCAATTTTAGGTGGAAATCCCCCAATTTCGGGTGGCGGAAACTGCCCAAATTTGGGCGGAAATTCCTCAATTTTGGCTTCAAATTCTTCAATTTTGGGCGGAAATTCCTCAATTTTGGGCGGAAATTCCTCAAATTTAGGCAGAAACCCCCAAAATTTAGGCAGAAATTCCCCAATTTTGGGCGGAAATCCCCCAATTTTGGGTGGAAATTCCTCGATTTTGGATGGAAATTCCCCAATTTTGAGTGCAAATTCCTCAATTTTGGGCGGAAATCACCCAAATTTAGGCAAAAAATCCCCAATTATGGGTGGAAATCCGCCAAATTTAGGCAGAAATTCCCCAAATTTGGGTGGAACCTCCTCAATTTTGGGTTCAAATTTGGGGCGGCTCCGGGAGGAAGAAGAGGAAGAGGAGGATGAAGACATGGGGGGGTCTGAGCCCCCCAAAATATCGGCAGAACCCCAAAATTTCGACGGACGGGGGGAGGTGAGCGCGAAAACCCCAAAATTCCCCAAAATTACCCCAAAATTCCCCCAAAATTCCCCAAAAATTGACATTTTTTGGGGTGTTCACCCCCTTTTCTTCCCCACAGGCGCCCCCAAACCGGAGTTCGAGCCCCGATGGCGGCAAAGGAGACCCCAAAATTCCGGGGGAATAATTTGGGGGTTTGGGGGGGAATTTTTTTCCCCAAAATTCACCCCAAAAATTTGGGGGGGGGGAGATTTTTGGGACACACCCCCAAAATTCCTCTTCTCCCCCACCGCCTCATCAATAAAACCGATTAAAACCCGTGGCTGACCCCTCCCCCCACCTCGTCCCGCGTGTGATTTTGGGGGTGAAGAAGAAAAACGGAACCCCCAAAAATGAAAGAATTCGCCCCAAAAAAATCCGCCCGGCAAAATGGCGGTGCCCTCAACAAAGATGGCGGCGGCGGCGTATTCCCTCATTGCCTACGTAAAATGGCGGTGGTTGCTATGGGAATATGCCCGCAGTCAAAATGGCAGCGGTTGCTATGGAAACCTGCCCGTCGTCAAAATGGCGGCGGTTGCCATGGGAACCCGCCCGTCTTCAAAATGGCGGCGGCGCTTTGCCCATAAAGAAAATGGCTGCCTTCAAAATGGCGGCGCCCGCCGCTCTGCCCTCACCGGGGCTCTAAATCGCCGTCAATCGCTTTTGGATTAAAAGGATTAAAAGACCGAGAGGGCCGCGGTGTCCGTGGGAGCGGCGGGATGGGAATTGCCCCGTTTTAAAGCCGCCGGTTTGCGTGGAAATCGTGAGGGAAAAGCGGGTTCTGCCAGTTTTCAAAATGGCGGGGGAACCAACGTAAATAACGGCGGGTGCCATCACTCAAAATGGCGGGGGCGCCATTAAAATAAAGGCGGATGCCCATACTCAAAATGGCGGCGTTTTCCACGGAAATAACGGCGGCTGCGAGCACTCAAAATAGTGGCGGTCACCATTTAAACAAACGGGAGTGCCCATACGCAAAATGGCGGCGGTTGCCATGGGAACCTGCCCGCCTTCAAAATGGCAGCGCTCGCCACCGTGCCCTCACCGGGGCTCCAAACCGCCGTCGTTCGCTTTTGGATTAAAAGGATTAAAAGGCCTCGAGGGGCGCGGTGTCCGTGGGAGCGGCGGGACGGGAATTACCCGGTTTTAAAGCCGCCGGTTTGCGTGGAAATCGTGAGGGAACGGCGGGTTCTGCCAGCTTTCAAAATGGAAAGGGCACCAACGGAAAAAACGGCGGCTGCCAACACTCAAAATGGCGGCGGGCCATATTAAAATAAAGGCGGGTGCCCATACTCAAAATGGCGACGGCCTCAACGGAAATAACGGCAGGTGCCATCACTCAAAATGGCGGCGGTGCCTATTGAAATAAAGGCGGATGCCCATACTCGAAATGGCGGCGGTCACCACGGAAATAACGGCGGCTGCGAGCACTCAAAATAGTGTCGGTCCCCATTGAAACAAACAAGAGTGCCCATACTCAAAATGGCGGCGGTTGCCATGTGAACCTTCCCGCCTTCAAAATGGCAGCGCTCGCCACCGTGCCCTCACCGGGGCTCCAAACCGGCGTCGTTCGGTTTTGCATTAAAAGGATTAAAAGTCCGGGAGGGGCGCGGTGTCCGTGGGAGCGGCGGGACGGGAATTGCCCGGTTTTAAAGCCGCCGGTTTGCCTGAAAATCGTGAAGGAAGAGCGGGTTCTGCCAGCTTTCAAAATGGAGGGGGCACCAACGGAAATAATGGCGGGTGCCAACACTCAAAATGGCGGCGGTTCCCATTGAAATAAAGGCGGATGCCCATACTCAAAATGGCGGGGGCACCAACGGAAATAACGGCGGGTGCCATCACTCAAAATGGCGGCGGTGCCCATTAAAATAAAGGCGACTGCCCATACTAAAAATGGCGGCAGTTTCCACGGAAATAACGGCGGGTGCCAGAACTTAAAATGGCGGCAGTACCCATTGAAACAAACGGGCTTGCCCACACTCAAAATGGCGGCGGCGGCTTCCTGTTTCCTTTCCCGTTACTTCCGGCCGCTCCCGGTTCCGCTGTCGGGGACCGGGCGGGTCGCGATCGGCGGCTCTGTCGCGACAGGAGCCGCGAGCGGGGCCATGTCGGACACGTGGAGCTCGATCCAGGCGCACAAGAAGCAGCTGGACTCGCTGCGGGAGCGGCTGCGGCGCCGCCGGAAGCGGGACCCGCTGGGAGCCGCCGGTGCGGGCAGGAAGGGGTTAATGATGGGGGTTAGGGGGTAATTAATGGGTTAATCAGAGGTAATTAGGGGTTAATGAGGGGGGAAGGGGTGATTAACAGGGGTAATTAGGGGGAAAGAGGGATTAAAGTGGTTAATGAGGGGGAAAATGGGATATTAGGGGTTAAAGAGGGTAATTAATGAGGTTAATGAGGGGTAATTAGGGGTTAATGAGGGGGGAAGGGGTGATTAACAGGGGTAATTAGGGAGAAAATGGGAAATTAGGGGTTAGTGAGGGGGATTGGGGTAATTAATGAGGGTAAAGGGGGTAATTAGGGATTAATGAGGGGTAATTAGAGGTTAATGAGGGGGGAAGGGGTGATTAACAGGGGTAATTAGGGGGAAAGAGGGATTAAAGGGGTTAATGAGGGGGAAAATGGGAAATTAGGGGTTAGTGAGGGGGGATGGGGTAATTAATGAGGGGTAATGAGGGGTAATTAGGGGTTAATGAGGGGGGAAGGGGTGATTAACAGGGGTAATTAGGGGGAAAGAGGGATTAAAGGGGTTAATGAGGGGGAAAATGGGAAATTAGGGGTTAATGAGGGGGGATGGGGTAATTAATGCGGTTAATGAGGGGTAATTAGGGGTTAATGAGGGGGGAAGGGGTGATTAACAGGGGTAATTGGGGGGAAAATGGGAAATTAGGGGTTAGTGAGGGGGTGGGGTAATTAATGAGGTTAATGAGGGGAAATTAGGGGATAGGGAGGGGGGAAGGGGTGATTAACAGGGGTAATTAGGGGGAAAGAGGGATTAAAGGGGTTAATGAGGGGGAAAATGGGAAATTAGGGGTTAATGAGGGGTAATTAATGGGGTTAATGAGGGGTAATTCGGGGTTAATGAGGGGGGAAGGGGTGATTAACAGGGGGAATTAGGGGGAAAGAGGGATTAAAGGGGTTAATGAGGGGGAAAATGGGAAATTAGGGGTTAATGAGGGGGGATGGGGTAATTAATGGGGTTAATGAGGGGTAATTAGGGGTTAATGAGGGGGGAAGGGGTGATTAACAGGGGGAATTAGGGGGAAAGAGGGATTAAAGGGGTTAATGAGGGGGAAAATGGGAAATTAGGGGTTAATGAGGGGGGATGGGGTAATTAATGGGGTTAATGAGGATTAATTAGCGGTTAATTGGGGGGATGGGGTAATTAAATGGGTTAATGAGGGGTTGATGGGTAATTAAAGGGTTGATGAGGAAAGGGTTAATGAGGGGGTTAATTAAAGGGATAATAAGGGGGGAATGGGTAATTAACAGGGTTAATGAGGGGTAATTAGGGGTTAATAAGGGGGGAAGGGTACTTAAAGGGATTAATGAAGGGGAATTAGGGATTAATGAGGGGGGAAAGGGTAATTAAAGGGCTTAATGAGGGGGAATTAGGGGTTAATGAGGGGGGAAGGGTAATTAAAGGGCTTCATGAGGGCTAATTAGGGGCTTAATGAGGGCTAATTAGGGGATTAATGAGGGCTAATTAGGGGGTTAATGAGGGCTAATTAGGGGGTTAATGAGGGATAATTAAGAGGTTAATTAAGAACTGGGGGGTAATTAAAAACAGGAATTAATTTCGAACTGGGGGTAAGTAAGAATAGGTGTTAATTATGCCCCTGAGATAATTAGGCATGCATATTAATTAGATGCTAATTACCCCCACAGACCCCTGCCATGACCTCTCCCTGGCCACGCCCCCCCGCACCTCCAGCCCCGCCCCCTCCGGCCCCGCCCCGCCATGCCCCGCCCAGGGGGGCGTGGCCTCGCTCGGCCCCGCCCCCGGCTCCGCCCCCTCCCCCGCCGGGGGTCCCGAGGGGGTCCCGGGGGAGCCCCCGGAGCCGGACCCGGCGCTGGAGCGGCGCCTCCTGCTGCACCTGTCCGACCTGGCCACGCCCCTGCCCGCCGACGCCGCCGCCATCCGCGGGGCCATCGCCGGGGTGAGTGTGGGGGGCGCCCGGGGGCACCTGGGGGCTCACCTGGGCACACACCTGAGCGTGTGGGACACACCTGATTACACCTAGGCACTCACCTGGGCACTCACCTGGGCACTCACCTGGGTGTGGGGGATACACCTGGGCACACCTGGGCACACCTGGGTACACCTGGGTACACCTGGGCACACCTGAGACACACCTGGGCACTCACCTGAGCATGTGGGGCGCACCTGGGCACACCTGAGACACACCTGGATACATCTGAGATACACCTAGGCACACCTGGGCACACCTGGATACACCTGGGCACTCACCTGGATACACCTGGGCACTCACCTGGGCATTGGGGATACACCTGTCCGACCTGGCCCCGCCCCTGCCCACCGACGCCGCCGCCATCCGCGGGGCCATCGCCGGGGTAGGTGTGGGGGGCACCTGGGGGCACCTGGGCATTGGGGACACACCTGGGCACTCACCTGGGGGCACCTGGAGGTAGCTGGGCACTCACCTGGGCACACCTGGGGGCACCTGGATACACCTGGGGGCACCTGGGTACTCACCTGGGCACTCACCTGAGCGTGGGGGATACACCTGGGCACACCTGGGCACACCTGGGTACACCTGGATACACCTGGGTACACCTGGATACACCTGGGTACACCTGGATACACCTGGGCACACCTGGGTACTCACCTGTACAGATACAGACACACCTGGGCAGTCACAGATACACCTGAGGTACATACAGACACACCTGGGGGCACCTGGGGGCACCTGGGCACACCTGGGCACACACCTGTGCATGTGGGACACACCTGGGTACACCTGGGCACTCACCTGGGCACACCTGGATACACCTGGGCATGCCTGGGCACTCCTGGGGGCACCTGGATACACATTAGATACATCTGGGCACACCTGGGCACTCACCTGGGCATGTGGGACACACCTGGGCACACCTGGGTACAGATACAGACACACCTGGGCACTCACAGATACACCTGAGGTACATACAGACACACCTGGGCACACCTGGGCACTCACCTGGATACACCTGGGCATTGGGGACACACCTGGCCACACCTAGGCACACCTGGAGGTAGCTGGGCACTCACCTGGGCACTCACCTCGGCATGGAGGATACACCTGGGCACATCTGGGCACACCTGGGGGCACCTGGGCACACCTGGATACACCTGGGCATTGGGGATACACCTGTCCGACCTGGCCACGCCCCTGCCCGCCGACGCCGACGCCATCTGCGGGGCCATCGCCGGGGTAGGTGTGGGGGGCACCTGGGGCACCTGGGGGCAGCTGGGCACACACCTCGGCACTCACCTGGGCACACCTGGGCACATATAGATACACCTATGGCACACCTGGGCACACCTGGGTACTCACCTGTACAGATACAGACACACCTGGGCACTCACAGATACACCTGAGGTACATACAGACACACCTGGGCACACCTGGGCACTCACCTGGGGGAAGCTGGGCACACCTGGATACACCTGGGCACACCTGGGCCCTCACCTGGGCACACCTGGTCACACGTTGGATACACCTGGGCAGTCACCTGGGCATGGGGGATACACCTGGGCACACCTGGGCACACCAGGGTACACCTGGGCACACCTGGGTACAGATACAGACACACCTGGGCACTCACAAATACACCTGAGGTACATACAGACACACCTGGGGGCACCTGGGCACTCACCTGGGGGCAGCTGGGCACACCTGGATACACCTGGGGGCACCTGGGCACACCTGGGAACTCAACTGGGCATGGGGGATACACCTGGGCACACCTGAGCATGGGGGACACACCTGGGGGCACCTGGGCGCTCACCTGGGCACACCTGGATACACCTGAGGGCACCTGGGCACACCTTGGTACACCTGGGCACTCACCTGGGCACACCTGGGCACTCACCTGGGGGCAGCTGGGCACATTTGGATACACCTGGATACACCTGAGATACACCTGGGCACACCTGGGCACACCTTGGTACACTTGGGCACACACCTGAGCATGTGGGACACACCTGGGAGCACCTGGATACACCTGGGCTTTCACCTGGGCATTGGGGATACACCTGGGTACACCTGGATACACCTGGGCACTCACCTGGGCACACCTGGGCACACCTGGGCATGGGGGACACACCTGGGCACTCACCTGGATACACCTGGGCACACCTGGATACACCTGAGTGCACCTGGGTACTCACCTGGGCACTCACCTGGGCATGGGGGATATACCTGGGCACTCACCTGGGCATTAGGGACACACCTGGGGGCACCTGGGCACACCTGGGATACACCTGAGGACTCACCTGTGTATGGCGGACACGCCTGGGCACACCTGAGACACACCTGGGCTTTCACCTGGGCATTGGGGATACACTTGAGAGCACCTGGATACACCTGGGGGCACCTGGGCACACCTGGGCACACCTGTGTACACCTGAGGACACACCTGAGCATTGGGGACACACCTGGGCACACCTGGCCACACCTGGCCACACCTTGGTACACCTGGGCCCTCATCTGGGCACACCTGGGGCACACCTGGGCACACCTGGGCGCACACCTGGGCCCACAGCCAGTACCCACCACCACCTCAGCTATCCCCAGGTGTGCCCCCCCTTACCCAGGTGTGCCCAGGTGTGCCCAGGTGTGCCCCACCCTTACCCAGGTGTGCCCCAGGTGTGCCCAGGTGTGCCCCAGGTGTGTCCCAGGTGTGCCCTAGGTGTGCCCAGGTGTACCCACCTGCCCTCCCCCCCCCCCAGGACGACGCTCAGGTGACGCTGCGGGCTGTGGAGAGCCTCCTGCACAAATTCGCGGCGCAGGAACTCATCGAGCTGCGCCGGGGGCTGCTGCACGACGGCCCCGCCCTCGTCACCTGCGCCGACCACTCCAAACTGGCCGCCATGGCGGCGGCGGCGTCGTCGTCGGGGCGTCGGCGCGAGGCGGAGCCGGCCGGCGGCGCCGGGGAAGGGAAGGAGGCGGCCAAGAGGTGCCGGAGGACGGCGGCGTCGGCGGCGTCGGACGTGGATTTGGAGATCGAGAGCCTGCTGAGTCAGCAGTCCACCAAGGAGCAGCAGAGCAAGAAGGTGGGAGGATTTGGGGGGGTTCAAGATGGCGGGGTTGAAAAATGGCGGGGTTCTAAGATGGTGGAGTTGCAAAATGGCGGAATTTCAAAATGGCGGAGTTTCAAAATGGCGGCATTTCAAAATGGCCGCATTTTAAGATGGCGGAATTTCAGGTTGGTGGGATTTCAAGATGGCCGCATTTCAAAATGGCCGCCTTTTAAGATGGCGGAATTTCAAGATGGCCGCACTTCAAGATGGCGGAGTTTTAAGATGGCGGAATTTCAAGATGGCCGCATTTCAAAATGGCAGAGTTTTATGGAGGAGGGCGGAGTTTAATCCTGGTGGGTGGGGCTTAATGAGGTGGGTGTGGCTTATAAATGATGGGCGGGGCTTAATAAAAGTGGGTGGAGCCTAAGAACGGCAGGTAGGTAAAATTGTGGCGGTACTGGGCGGGGTTTGATGGAAAATGGGCGGGGCTTAACGAGATGGGAGTGGCTTAATAATAGTGGGTGGGGCATATAAATGGTGGGTGGAGCTTAAGAAAAGTGGGTGGAGCCTAATAAAATCAGGTAGTAAGGAGCCTGGCGGTAATGGGCGTGGTTTAAGCGATGTGGGCGGAGCTTAATGATAATGGGTGGGGTTTTATTATAGTAGGTGGGGTTTAATGAGGTGGGTGGGGCCTAGAAATGATGGGCGGGGCTTAAAAAGTGGGTGGAGCCTAAAAGTGGCAGGTAGGTAAAATTGTGGCGGTAATGGGCGGGGTTTAAGGGCAAATGGGCGGGGTTTAAGGGAGGTGGGCGGAGCTCAATGATATTGGCTGTGGCTTAAGGAAATGGGTGTGGTTTAGGGAGGTGGGCGGGGCTTAAAAGTGGGTGGGGCCTAACAAAAACAGGAAGTGAAGAGCCTGGCGGTAGTGGGCGGGGCTTAACTAATATGGGTGGGGCTTAATGAGGTGGGTGTGGCTTAATAATAGTGGGTGGGGTTTAATGAGGTGGGTGGAGCTTATAAATGATGGGCGGAGTTTAATAAAAGTGGGTGGAGCCTAAGAACGGCAGGTAGGTAAAATCCTGGCGGTAATGGGCGGGGCTTAAGGGAAGTGGGCGGGTTTTATTCTAGTGGGTGGGGCTTAATCGGATAGGAGTGGCTTGATAGTGGTGGGCGGGGTTTAAAATTGTGGGTGGAGCTTATAAATGATGGGCGAGGCTGAAAAAGTGGGTGGAGCCTAAGAACGGCAGGTAGGTAAAATCCTGGCGGTAATGGGCGGAGTTTAAGCGACATGGGCGGAGCTTAACGGGATGGGAGTGGCTTAATAATAGCGGGCGGGGTTTATGGAAGTGGGTGGGGCCTAAAATTATGGGCGGGGCTTAAGAAAAGTGGGTGGAGCCTAATAAAAACAGGAAGTGAGGAGCCTGGCGGTAATGGGCGGGGTTTAAGCAATATATGCGGCGCTTAATGATAATGGGTGGGGCTTAATGAGGTGGGTGGGGCATATAAATAGTGGGCGGAGCTTAATAAAAGTGGGTGGAGCCTAAGAACAGCAGGTAGTTAAAATCCTGGCGGTAATGGGCGGAGTTTAAGAGAGGTGGGCAGGGTTTTATTCTGGTGGGAGGGGCTTAATTGGATGGGAGTGGCTTGATGGTTGTGGGTGTGGTTTAATGAGGTGGGCGGAGCTTATAAATGATGGGTGGGGCTTAATAAAAGTGGGTGGAGCCTAAAAGTGGCAGGTAGGTAAAATCCTGGCGGTAATGGGCGGGGTTTAAAGGAGGTGGGTGGGGTTTAATTCAGGTGGGCGGGGCTTAACAGGATGGGAGTGGCTTGATGGTTGTGGGTGGGGTTTAATGAGGTGGGTGGGGCTTAATAAGAGTGGGTGGGGCTTAATTAAAGTGGGAGGAGCCTAAGAACGGCAGGTAGGCAGAATCTTGGCGGTAATGGGCGGGGTTTGATGGCAAATGGGCGTGGTTTAAGGGAGGTGGGCAGGGTTTAAGGAAATGGGTGTGGCTTAATAATAATGGGTGGGGTTTAGGGAGGTGGGTGTGGTCTAATGAGGTGGGTGGGGCCTATAAATGGTGGGTGGAGCTTAAGAAAAGTGGGTGGAGCCTAATAAAATCAGGTAGTAAGGAGCCTGGCGGTAATGGGCGGGGTTTAAAGGCAAATGGGCGGGGTTTAAGGGAGGTGGGCGGAGCTTAATGATATTGGGTGTGGCTTAAGGAAATGGGTGTGGTTTAGGGAGGTGGGCGGGGCTTAAAAGTGGGTGGGGCCTAACAAAAACAGGTAATGAGGAGCCTGGCGGTAATGGGCGGAGTTTAAGGGGAGGTGGGCGGGGTTTAAAGCAGGTGGGCGGGGTTTATGGCAGGTGGGCGGAGCTTAAAGATAATGGGTGTGGCTTAATAATAGTGGGTGTGGTCTAATGAGGTGAGTGGGGTTTAGGGAGGTGGGTGGGGCTTAAGAAAAGTGGGTGGAGCCTAAGAACGGCAGGTAAATAAAGTCCTGGCGGTAATGGGCGGAGTTTAAGTAAGGTGGGCGGGGTTTTATGGCAAATGGACGGGGTTTAAGGCACGTGGGCGTCGTTTAAGGAGGTGGGCGGGGCTTAAAAGTGGGTGGGGCCTAACAAAAACAGGAAGTGAGGAGCCTGGCGGTAATGGGCGGAGTTTAAAGGAGGTGGGTGGGGTTTAATTCAGGTGGGCAGGGCTTAACAGGATGGGAGTGGCTTGATGGTTGTGGGTGGGGTTTAATGAGGTGGGTGTGGCTTAAGATAAGTGGGTGGGGCCTAACAAAACCAGGAAGTTAGGATCCTGGTGGTAATGGGCGGGGCTTAATGATATGGGCGGAGCTTAATGAAATAGGTGTGGTTTAATGAGGTGGGTGGAGCTTATAAATGGTGGGCGGGGCTTAATTAAAGTGGGTGGAGCCTAAGAACAACGTAGGATGACGTCTGGCGGTAATGGGCGGGGTTTGACGGCAAATGGGCGGGGTTTAAGGGAGGTGGGCGGAGTTTAATGATATTGGGTGTGGCTTAAGGAAATGGGTGTGGTTTAGGGAGGTGGGCGGGGCTCAAGAGATGTGGGTGGAGCCTAATAAAAACAGGAAGTGAAGAGCCTGGCGGTAATGGGCGTGGTTTGATGACAAATGGGCGTGGTTTAAGGTAGGTGGGCGGGGTTAAAATGCAAATGGGCGTGGTTTAACACCGGTGGGCGGGGTTTAAAGGCAAATGGGCGTGGTTTAACGCCGGTGGGCGTGGCCAACAGGTGAGCCAGGAGATCCTGGAGCTGCTGAACACCACGACGGCCAAGGAGCAGTCCATCGTGGAGAAGTTCCGGTCGCGGGGCCGCGCGCAGGTGCAGGAGTTCTGCGACCACGGCACCACCGAGGAGTGCGTCAAGGCCTCGGGCGGGGAGCGGCCCTGCCGCCGCCTGCACTTCCGGTACGCAAAACTTAAATTTTTTGGGGTTAAATTTGGATTTTGGGGCGATTTTCCGGGATTTTGGAGCGATTATTGGGGGGTTTCGAGGTGAATATATTGAATTTTTTTGGGATTTTTGGGGGGTTTAATTCAGATTTTTGGGGTTAAATTTGGATTTTGGGGTGATTATTTGGGGTTTTTGGTTGTCAATAATTGGGGTTTTGAGGTGAATATTTCGGATTTTCAGGGTGGATATTTGGGATTTTTTGGGGTGGATATTTAAGATTTTTTAGGTGAATATTTGGCATTTTTAGGGTCAATATTTGCTGTTTTTGAAGTCGATATTTGGTATTTTTGGGGCGAATATTCGGGGTTTTTGGGGTGGGTATTTGGGGGTTTTGAAGTCGATATTTGTGATTTTTGGGGTGAATATTTGGGATTTTCGGGGTGGATATTTGGGGTTTTGATGTGAATATTTGGGATTTTTGGAGTCGATATTTCGGATTTTTGTAGTGGGTATTTGGGATTTTTGGGGTGGATATTCAGGACTATTTGGGGTCAATATTTGGGGTTTTGGGGCGAGTGCGTCAAGGCCTCGGGCGGGGAGCGGCCCTGCCGCCGCCTGCACTTCCGGTACGCAAAATTCACATTTTTTGGGGTTTAATTACAATTTCGGGGCGATTTTCTGATATTTTGGGGTGAATATATTGAATTTTTGGGGATTTTTGGGGGATTAATTTAGATTTTTGGTGGTTTTTTTGGGGTTTTGGGGTGAATATTTGGGATTTTTGAGATAAATATTTGGGTTTTTTGAAGTCAATATTTGGGATTTTTTGAGGTGAATGTTTAAGATTTTTTTAGGTGAATATTTGGCATTTTTAGGGTGAATATTTGGGATTTTTGAGGCAAATATTTGGGATTTTTTGGGGTGAATATTTGGAATTTTTGGGGTGAATATTTGGAATTTTTGGGGTCGATATTTGGGATTTTTGGAGTGGGTATTTGGGATTTTCACGGTGGATATTTGGGATTTTTGAGGTGGATATTTAGGACTATTTGGGGTCAATATTTGGGATTTTGGGGTGAGTGCGTCAAGGCCTCGGGCGGGGAGCGGCCCTGCCGACGCCTGCACTTCCGGTGCGCAAAATTTGCATGTTTTCGGGTTTAATTCCAATTTTTGGGTATTTATTTGGGGTTTTACAGTGATTAATGGGGGGTTCGAGGTGGTTATTTGGGGTTTTGGGGTGAATATATTGAATTTTTGGGGATTTTTGGGGGGTTTAATTCAGATTTTTCGGGTTAATTTGGGTTTTGAGGTGATTATTTAGAAGTTTTGGTGGATATTTGAATTTTTTTGGGGTTTATTTGGGACTATTTGGGGTTTTTTGGGGTTTATTTGGGATTTTTTGGGGTTTATGTGGGATATTTGGGGTCTATTTGGGGTTATTTGGGTATTTTATTTGGGATTATTTGGGGTTTATTTGGGATTTTTTTAAGTTGATATTTGGGATTTTTGGGGTGGATATTTTGGGTTTTTTGAGGTGAATATTTGGGATTTTTGGGGTGGGTATTTGAGATTTTTGAGGTGAATATTTGGGATTTTTGAGGCGAATATTTGGGATTTTTGGGGTGGATATTTGGGGTTTTTGGTTGTCAATAATTGGGATTTTTGGGTGTATATTTGGGATTTTTTGCGGTGAATATTTAAGACTTTTGAGGTGAATATTTGGAATTTTTGCGGTGAATATTTGGGATTTTCGGGGTGAATATTTGGGATTTTTTGGGTCGATATCTGGGATTGTTGGGGGGAATATTTGGGATTTTTAAAGGAAATATTTGGGATTTCTGAGGTTAATATTTGGGATTTTTGCGGCGAATATTTAGCCTTTTTCAGGGTGAATATTTGCAATTTTCGGGGTGAATATTTAAGATTTTAGGGTGAATATTTGGTTTTTTTGAGGCAAATACTTGGGATTTTTGGGACGAATATTTGGCATTTTTGCGGCGAATATTTGGCATTTTTTCAGTGAATATTTGGGATTTTTGAGGCGAATATTTGGCATTTTTGAGGCGAATATTTGGCATTTTTTCAGTGAATATTTGGCATTTTTGAGGCGAATATTTGGGATTTTTGAAGTTGATATTTGGTATTTTTAGGGTGAATATTTGGGATTTTTTGAAGTCGATATTTGGGCTTTTTTCGGTGAATATTTGGCATTTTTAGGTGAATATTTGGCATTTTGGGGGTGAATATTTGACCTTTTTGAGGCGAATATTTGCCATTTTCAGTGTGAACATTTACAATTTTCTGTATGAATATCTCCCCCCAAACCCCCCTATTATTCCCTCCCCACCCCCAATTTTCCCAAACCCCCCATTTTTCCCCCCAAATCTCCCAACCCAAAACCCCCATTTTTCACCCCAAATCTCCCAAACCCAAAACCCCCATTTTTCACCCCAAATCTCCCCTCACAGCCGCATCATCAACAAGCACACGGACGAGTCCCTGGGCGACTGTTCCTTCCTCAACACCTGTTTCCACATGGACACCTGCAAGTACGTCCACTACGAGATCGACACCTGCGCGGCCACGCCCCCCCGCGGCCCCGCCCCCCCGCGGCCCCGCCCACCCGCGGCCACGCCCCCCGCCCCGCCCCGCGGCGCCCCGCCCGACGCCGGCGCCGACCGCCTCTTCCCGCCACAGGTGAGGAAATAAAATATAATATTAATAATGATAATAATGATAATAAATGGGGGTTTTTGTGGGATTAATGGTGGGTTTTAAAATATTAATGGGGATTTTTTAATATTAATGGGGGTTTTTTTATATTAAATGGGATTTTTTTAATATTAATGGTGGTTTTTTAATATTAAATGTGATTTTTTTAATATTAATGGTGTTTTTTTTGATATTAATGATGATTTTTTAGTAGTAATGGTGGGTTTTTTAATATTAATGACGATTTTTTAGTATTAATGGTGATTTTTTAGTATTATTGGCGTTTTTTTAGATTAAATAGTGGTTTTTTTATATTAATTGGGATTTTTTAGTATTAAATGCAATTTTTTAAATATTAATGGTGGGTTTTTAATATTAATGTTGATTTTTTTAATATTAATGGTGTTTTTTTAATATTAATGGTGATTTTTTATACTAAATGTGGTTTTTTAAATATTAGTGGTGGGTTTTTTAATATTAAATGCGATTTTTTTACATTAATGGTGTTTTTTTGATATTAATGGTGGTTTTTTATATTAATGGTGTTTTTTTATATTAATGGTGATTTTTTTAATATTAATGGTGGTTTTCAAATATTAATGGTGATTTTTTTAATATTAATGGCGATTTTTTAGTATTAATGGTGGTTTTTTAAATATTAATGGTGATTTTTTTGAATATTAATGGTGATTTTTTAGTATTAATGGTGGGTTTTAATATTAATGGTGTTTTTTTAAAAATTAATCGTGTTTTTCTAATATTAATGGTGGGTTTTAATATTAATGGTGATTTTTTTAATATTAATGGTGGCTTCTTAATAGTAATGGTGTTTTTTAATATTAATGGTGTTTTATTAAAAATTAACGGTGGTTTCCTAATATTAATGGCGTTTTTCTAATATTAATGGTAATTTTTATTCAATTAATGGTGATTTTTTATTGTAATAATGGTGATTTTTTAATATTAATGGTTTTTTTTAATATTAAATGCTGCGACATCCGCTACCTGGACGTGTCCATCCTGGTCAACTTCCTGAGACGCCATTACTGATCTATTTCTTTCTCTTTTTAGGTGTTTTTTGCCGTTTTTCGCCATTTTTCGCCATTTTTTGATATTTTAACTGTTTTTGCTCGTTTTTTCCCCGTTTTTTCAGTGGATCTGCTGTGACATCCGCTACCTGGACATGTCCATCCTGAACAACCTCCTGAGACGCCATTACTGACCCAATTCCTTCCCTTTTTAGGTGTTTTTTGCTGTTTATCGCCGTTTTTTGCCGTTTTTCGTCATTTTTCGATATTTTTCCCATTTTTTCTCATTTTTTCCCCGTTTTTTCAGTGGATCTGCTGTGACATCCACTACCTGGACGTGTCCATCCTGAGCAACTTCCTGAGACACCATTAGTGACCCGATTCCTTCCCTTTTTAGGTGTTTTTTGCCGTTTTTCACCATTTTTCGCCATTTTTTGCCATTTTTCCATATTTTTCCCATTTTTCCTCATTTTTTCCCCGTTTTTTCAGTGGATCTGCTGCGACATCCGCTACCTGACCGTGTCCATCCTGGGCAAGTTCCTGAGACACCATTAGTGACCTAATTCCTTCCCTTTCTTGCCGTTTTTCGCCGTTTTTCGCCGTTTTTTGCCATTTTTCGCCATTTTTCGATATTTTAACCGTTTTTTCTCGTTTTTTCCCCGTTTTTTCAGTGGATCTGCTGCGACATCCGCTACCTGACTGTGTCCATCCTGGACAACCTCCTGAGACACCATTACTGACCCAATTCCTTCACTTTTTAGGTGTTTTTTGCCGTTTTTTCGCCATTTTTCGCCGTTTTTAGCCGTTTTTTGATATTTTAACCGTTTTTTCCCCGTTTTTTCAGTGGATCTGCTGCGACATCCGCTACCTGACCGTGTCCATCCTGGGCAAGTTCCTGAGACACCATTAGTGACCCAATTCCTTCCCTTTTTAGTTTTTTTTTGCCGTTTTTCGCCGTTTTTTGCCATTTTTTGCCATTTTTTGATATTTTAACCGTTTTTCCTCATTTTTTCCCCGTTTTTTCAGTGGATCTGCTGCGACATCCGCTACCTGACTGTGTTCATCCTGGAGAACTTCCTGAGACACCATTACTGACTCAATTCCTTCCTTTTCTTGCCGTTTTTTGCCGTTTTTTGCCATTTTTCGCCATTTTTCGCCATTTTTCGATATTTTAACCGTTTTTGCTCATTTTTTCCCCGTTTTTTCAGTGGATCTGCTGCGACATCCGCTACCTGGACGTGTCCATCCTGGGAAAATTCGCCGTGGTGATGGCGGACCCGCCCTGGGACATCCACATGGAGCTGCCCTACGGGACGCTGACGGACGACGAGATGCGGCGCCTCAACATCCCCGTGCTGCAGGACGAGGGGTTCCTCTTCCTCTGGGTCACCGGCAGGTCCCAAAAACCCCCATTTTCACCCCAAAAATCACGAGATTTGCACCCAAAACCCCTGGGATTTACCCCGAATCTGTAGCGATCCCAAAAACCCCAATATTCACCCCAAAACCCCCAAGATTCACCTCAAAAACTCCAAGATTCACCTCAAATCTTTGGGAATTTACCCCAAACCCTTTAGGAGCCGAAAACCCACGAGATTCGCCCCAAAAATAATGAGATTTGTGACCGAAATCCCCAGGATTTACCCCAAATTCGTAGTGATCCCAAAAACCCCAATATTCACCTCAAAAACCCCAATATTCACCTCAAAAACTCCAAGATTCACCTCAAATCTGTGGGGATTTACCCCAAACCCATAAGGAACCCAAAAACCACGAGATTCGCCCCAAAAATCAAGAGATTTGTGACCAAAACCCCCGGGATTTATCCCGAATCTGTAGCGATCCCAAAAACCCCAATAATCACCTCAAAAACCCCAATATTCACCTCAAAAACCCCAAGATTCACCTCAAAAACTCCAAGATTCACCTCAAATCTGTGAGGATTTACCCCAAACCTGAAGAGACCCCAAAAACCCCCAGATTCACCCCAAAAATCACGAGATTTTTGACCAAAACCCCCAGGATTTAACCCAAATCCGTAGCGATCCCAAAAACCCCAATATTCACCCCAAAAATCCCAAGATTCGCCTCCAAACTGTGGGGATTTATTTCAGACCCAAAATCCCAATTTTCCCTGCCCAAAATCCCTATTTCCCTGCCCAAAACTCCAATTTTCCCCAAAAATCCCATTTTTTTCCCTCAAAATCCCAATTTTTCCCCAAAATCCCAATCTTTTCCCCAAAAATCCCAAAATTTTCCCCAAAATCCCAATTTTCTCTACAAAAATCTTAATTTCCTTCACCAAAATCCCAATTTTCCTCCCAAAACCCCGATTTTTCCACCCAAATCCCAATTTCCCCCAAAATATAATTATTTTCCCCAAAAATCTCCAAATTTTCCCCAAAAACCCCAATTTTCTCTACAAAAATCTCAATTTCCTTCACCAAAATTCCAACGTTTCTCCCAAAATCCCATTTTCCCCCTCAAATCCCAATCTCTTCCCCCAAACCCCAAATTTTTCCCCTAAAACCCCAATTTTCCCTCAAAATCCCATTTTCCCCCCCAAAATCCTAATTTTCCACCAAAACCCCAATTTTTCCTCCTAAAACCCCAATTTTCCCTCTCAAATTTCAATTCTTCCCCAAAATTTCCATTTTCTTCCCAAAAATCCCAATTTTCACCCAAAAATCCCAATTTCCCATCCCCAAACCCCAATTTTCCCCCCAAAGTCCCAAATTTTCCCTCTCAAATCCCAATTTTCACCCCAAAACCCCGTTTTTCCCCCCAAAATTTAAATTTCCCTCAAAAATCCCAATTTTCCCCCCAAAATTTAAATTTCCCCCAAAAATCCCAATTTTTTCTCCCCCAAAATCCCATTTTTTTCCCCCATTCCAGGGCCATGGAGCTGGGCCGTGAGTGCCTGAACCTCTGGGGGTGAGATTTTAATTTTTAATTAAATATACCTCCCAAAAAAACCCCAAAACCCCCCCAAAAAAAACCCCAAAAATTTAAAAAACCCAAAAAAACCCAAATTTGGGGCAGGTACGAGCGCGTGGATGAAATAATTTGGGTGAAGACGAATCAGCTGCAGCGTATCATCCGCACGGGCCGGACGGGGCATTGGCTGAACCACGGCAAGGAGCATTGCCTGGTACCAAAATCCCCGAAATTCACCCCAAAAATCCCCAAATATTCACCTGAAAAGTCTTAAATATTCACCCCAAAAATCCCAAATATACGCCTCAAAAATCCCAAATATTCCCCCAAAAAATCCCAAATATTCACCCCAAAAATCCCAAATATTGACCTCAAAAATCCCAAATATCCACCCCAAAAATCCAAAATATTCACCTAAAAAATCTTAAATATTTACCCCAAAAATCCCAAATATTGACAACCAAAAATGCCAAATATTCACCCCAAAAATGCCAAATATTCACCCCAAAAATCCCAAATATTCAGCCCAAAAATCCCAAATATTGACAACCAAAAACCCCAAATATCCGCCCCAAAAATCCCAATTATTCACCTAAAAAATCTTAAATATTCACCCCAAAAATCCCAAATATTGACAACCAAAAATCCCAAATATTCGCCCCAAAAATCCCAAATATTGACAACCAAAAATCCCAAATATTCGCCTCAAAAATCCCAAATATTGACAACCAAAAATCCCAAAATATTCACCTCAAAAATCCCAAGTATTGACAACCAAAAATCCCGAATATTTGCCTCAAAAAATCCCAAATATCCACCCCAAAAATCTCAAATATTGACAACCAAAAACCCCAAATATCCGCCCCAAAAATCCCAAATATTCACCCCAAAAATCCCAAATATTCACCTCAAAAATGCCAAATATTCACCCCAAAAATCCCAAATATTCACCTTAAAAATCTTAAATATTAACCTCAAAAATCCCAAATATTGACAACCAAAAATCCCAAATATTCACCTAAAAAATCTTAAATATTCACCCCAAAAATCCCAAAATATTCACCTAAAAAATTCCCAAATATTCACCCTAAAAATCCCAAATATTCACCCCAAAAATCCCAAATATTTGCCCCAAAAATCCTAAATATTCACCTCAAAAATCCCAAATATTCACCCCAAAAAATCCCAAATATTCACCCCAAAACTGACCCCAAACCCCAGGGGATTTTGGGGGTTTCTGGGTGGATTTTGGGGCAGATTTGGGGGATTTTGGGTATTTGGAGCAGAATTTTGGGGATTTTGGGGCTCTTGGTGAGAATTTGGGGGACTTTGGGGTGGATTATGGGGATTTTGGGGGTTTTGGGGTGGGTTTTGGGGATTTTGGGAGTTTCTGAGTGGATTTTGGGGGTTTTGGTGTAGATTTTGGGAATTTCGGGGGCCTCGGTGGTTTTTGGGAGTTTTAAAGCATTTTTGGGGTATTTTGGGGCAGTTCTGGGTGGATTTTGGGGTGTTTTGGTGTCGTTTTATGGGATGTTGGGGGTTTTGGGGCAATTTTAGGGGATTTTGGGAGTCTCGCTGAGAATTTCGGGGGTTTTGGGACATATTTTGGATGTTTGGGGGCAGATTTTGGGGTTTTGGGACATATTTAGGGGATTTTGGGGTGGGTTTTGGGGATTTTGGGTGTTTTGGGACAGATTTAGGGGTTTGGGGTATTTTGGGGCAGATTTTGGAGATTTTGGGGTTTTGGGACCCCCCAAATTTGCCTCTCCCGCAGGTGGGGGTGAAGGGGAACCCCCAAGGCTTCAACCGGGGCCTGGATTGTGACGTCATCGTGGCCGAGGTGAGACCCCAAATCCGCGGGATTTCACCCCAAAAACCCCACCCCGAAATTCCCACATTTATTCCCCCGATTTCAGGAAATTTAACCCAAAATCAGGAGGTTAAACCCTAAAATCTGGGGGTTAAAAGAGAAAAAACGAGGGTTTGACCCCAAAATCCGGGGGTTTAAACCCCAAAATCTGTGGGTTAGACCCCAAAATCCTCAGGATTTAAACGCAAAATTACCTCATAAAATGGTGAAAAATGAGGAAATTCCCTCAGAAAATGGTGAAAAGTGAGGAAATTACCTCAGGAAAAAAGGCGGGAAAACGAAATCCCCTCAGAAAATGGCGGGAAACCAGAAACCCCCTCAGAAAATGGGAAAAATTAGGAAATTACCTCAGAAAAATGAGAAAAATTAGGGAAATACCTCAGAAAATCATGAAAAGTGAGGAAAATACCTCATAAAATGGTGAAAAATGATGAAATTCCCTCATTAAATGGTGAAAAGTGAGGAAATTACCTCAGGAAAAAAGGCGGGAAAACGAAATCCCCTCAGAAAATGGCGGGAAACCAAAAACCCCCTCAGAAACTGGGAAAAATGAGGAAATTACCTCAGAAAAATGAGAAAAATTAGGGAAATACCTCATAAAATCATGAAAAATGAGGAAAATACCGCATAAAATGGTGAAAAATGATGAAATTCCCTCATTAAATGGTGAAAAGTGAGGAAATTACCTCAGAAAAAAAGGCGGGAAAACTAAATCCCCTCAGAAAATGGCGGGAAACCAAAAACCCCCTCAGAAAATGGGAAAAATGAGGAAATTACCTCAGAAAAATGAGAAAAATTAGGGAAATACCTCAGGAAATGGGGAAAAGTGAGGGAATTGCCTCAGAAAATGGTGAAAAATTAGGAAATTCCCTCATTAAATGGTGAAAAATGAGGAAATTACCTCAGGAAAAAAGGCGGGAAAACGAAATCCCCTCAGAAAATGGTGGGAAACTAAAAACCCCCTCAGAAAATCGGAAAAATGAGGAAATTACCTCAGAAAAATGAGGAAAAATGAGGAAAGTACATCAGAAAATCATGAAAAGTGAGGAAAATACCTCATAAAATGGTGAAAAATGATGAAATTCCCTCATTAAATGGTGAAAAGTGAGGAAATTACCTCAGAAAAAAAGGCGGGAAAACGAAATCCCCTCAGAAAATGGCGGGAAACCAAAAACCTCCTCAGAAAATGGGAAAAATGAGGAAATTACCTCAGAAAAATGAGGAAAATTGAGGAAATTACCTCAGAAAATCATGAAAAATGAGGAAAACACCTCATAAAATGGTGAAAAATGATGAAATTGCCTAATTAAATGGTGAAAAGTGAGGAAATTACCTCAGGAAAAAAGGCGGGAAAACGAAATCCCCTCAGAAAATGGCGGGAAACCAAAAACCCCCTCAGAAAATGGGAGAAATGAGGAAATTACCTCAGAAAAATGAGAAAAATTAGGGAAATACCTCATAAAATGGTGAAAAATTAAGGAATTACCTCAGAAAAAAGGCGGGAAAGGAGAATCCCCTCAAAAAAGGGTGAAAAATGAGGGAATTACCTCAGAAAATCATGAAAAGTGAGGAAATTACCTCAGGAAAAAAGGCGGGAAAACGAAATCCCCTCAGAAAACGGCGGGAAACCAGAAACCCCCTCAGAAAATGGGAAAAATGAAGGAAAAAAAGAGCAAAAAAAAGCAAAAAAAGGGGGAAATGAGTAAAAATTCCTTTTTTTTTTGCCTTTTTGCAGGTGCGCTCCACCAGCCACAAACCCGACGAGATTTACGGGATGATCGAGCGGCTGTCGCCGGGCACGCGGAAAATCGAACTTTTCGGCCGTCCCCATAACGTTCAGCCCAACTGGTAAATCGGGGGTTAAGAGGGGATTTTTGGGGGTTTTTTTTGCATTTTTTGGGGGTTTAAATGGGATTTTTTTTGAGATTTAAATGGGATTTTTGGGGGTTTTTTTGGGATTTTTTTGGGGATTTAAAGGGGATTTTTTTTTAAATTTTAACAGGGATTTTGGGAAATTTAAAGGGGATTATTTTAGGGGTTTAAATGGAATTTTTGGGGGATTTTTTGCGGGGGGTTTTGGGACGTTTCGGGGCGTTTAAAGGGGATTTTTTGAGGGGTTTAAAGGGGATTTTTTTGAAATTTAAAGGGGATTTTTTAAGGGATTTTTGGGGGGATTTTTTTGGGATTTTTGGGGCTTTTTTGGGGGTTTAAAGGGGATTTTTTGTGGGGTTTAAAGGGGGATTTTTTTTTGTTGTTTTTTGGGGGGTTAAAGGGGCCTTTTGGGGGATTTAAATGGGATTATTGGAGTTTTTGGTGACAGAATTTGGTTGGGTTTTTTGGGATGTTTTTGGGGGACTGAATTTGGGGTTTTTTTTTTGGGGGGGGGGTATTTTGGGGTTTTTTTTTTGGGAATTTTTTAGGGATTTTTTTTAGTGTCTGAATTTGGATTTTTTGGGTTTTCTCGGACTGAAATTTGGGGGGTTTTTTGGTGATTTTGTTGGGGTTTTTTTTGATGACTGAATTTGGATTTTTTGGGACTGAAATTTGGGGTTTTTTTTTGTGATCTTTTTTGGGTTTTTTTAGTGTCTGAATTTGGATATTTTGGGTTTTTTGGGACTGAAATTTGGTGTTTTTTTGGGTTTTTTTTTAGTTTTTTTTTTAATGACTGAATTTGGATTTTTTGGGATGGAAATTTGGGGGTTTTTTTTGGTGGTTTTTTTGGATTTTTTTAGTGTCTGAATTTGGATATTTTGTTTTTTTTGGGATTGAAATTTGGTGGTTTTTGGTGATTTTTTTTAAGAGATTTTTTTTAGTGTCTGAATTTAGATTTTTTGTTTTTTTGGGGACTGAAATTTGGGGGTTTTTTTGGTGATTTTTTTGGGTTTTTTTTTGATGACTGAATTTGGATTTTTTGGGACTGAAATTTGGGCGGTTTTTTTGGGTTTTTTTTGGTTTTTTTAGGGATTTTTTGGGTTTTTTTTGGGACTGAAATTTGGGCGTTTTTTGGTGGTTTTTTTGGTTTTTTTTAGGGATTTTTTGGGGTTTTTTGGGACTGAAATTTGGCGTTTTTTGGCATTTCTTGGGGGTTTTTTTTTGGATTTTTTTGGGATTTTTTTTTTAATGACCGGATTTGTATTTTTTGAGTTTTTTGGGACCGAAATTTGATTAATTTTGGTTTTTTTTCCAGGATCACGCTGGGGAACCAGCTGGACGGGATCCACCTGCTGGACCCCGACGTGGTGGCGCGGTTCAAGCAGCACTACCCCGACGGCGTCATCGCCAAGCCCAAGAACCTCTGAGCGCCGCAATTTGGGCCTTTTTTGGGCTTTTTTAGCCTTTTTTTTTAAATTTTATTTGGGTTTTATTTTGGGTCTCATTCGGGGTTTTAGTTGGGATTTTTTCGGGTTTTATTTGGTTTTTTTAGCCATTTTTTCTTTTTTTTTTTCAATTTTTTTGGTTTTTTTTTGGGTCTTATTCAGGATTTTATTTGGGTTTTATTTGGAAATTTTTTTTTGTTTTATTTGGGTTTTTTTAGCCTTTTTTTTGGGGGTTTTTTTGGGTTTTATTCAGGGTTTCATTTGGGATTTTTTTGGGGTTTTATTCGGGGTTTTATTTGGTCTTTTTTAGCCATTTTTGTTGGGTTTTTTTGGGGTTTTTTTGTTTTTTTTGGGGGTCTTATTCGGGGTTTTATTTGGGATTTTTTTGGGTTTTATTTGGGGTTTTATTTGGGGGTTTTTTAGCCATTTTTTGGTGTTTTTTTTCTTTTTTTGGGTTTTTTTTTGGTTATATTTCGGATTTATTTGGGATTTTTTTTTGGTTTTATTTGGGGTTTTATTTGGGGTTTTATTTGGTTTTTTTTAGCCATTTTTTGTTGGGTTTTTTTGGTTTTTTTTTGGGTCTTATTCAGGGTTTTATTTGGGATTTTTTTGGGTTTTATTTGGGTTTTATTTTGGATTTTTTTTGGTTTTATTCGGGGTTTTATTTGGTCTTTTTTAGCCATTTTTTGTGGGTTTTTTTTCATTTTTTGGGGATTTTTTAAAATCTTATTTGGGTTTTATTTGGGATTCTTTTTTTGTTTTATTTGGGGTTTAATTTAGATTTTTTTAGCCATTTTAGCGTGGCAATAAAAGGATTTTTTTGCAAGGAAAGTCTGGTATGTTTTTTTTGGGGGAAAAAAGGTGGAAAATGGTTCTGGATGCCAAAAAAATTGAAAAAAAATGTGAAAATGAGGAAAAAATGGTGAAAGTTATGGAAAAAAGGTGAAAATGAGGAAAATATGGTGAAAATTATGAAAAAAGGGTGAAAATGAGGAAAAATTGTGAAAATTTGGGAAAAAAGTGAAAATGAGGGGAAAATAGTGAAAATTGTGGGAAAAATGTTCAAAAGGGATTTTTTGGGTCTAAACTGGATTTTTTTGGGTGTAAAGTGGAATTTTTTTGGGCCTAGAAAGGGATTTTTGGATCTAAATTTGATTTGTGTTTTTATTGGATGTTTGAGTCTAAAAATGGGAAGTTTTGAGTCTAAATTAAATTTTTTTGGGTCTGAATGGGATTTTTTTTGAGGCTCGAATGGGATTTTTTGGGTGTAAATTCGATTTTTTTTTTGTGTTTAAATTGGATTTTTTGGTTCTAAATGGGATTTTTTTTGGGACTCGAATGGGATTTTTTGGGTCTAAATTAGATTTTTTTGGTGTTTAAATTGGATTTTTGGGGTTCCAAAGCCATTTTTATGTCCCAAACTGGATTTTTACCAAAGCACAAACCCGAATTTTTCGGTTTCAACCCCAACTTTTGCCATTTCTACCTTTTTTTTTTCCTCAAAATCCTTTTTTTTTAACGATTCCGACGCCGATTTCGTGACTCCTCCTCCCCCCATCCAAACCCCGATTTTGGGGCGAAAACCATAAAAAAAAAGCACAAAAACCGAATGCAGAGATCCCAGCGAGATTTTTAATGCGCCCGAAGCGACCCAAAAAGCCCCAAAATTGCCCCAAAATTTGGGGGGTCTCACTTGACGAAGACGACGTTGCTGCTGCTGCTGCCGGCGCTGCGGGCGGCCAGCCAGGCCAGGAACACGTCCCTGAAACAGAAAAATAACGATTTTGGGGCAAAAAACGACATTTTTGGTCAAAAAGTAAAATTTTGGGTCAAAAAAATGAGATTTTGGGTTAAAAAACGGCGGGTTTGGGTGAAAAAATGGTGATTTTTGGGGCTGGTTTTGAGGGTTTAAAGTGGATTTTTTTGGGGTTTTTCCGGCAGAAATTCCCGATTTTTGTGAGAAATTAGCGTTTTTTGGAGAAATTCCCATTTTAACAGGAGAAATCCCCATTTTTTGTTAGAAATTCCTGTTTTTCTGTCGGAAACCCCATTTTCCAGGAGAAATCCCCAATTTTCCCTTCACAAATCCCAATTTTTTTGCCAAAACCCCCATTTTTTTGGCCAAAAACCCATTTCCATCACCAACCCCCATTTTCCCCCCATTTTTTCCCATTTTTCCCCATTTTTTTCCCCGTTTTTCCCCCGTTTTTATTCATTTTTTCCCGTTTTTTCACATTTTTCCCGTTTTTCGTGTTTTTCCCCATTTTTTCCTGTATTCCCCCATTTTCGCCCATTTTTTCACCGTTTTTCCCCTTTTTTTCACCGTTTTTGCCCGTTTTTTTGCGTTTTCCCCATTTTTCTCACCGGCAGTGGCGCACCAGGCACTCGCTGCAGAACTCCCCATTTTTTCCCCATTTTTCCCCATTTTTTTCCCGTTTTTATCCGTTTTTTCACCGTTTTTACCCGTTATTTCACCGTTTTTTCACCGTTTTTGCCCGTTTTCCCCCGTTTTTCCCCATTTTTCTCACCGGCAGTGGCGCACCAGGCACTCGCTGCTGCAGAACTCCCCCTTTTTCCCCCATTCTTTTAATGTTTTTCACCGTCTTTAGCCGTTTTTCCACCGTTTTTAGCCGTTTTTCCACCGTTTTTCACCGTTTTTTCACCGTTTTTGCCCGTTTTTCCCCATTTTTCCCCATTTCTCACCGGCAGTGGCGCACCAGCCACTTGCTGTGGAACTCCCCTTTTTTTCCCCGTTTTCGACCGTTTTTCCACCGTTTTTAGTCATTTTTTCACCGTTTTTAGCCATTTTTTCACCGTTTTTGCCCATTTTTTTGCTTTTTCACCCCATTTCTCACCGGCAGTGGCGCACCAGGCACTCGCTGCTGCAGAACTCCCCATTTTTAACCCATTTTCGCCCATTCTTTTCATGTTTTTCACCGTTGTTAGGCGTTTTTTCACCGTTTTTCCCGTTTTTTCACCGTTTTTCGCCGTTTTTTCACCGTTTTTTCCCGTTTTTTTCCCCGTTTTTTCCCGTTTTCGCCCCATTTCTCACCGGCAGTGGCGCACCAGGCACTTGCTGCTGCAGAACTCCCCATTTCCCATCACAAACCCCATTTTTACCCCATTTTTGCCATTTTTCCCCGTTTTTACCCGTTTTTTCACCATTTTTCACCGTTTTTTCACCGTTTTTACCCGTTTTTTCCCATTTTTTCACCGTTTTTGCCCGTTTTCGCCCCATTTCTCACCAGCAGTGGCGCACCAGGCACTCGCTGCTGCAGAACTCCCCATTTTTTCCCCATTTTTTCCCCGTTTTCTCACCATTTTTCCCCCGTTTTCTCACCGTTTTTGACCATTTTTTTAACCGTTTTTTCACCGTTTTTCGCCGTTTTTTCACCGTTTTTTCACTTTTTTTGCGTTTTTCCCCATTTTTCTCACCGGCAGTGGCGCACCAGGCACTCACTGCAGAACTCCCCATTTTCCCCCCATTTTCGCCCCGTTTTCACCCATTTTTTCACCGTTTTTCACTGTTTTTTCACCGTTTTTAGCCGTTTTTTCACTGTTTTTGCCCGTTTTTTTGCTTTTTTTCCCCATTTTTCTCACCGGCAGTGGCGCACCAGCCATTTGCTGTGGAACTCCCCTTTTTTTCCCCATTTTCGCCCCTTTTTTCACAGTTTTTAGCCGTTTTTTTACCGTTTTCGGCCGTTTTTCACCGTTTTTTCCCATTTTCCCCCGTTTTTCCCCATTTTCCTCACCGGCAGTGGTGCACCAGGCACTCGCTGCTGCAGAACTCCCCATTTTTCCCCCCATTTTCGCCCATTCTTTTCCCGTTTTTAGTCATTTTTTCACCGTTTTTCACAGTTTTTGCCCGTTTTTTCACCGTTTTTCACCGTTTTTGCCCGTTTTTTTGCTTTTTTTCCCCATTTTTCTCACCGGCAGTGGCGCACCAGGCACTTGCTGTGGAACTCCCCTTTTTTTCCCCTTTTTCGACCGTTTTTTCACCGTTTTTAGTCATTTTTTCACCATTTTTGCCCGTTTTTTCACCGTTTTTTCCCGTTTTTTCCCATTTTTTCCCGTTTTCGCCCCGTTTCTCACCGGCAGTGGCGCACCAGGCACTCGCTGCTGCAGAACTCCTCGTCCCAGTCGCCGCTGGCCACGGGCGCGTTCTCGCAGCCGGCGCGGACGCACCGACCCCGCGGCCACTCGGCCGCGCCCGGCGGCGACTCCGCCACGGCCACCAGCTCCAGGCGCGGCGGCGACGGCACCTGCGACCCAAAATCCCCCTTTTTTAACCCAAATCCTGCTTTTTACACCCTTTTTACACAAATCCCATTTTTTACAGCGTTTTTTTACCCCATTTTTAACCCAATTTTCCCTATTTTTTACCCCATTTCCCTCCCCAAAAATGTCATTTTTTACACCGTTTCCCTCCCAAAAATCTCATTTTTTACCCCATTTCCCACCCAATTTCTTCGCAATTTCCCCTTTTTTTCCCCAAATCCCAATTTTTAACCCTATTCCCCCAAAATCTCATTTTTTACCCATTTCCCACCCCATTTCTTCTCAAGATTGCATTTTTTACCCCAAATCCCATTTTTAACCCCATTTCCCCCCCAAAATCCCATTTCCCCACCCATTTTTACCCCGAATCCCACTTTTTACCCCATTTTTTCCCATTTTACCCAAATTTTTCCCCATATAACCCCCAAATGTTTCCCCAATTTCCCCCTAATTTTTCCCCCAATTTCCCCTCAATTTGTTCCCGATTTTCCCCCAAATTTTCCCCCAATTTCCCCCCATTTTTTCCCCAACTTCCGCACAATTTCCCCCAAATTTCCCCCCAATTTTTCCCCAATTTCCCCCATTTTTTTCCCCAAATCTTTCTCCTCCATTTTTCCCCAATTTCCCCTAAATTTTTCCCCAATTTTCCCTTAATTTTCCCCAATTGTCCCCCAAATTTTTCCCTATTTTTTCCCCAATTTCCCCTCAATTTTTCCCAATTTCCCCCCAAATTTTTCCCCATTTTCCCCCCAATTTCAGCCCAAATTTTTCCCCATTTCCCCCCAATTTTTTCCTGATTTCCCCCTAAATTTTCCCCCATTTTCTCCTTAATTTCCCCCCCATTTTCCCCCAAATTTTTTCCCATTTTTTCCATAATTTCCCCCCATTTTTTCCCCAATTTTTCCCCCCAAATTTTTCCCAATTTCCCCCCAATTTTTCCCCGATTTCCCACCATTTTTTCCCTGATTTCCCCTTAATTTTTCCCCATTTGCCCCCAATTTTTTTTCCCCGATTGCCCCAAATTTCCCCCAATTTTTTTCCTGTTTTTTCCCCAATTTTCCCCCAAAATTTTTCCCATTTTTTCCCAATTTCCCCCCCAATTCCCCCTCACCTGCGGCACCACCACCGGCTCCGCCCCCATCTCTTCCTCCTCCTCCTCCTCCATCTCCTCCTCCTCCTCGGGCTGGGGCCGCCCCTCCCCCCTCTGTGGGGGGGTGGGGGTGGGGGAGGGTGCGGGGTGGGGGAGGGGCAGCGCGTGCAGCGGGGGGAGGGGCAGCACCTTGATCTGCAGGGGGGGGGGCCCCCGCATGGGCTGCAGGGGGGGAGGGGGCGGGGGCGGGGCTTGGGGGGAGGGGCTGCGGTGGGGGAGGGGCTGCGAGGAAGCCACGCCCCCTCCCCCTCCCCCACCAGCCCCTCCCCCACCCCCCGCTGCCCCTCCCCCGCCTCCCCCTCCCCCACCCGCCGCCATTTGCTGGAGGGGGGGGGGGGGGGGGGCCGCGCCCGCGGGGGGGGGGGGGGGGCGGGGGGGGGGGGGGGGGCGGGGCCAGCACGGCCACAAGCCCCGCCCCCGCTGCCGAGGCCACGCCCCCCTGGGCGGTGGCCCCGCCCCCTGGGAGGAGCGTCCGGGCCAGGAGGATTTTGGGGATGGGGGGAGGGGTGGGGGTGGGGGAGGGGCTGGGGGGGGCGGGGGGGGAGGAGGGGGGAGGGGCGGGGGAGGGGGAGGGGTCGGGGTCGGGGGGGTCCGGGGAGGTCTGGGGGGGGAGGGGGGGATGGGGAAAAAACAGAGAAAAATGGGGAAAAAACAGAGAAAAAATGGTTAAAATTGGGGAAAATGGGGAAAAAACAGAGAAAAAATGGTTAAAATTGGGGGAAAATGAGAGGAAAAAATGGTTAAAATGGGGAAATTGGGGGGAAAATGGGGAAAAATGGGGGGAAAACAGAGAAAAAATGGTTAAAATGGGGAAATTGGGGGAAAATGGGGAAAAATGGGGGGAAAACAGAGAAAAAATGGTTAAAATTGGGGAAAATGAGAGAAAAATGGTTAAAAATGGGGAAATGGGGAAAAAGGGGGAAAATGGGAGAAAATGGGGAAAAATGGGGGGAAATGAGAGAAAAAAATGGTTAAAATGGGGAAAAATGAGAGAAAAATGGTTAAAAATGGGGAAAAATGGGGGAAAATTAGAGAAAAAATGGTTAAAATTGGAAAATTGGGAAATTGGGGAAAAAGGGGAAAAATGGGGAAATTGGGGAAAAAGGGGAAAAATGGGGAAATTGGGGAAAAAATTAGAGAAAAAATAGTTAAAAATGGGGAAAATGGGGAAAATGGTTAAAAATGGGAAAATTGGGGGATAATGACAGGAAAAATGGTTAAAATGGGGAAAAATGGGGGAAAATGAGAGAAAAAATGGTTAAAATGGGGAAATGGGAAAATGGGGAAAAATTCAGAAAATTGGTTAAAATGGTGAAAATGGAAAAAAATGGTTAAAATGGGGAAATTGGGAAAATGGGGAAAAGCGGGAAAAATGTGGAAAACAGAAAATGGAAAAATAAGCGGAAAAAGGGGGAAAATGGTTAAAAATGGGAAAATTGGGGAAAAAATTAGGGGAAAAATGGGGGAAATGAGAGAAAAATTGGTTAAAATTGGGAAAATGGGAAAAAGGGGGAAAAGGGAAAAAAGGGGGAAAAAAGGGGGAAAAAGAGAGAAAAAATGGTTAAAATGGGTATTTTTGGAGGTATTTTTGAAATTTTTTCTGGTATTCTTGGGACATTTGTGGAGATTTTTTTGGGATATTTTAGGTAGTTTTTGGAGCATTTTTTGGATATTTTTTAGTATTTTGGGGCCATTTTTGGGAGTATTTTTTTGGGGTATTTAGGGGGTAATTTTGGGCCATTTTGAGGTATTTTTTGAGGTATTTTTGGAATTTTTTTGTATTTTTGGGGGGATTTTGTGATATTTTTGGTGTTTTTGGGGTATTTTTTTGGGTACTTTTGGGATACTTTTTGGTATTTTTGGGCTGGTTTTGGAGGTATTTTTGGGGGTATTTTGGCAATATTTTTGGGGTATTTTGGCAATATTTTTTGTGGTATTTCAGAGGTATTTTGGAATTTTTTTGGCTTTTTGAGGATTTTTTTTTTGTATTTTTGAGGATATTTTTGGGGTATTTTTTGAGGCTTGTTAAAAAAAGTTTTGGGGTATTTTGGGGCGTTTTGGGGGGTATTTTTTGGAGTATTTCTGGGATATTTTTTGGTATTTTTGGGCCATTTTTGAAGTTTTTTTTTGGTATTTTGGCAATTTTTTTTGGGTATTTTGGCGATATTTTTTGGAGTATTTTTTTAGGCTTTTTTTGTATTTTTTGGGGTATTTCGGGGTGTTTTTGGGGTGTTTTGGGGGGTATTTTTTTGAGTATTTCTGGGATATTTTTTTGTATTTTTGGAGATATTTTTGGGGGTTTTTTTGAGGCTTTTTTTGTAATTTTTGGGGTATTTTCGGGTGTTTTGGAGATTTTTTTTGCGTATTTTTTCAAGGTTTTTTTTTGTATTTTTGAGGATATTTTTGGGGTACTTTTTGAGGCTTTTTTTGTATTTTTTGGGGTATTTTGGGGTGTTTTTGGGGGTATTTTTTTGAGTATTTCTGGGTATTTTTTGGTATTTTTGGGCCATTCTTTGATGAATTTTTTGGGGGTTTTTGGGGATATTTTGGGGATATTTTTGGGGTATTTTGGGGTATTTTTGGGTTACCAGGGTGGCTTTGTAGGCCGTCAGAGCTTTCAGGTATTCCTTCTTGGCCGCCTCCGTCTTGCGCTTGTACACCTGAAAAATGGGGTAAAAACGCCGATTTTGGGGTTTCCAGTCCCATTTTGGGGTCCCCAATCCCATTTTGGGGTCTCTAGTCCCATTTTGGGGTTCCCAGCCCAATTTTGGGGTCTCCAGTCCCATTTCGGAGCCATTTTATTCCTGATTTTTCCCATTTTTACCCCGTTTTTTGCAGTTTTTTTGCATTTTTCACCGTTTTTTCCCATTTTTTCCTGTTTTTTCCCCATTTTTCCCCCTGACCTGCTTCTGCTCCTCGCCCAGGGAGTCCCACATGGAGGCCACGACCTTGGACCTCCTTTTCTCCCATTTTTTGTCCTCTTTTACCCATTTTTTTGCCAATATTTCCCTGTTTTTTGCCATTTTTTACCATTTTTTCCCATTTTCTCCCCTTTTCACCCCATTTCTCCCCCTGACCTGCTTCTGCTCCTCGCCCAGCGAGTCCCACATGGAGGCCACGATCTTGGACCTCCATTTTCCCTTATTTTCCCCCATTTTTACCCTGTTTTTACCCCATTTTAACCCATTTTTTGCCATTTTTTCTCATTTTTTCCCATTTTTTCCCCTTTTCACCCCATTTTTTCTGTCCCACCTGCTTCTGCTCCTTACCCAGCGAGTCCCACATGGAGCCCATGACCTTGAACATACTTCTCTCCTATTTTTACCAGTTTTTGGCCTTTTTTTTGCCATTTTTTGCCCATTTTTTCATGTTTTTTCACCTTTTTTCCCATTTTTTCCCGTTTTCACCCCATTTTCCCCCCTGACCTGCTTCTGCTCCTCTCCCAGCGAGTCCCACATGGAGCCCACGATCTTGGACCTCCATTTTCCCCCCTTTTCCCCCATTTTTACCATATTTTTAGCCATTTTCACTCTGTTTTTTGCATTTTTTTACCATTTTTTCCCATTTTCTCCTGTTTTCACCCCATTTTTTCTGTCCCACCTGCTTCTGCTCCTCTCCCAGGGAGTCCCACATGGAGGCCACGATCTTGAACCTTTATTTCCCACCCTTTTCCCCCATTTTAACCCTGTTTTTTGCCGTTTTTTTGCAGGTTTTGCCATTTTTTTACCATTTTTTTGTGTTTTCACCCCATTTTTTCTGTCCCACCTGCTTCTGCTCCTCGCCCAGCGAGTCCCACATGGAGGCCACGATCTTGGACCTCCTTTTCTCCCATTTTTCTCTCACTTTCCCCCATTTTCCCCATTTTTACTCTGTTTTTTGCCATTTTTTCTCATTTTTCACCATTTTTTCAGTGTTTTTTCCCATTTTCACCCAGTTTCTCCCCCTGACCTGCTTCTGCTCCTCGCCCAGCGAGTCCCACATGGAACCCATGACCTCAGACACTCTTTTCTCCCATTTTTCTCTCATTTTCCCCCCTTTTTCCCCATTTTGAACCCATTTTTTTCCGTTTTTAGCCATTTTTTTACCATTTTTTCCTGTTTTTTCCCCATTTTTCTCCCTGACCTGCTTCTGCTCCTCGCCCAGCGAGTCCCACATGGAGCCACGATCTAACTCCAAACCCTCTCAGTTTTTTCCCTCTTTTTCCCCATTTTAACCCCATTTTTATCCTATTTTTAACCATTTTTTCACAGTTTTTTCCCAATTTTTCCCCTTTTCACCCCAAAATCCCATCTCCCACCTGCTTCTGCTCCTCGCCCAGGGAGTCCCACATGGAGCCCATGACCTTGAACATACTTCTCTCCTATTTTTACCAGTTTTTGGCCTTTTTTTTGCCATTTTTATCCCATTTTTCGTCATTTTTTACCGTTTTTTCCCATTTTTCCCCCTTTTCACCCCAAAATCCCATCTCCCACCTGCTTCTGCTCCTCTCCCAGGGAGTCCCACATGGAGGCCACGATCCTGGACCTCCTTTTCTCCCATTTTTCTCTTATTTTCCCCCTTTTTTCCCGCATTTTAACCCTGTTTTTACCAATTTTTACCATTTTTTCACCGTTTTTCCCCATTTTTTCATGTTTTCACCCCATTTTTCCCCCCTGACCTGCTTCTGCTCCTCGCCCAGCGAGTCCCACATGGAGCCCATGATCCTGCACCTTGTTTTCTCCCATTTTGTCCTGTTTTTAGCCATTTTTATTCTGTTTTTGCGTTTTTTTGCCATTTTATCACATTTTTTCCCATTTTTTCGTGTTTTCACCCCAAAATCCCATCTCCCACCTGCTTCTGCTCCTCTCCCAGGGAGTCCCACATGGAGACCACGATCTAAATCCAAACCCTCTCAGGTTTTCCCCATTTTTCCCCTATTTTCACCATATTTTTTGCCATTTTTAGGCATTTTTTACCATTTTTTCACCGTTTTCGCCTGTTTTTACCCCATTTTCCCCCCCTGACCTGCTTCTGCTCCTCGCCCAGCGAGTCCCACATGGAGGCCACAACCTTGGACCTCCATTTTCTCCCATTTTTGCCCCATTTTTATCCCATTTTTAGCTATTTTAACCCATTTTTTCCGTTTTTTCTCATTTTTTACCATTTTTTCATGTTTTCACCCCATTTTTCCTCTCCCACCTGCTTCTGCTCCTCTCCCAGGGAGTCCCACATGGAGGCCATGATCCTGGACCTTCATTTTCCCCCATTTTTAGCAATTTTTTGTCATTTTTCACCATTTTTATCCATTTTTTACCGTTTTTTCCCTTTTTCACCCCATTTTCTCCCCCTGACCTGCTTCTGCTCCTCGCCCAGGGAGTCCCACATGGAGCCATGATCTTGGACACCTCCCATCCCAAAACCCTGGAGTTTCTCCCCATTTTAACCCCATTTATCGCAGTTTTTTGCCGTTTTTCTAATTTTTTGCCCATTTTTTCATGTTTTTTCCCCATTTTTCCCCCTGACCTGCTTCTGCTCCTCGCCCAGCGAGTCCCACATGGAGGCCACGATCTAACTCCAAACCTTCTCAGTTTTTTCCCATTTTTTCCCCATTTTAACCCCATTTTTATCCCATTTTTAGACATTTTTTACCATTTTTTCACCGTTTTCGCCTGTTTTTTCCCCATTTCTCCCCCTGACCTGCTTCTGCTCCTCGCCCAGCGAGTCCCACATGGAGGCCACGATCTTGGAGACCTCCTATCCCAAATCCATCAGGTTTTTCCCCCATTCTTGGCTAGTTTTTTACCATTTTTAGCCATTTTTTTGCAGTTTTTTTCCCAATTTTTCCCCTTTTCACCCCACAATCCCATCTCCCACCTGTTTCTGCTCCTCTCCCAGGGAGTCCCACATGGAGCCCATGATCTTGGACACTCTTTTCTCCCATTCTTGCCCCATTTTTATCCCATTTTTCCCCATTTTTTGGCAATTTTTACCATTTTTTCCCATTTTCTCCCCTTTTCACCCCAAAATCCCATCTCCCACCTGCTTCTGCTCCTCTCCCACCGAGTCCCACATGGAGGCCACGATCTTGGACCTCCATTTTCCCCCCTTTTCCTCCATTTTAACCCCGTTTTTTGCCGTTTTTTCTCATTTTTTTGCCATTTTTGCCCATTTTTTCCTGTTTTCACACCATTTTTTCTCTCCCACCTGCTTCTGCTCCTCTCCCAGGGAGTCCCACATGGAGCCCACGACCTTGGACATTCTTTTCTTTCATTTCTCCCCATTTTTACCATATTTTTAGCCATTTTCACTCTGTTTTTTGCATTTTTTTACCATTTTTTTACCATTTTCTCCCCTTTTCACCCCATTTTTCCTCTCCTACCTGCTTCTGCTCCTCGCCCAGTGAGTCCCACATGGAGGCCACGACCTTGGATCTCCTTTTCTCCCATTTTCCTTAGGTTTTCCCCATTTTAACCCCGTTTTTTGCCGTTTTTTCTCATTTTTTTGCCATTTTTCCCCATTTTTTCATGTTTTCACCCCGTTTTTACTGTCCCACCTGCTTCTGCTCCTCGCCCAGCGAGTCCCACATGGAGCCCACGATCCTGGACCTCCTTTTCTCCCATTTTTTGTCCACTTTTACGCATTTTTTGCTAATATTTCCCATTTTTATCCCGTTTTTTCACTGTTTTTTCCCATTTTTTCGTGTTTTAACCCCAAAATCCCATCTCCCACCTGCTTCTGCTCCTCGCCCAGGGAGTCCCACATGGAGGCCACGATCTTGGACCTCCATTTTCCCCCCTTTTTCCCCATTTTAACCCCGTTTTTAGCCATATTTTGTCAATTTTTACCATTTTTTAGCCATTTTTTCCCATTTTTTCGTGTTTTCACCCCAAAATCCCATCTCCCACCTGCTTCTGCTCCTCGCCCAGTGAGTCCCACATGGAGCCACGATCTTGGACCTCCATTTCCCACCTTTTCCCCCATTTTTACCATATTTTTAGCCATTTTCACTCTGTTTTTTGCAGTTTTTTGCCATTTTTTCACCGTTTTCGCCTGTTTTTTCCCCATTTTTCCTCTCCTACCTGCTTCTGCTCCTCTCCCAGGGAGTCCCACATGGAGGCCACGATCTTGGAGACCTCTCCGAAGGTGGCGTTGGGGTTCTGGCCCTTGATGGCGGCCTGCGTGTCGCGGAAGAAGAGCGCGTAGGCCGACACGGGTTTCTGCGGCTCGTTGGGATCCTTCTTCTTCTTGGCCTTCTTGGGCGGCTTCGGCCGCCGCGGCGCCTCCGGGGGCACCGGCACCGGCACCGGCACCGAAACCGAGCTCGGCGCCGCGGATGGTGGGGACGGGGCGGGGGCTGAGGGCTAAATGGGGAAAAAGTGAAAAAAATGTGAATTTTGGGGTTTTTTTTACAAAAATTTGGAGTTTTCGAAAGGTTTTGGGAGGAAATGTTGAGGTTTGGTCAAGAAAATATCGAATTTTGGAAGGGTTTTGGAGGAAATTTGGGGTTTTTGTCGCAAAAAAATAGAATTTTGGGAGGGTTTTGGTGGAGATTTGGGGTTTTTGTTACAAAAAGTCGGAATTTTGAAGGGTTTTGGAGGAAATTTGGGGTTTTTGTTGTGAAAATATCGATTTTTGGAAGGGTTTTGGAGGAGATTTGGGGTTTTGTTGTGAAAATATCGATTTTTGGAAGGGTTTTGGAGGAGATTCAGGGTTTTCTTTCCCAAAAAAATTAGATTTTCGAGGGGTTTTGGGAGGAAGTTTGGGTTTTTGTCACAAAAAATTGAATTTTGGAAGGGTTTTGGAGGACATTTGGGGTTTTTTCCCAAAAATTCGAAATTTCGAAGGGTTTTGGGAAGAAATTTCAAGCTTTGGTCACAAAAATATCAAGTTTTGGAAGGGTTTTTTTTCCCAAAAAAATCAAAATTTAGAAGGGTTTTGGAGGAGATTTCAGGTTTTTTTCCAAAAAAAATTGGATTTTCGAAGGGTTTTGCGGAGAAATTTGGGGTTTTTTTCCCAAAGAAATCGAAGTTTCAAAGGGTTTTGGGAGGAAATTTCAAAGTTTAGTCCCAAAAATATCGAATTTTAGAAGGGTTTTGCAAAGAAATTTCAAGGTTTTGTCACAAAGATATTGAATTTTGGGAGAGTTTTGGGAGGAGATTCGGGGCTCTTTTCCACAAAAAAATCGGAATTTCGAAGGGTTTTGGGAAGAAATTTGGGGGTTTTGTCCCAAAACTCCTGAATTTTACAAACAGTTTCGGAACAGGATTTTCAGAGCAAAATTCCAAGTTCGGTCCCAAAAATGGCAGATTTTGGAAGGATTTTGGGACAGAATTTTGGGTTTTGGGAGGAAATTCGGAGGTTTCGCCCCAAAACTTCTTCTTGGCCTTCTTGGGCGGCTTCGGCCGCCGCGGCGCCTCCGGGGGTGCCGACACCGGCACCGAAACCGAGCTCGGTGTGACCGACGATGGTGGGGATGGGGCGGGGGCCGAGGGCTGGAGAGAGAGAAATTGCAAAAAAAAGTGAATTTTGGGTTTTTTTTACAAAAATTTGGAGTTTTCAAAGGGTTTTGGGAGGAAATGTTGAGGTTTGGTCAAGAAAATATCGAATTTTGGAAGGGTTTTGTAGGAAATTTGGGTTCTTTTCCCAAAAAAATCAAATTTTAGAAGGGTTTTGGAGAAGATTCGGGTTTTTTTCCCAAGAAAACGAAATTTCGAAGGGTTTTGGGAGGAAATGTTGAGGTTTGGTCAAGAAAATATTGAATTTTGGGAAGGTTTAGCGAAGAAATTTCAAGGTTTGGCCCCAAAAATATTGAAGTTTGGAAGGGTTTTCAGAAGAATTTTGTGGGTTTTATCCCAAAAATATCGAATTTTCAGAGAGTTTTGGCCACAAAAATATCGAATTTTGGGAGGGTTTTGGGAGGACATTTGAGGGTTTTGTCCCAAAGAAATGGAATTTTCGAAGGGTTTTGGGGGAGATTCGGGGTTTTTGTTACAAAAATATCGAATTTTGGAGGGTTTTGGGAGGAAATTTGGGGGTTTTGTCCCAAAAATCTGGAATTTTACGAACGATTTCGAGACAGAATTTTCACAGCAAAATTCCAACTTTGGTCCCAAAAATGGCAAATTTTGGAAGGGTTTTGGGACAGAATTTTGGGTTTTAGGAGGAAATTCGGAGGTTTCGCCCCAAAACGCCTTCTTGGGCGGCTTCGGCCGCCGCGGCGCCTCCGGGGGCGCCGGCACCGGCACCGGCACCGAAACCGAGCTCGGTGTGACCGACGGCGGGGATGGGGCAGCTGTCGATGGCTAAATAGGAAAAAAAAGCAAAAAAAAGGGAATTTTATGGGGAATTTTGAGGGTTTTGGTGCAAAAATAACGATTTTTGGGAGGGTTTTGGACCAAATTTGGGTTTTTGTCATTAAAAAAATCGAATTTTGGAAGAGATTTGGGTTTTGTCCCAAAAAAATCAAATTTTAGAAGGGTTTTGGAGGAGATTCGGGGTTTCTTTTCCAAAAAAAAATCAATTTTTCGAAGGGTTTTGGGAGGAAGTTTGGTTTTTTCCCAAAAAGTCGAAAATTTGAAGGGTTTTGGGAGGAAGTTTGGGTTTTTTCCCAAAAAAATCGAAATTTCGAAGGGTTTTGGAGGAGATTTGGGTTTTGTCCCAAAAATATCGAATTTTAGAAGGGTTTTGGAGGAGATTTGGGGTCTTTGTTGCAAAAAAATGGAACTTTGGAGGGGTTTTGGAGAAGATTTGGGTTTTTTCCCCAAAAAAATCGAAATTTTGAAGGGTTTTGGAGGAGATTCGGGGTTTTTTCCCAAAAATATCGATTTTTAGAAGGGTTTTGGAGGAGATTCAGGGGTTTTGTCGAAAAAGAATTAGATTTTTGAAGGATTTTGCAAACAAATTTCAAGGTTTTGTCCCAAAAATATCGAATTTTGAGAGGGTTTTGTTCACAAAAAATGGCAAAATTTGGGAGGGTTTTGCGAAGAAATTTCAAGGTTTTGTCACAAAGATATTGAATTTTGGAAGGGTTTTGGGAAGAAATTTAGGGGTTTTGTCCCAAAAATATCGATTTTTTGGAGGGTTTTGGGAGGAAGTTTGGGGGTTTAGTCACAAAAATCCCGAATCTCCAGAGGTTTTTGGGATCTCAGAAGGTTTCGGGAGGAAATTCCAAGTTTGGATCCCAAAAATGGCAAATTTTGGAAGGATTTTGGGACAGAATTTTGGGTTTTGGGAGGAAATTCGGATGTTTCGCCCCAAAACTCCTTCTTGGCCTCCTTGGGCGGCTTCGGCCGCCGCGGCGCCTCCGGCGGCACCGGCACCGGCACCGGCACCGAAACCGAGCTCGGTGTGACCGACGACGGTGGGGACGGGGCGGCTGTCGATGGCTAAAGGGGGAAAAATTGCAAAAAACAGTCAATTTTGGGGTTGATTTTACAAAAATATCGATTTTTGGGAGGGTTTTGGAGGAAATATGGGTTTTTTTCCAAAAAAAAATCGATTTCTCAAAGGGTTTTGGAGGAAATTCAGGGTTTTTGTTGCAAAAATATTGAATTTTAGAAGGGTTTTGGAAGAAATTTGGGGGTTTTGTCACAAAAATATCGATTTTTAGAAGGGTTTTGGAGAAGATTTGGGGTTTTGTTGCAAAAAAATCGATTTTTGGAAGGGTTTTGGAGGAGATTCTGTGTTTTTGTACCAAAAAATCGGATTTTCGAAGGGTTTTGGGAGGAAATTTGGGGTCTTTGTTGCAGAAAAATGGAATTTTGGAGGGGTTTTGGAGAAGATTTGGGTTTTTTTCCCAAAAAAATCGAAATTTTGAAGGGTTTTGGAGAAAATTTGGGTTTTTTCCCAAAATAATTGAAATTTCGAAGGGTTTTGGAGGAGATTCGGGGTTTTGGCCCCAAAAATATCAAATTTTTGGAGGGTTTTGGGAGGAAATTTCAAGGTTTTGGCACGAAAATATCGAATTTTGGAAGGGTTTTTTTTCACAAAAAAATTGAAATTTCGAAGGGTTTTGCGAAGAAATTTGGGGGTTTTGCTTGTGAAAATATCGATTTTTGGGAGGGTTTTGGAGGTATTTTGAGGTATTCGGTGCCGATTTTGGGGTATTTTGGCGTGTTTGGTGCTGATTTTGTGGTATTTTGGGGCATTTAGTGCCAATTTTGGGGTATTTGGTGCCGATTTTGTGGTATTTTGGGGTATTTTGACCAATTTTTGTGTATTTTCACCAATTTTGGGGTATTTCGGCCGATTTTTGGGTATTTTGACCAATTTTGGGGTATTTTGGCTGATTTTGGGGTATTTCGGCCCAATTTTTGGGTATTTGGTGACGATTTTGGGGTATTTTGGGGTATTTCAGCCCGATTTCGGGATATTTTGGAGTATTTGGTGCCAATTTTGGGTATTTTGGCCGATTTTTGGGTATTTTGACCAATTTTTGGGGTATTTCGATCAATTTTGGGGTATTTCGGCCAACTTTTGTGTATTTTGACCAATTTTGGGTATTTCGGCCCGATTTCTGGGTATTTGGTTCCGATTTTGGGGTATTTTGTGCCGATTTTGGATATTTTGGGGCATTTAGTGCCAATTTTGGGGTATTTGGTGACGATTTTGTGGTATTTTAGGGTATTTCAGCCAATTTTTGTGTATTTTGACCAATTTGGGGTATTTCGGCCCATTTTGGGTATTTGGTGCTGATTTTGGATATTTTGGGGTATTTTGTGCCGATTTTGGGGTATTTTGGTGTATTTTGACCAATTTTTGGGTATTTTGGCCGATTTTTGTGTATTTTGACCAATTTTTGGGGTATTTTGACAGACTTTTGTGTATTTTGACCAATTTGGGGATATTTTGACCAATTTTGGGGTATTTCGGCCTGATTTTGGGGTATTTGGTGCCGATTTTCGGGTATTTTGGGGCATTTAGTGCCAATTTTGGGGTATTTTTGGCCAATTTTGGGTATTTTGTGGTATTTAGTGCCGATTTTGGGTATTTTGGCCAATTTTTGTGTATTTTGACCAACTTTTGGGTATTTCGTCCCGATTTCTGGGTATTTTGACCAATTTTGAGGTATTTTGACCAATTTTGGGGTATTTGGTGCTGATTTTGGGGTATTTGGTGCTGATTTTGTGGTATTTGGTGCCCATTTTGGGGTATTTTGGGCTATTTTGGTCGATTTTTGTGTATTTTGGCCGATTTTTGTGTATTTTGGCCGATTTCTGGGTATTTCAGCCGACTTTTGGGTATTTTGACCAATTTAGGGGTGTTTCGTCCCGATTTTTGGGGTATTTCGACCAATTTTTGGGTATTTGGTGCCGATTTTGGGGTATTTCGGCCGATTTCGGGGTATTCGGTGCCGATTTTGGCGTATTTTGGGGTATCAGGTGCAGATTTTGGGGTACTTCGGTGTATTTAGTGCCAATTTTGGGTATTTTGGCCAATTTTGGGGTATTTTGACCAATTTTTGGGTATTTCGCCCTGATTTTTGTGTCTTTTGACCAATTTTTGTGTATTTTGACCAATTTTTGGGGTATTTTCGCTGATTTAGGGCTATTTTGGCGCCAATTTTGGGGTATTTTGTGGTATTTCGGCCAATTTTTGTGTATTTCAACCAATTTTTTTAATATTTTGCCCAATTTCCGGTCATTTCCCCCCAATTTCCCCCCGATTTCCCCGTTTCTAACCCCTCACCCTGCGGAACTCCTCGGCCTCCTCGTCCTGCGGGGACCCGGCGGGGGACCCGGCGGCGGCGGGGGCGGGGCTGAGGCCGTGCTCGGGGCTGGGCGTGGCCGCGGGGGCGGGGCCAGGAGGGGCGTGGCCAGGTGAGGGCGTGGCCGAGGCCCCGCCCAGCCCCAGCCCCAGCTGCGAGCTGAGCTCCGATTGGTCGATGGTGGTCAGGGGCGTGGTCAGCGGCGTGGTCAGTTGGGTGGTCAGTTGGGTGGTCAGTTGAGTGGTCAGCGGCGTGGTCAGTGGTGTGGTCAGCGCTCCGGCCGCCCCCAGCAGCGCCGCCGGGCTCAGGGCGCCCAGGGGCACCTCGATGGTCACCGGGGCGCTGGGGGCGAACTGCGAGGCCATGGGGGGGTCCAGCTCCTGGGGGGACAGAAATCGGGGTTATTCCACCCAAAATGTGGGTGTGGACGCAAAAATTTGGGTGTTTAACCTCAAAATATGATTTTTTAACCCAAAATATGGTTATTTAGCCCAAAAATCCGGTTATTTAACCCAAAAATCTGATTTCTTAACCCAAAATATGGTTATTTAACCGAAAAATTCCGCTATTTAACCCCAAAATCTGATTGTTTAACTCAAAATCTGGTTATTTCACCCAAAACGGGGTTGTGGATGCACAAATTCGGGTGTTTAACCCAAAAATCTGATTTTTTTACCCAAAATATGGTTATTTAGCCCAAAAATCCGGTTATTTAACCCCAAAATCTGATTACTTAACTAAAAATACGGTTATTTAACCCAAAAATCCAGTTATTTAACCCAAAAAATGATTATTTAATTCAAAATATGGTTATTTAACCCCAAAATCTGATTACTTAACTCAAAATATGGTTATTTAACCCCAAAATTTGATTATTTAACTCAAAATACGGTTATTTAACCCAAATTACAGTGATTAACCCCAAAATCCTGGGTATTGACCCAAAATACGGTTATTTACCCCAAAATCTGATTATTTAACTCAAAATCCAGTTATTTATCCCCAAAATCTAATTGTTTGACTCAAACTATGGTTATTTAACCCAAATTACAGTTATTGACTGCAAAATCCTGGGTATTGACCCCAAAATGTGGTTATTTAACCCAAAAATCCGGTTATTTAACCTCCAAATCTGATTATTTAACCCAAAATACAGTTATTTAACCTAAAATCCAAATATTAACCCCAAAATCCTGCTAATTGACCACAAAATCCTGGGTATTGACCCCAAAATGTGTTTTTTTAACCCAAAAATCCAGTTGTTTAACCCCAAAATCTGATTATTTAACTCAAAATACGGTTATTTAACCTAAAATCCAAATATTAACCCCAAATACAGTGATTGACCCCAAAATCCTGGGTATTGACCCCAAAATCCGGTTATTTCACCCAAAAATCTGCTTATTTAACCCCAAAATCTGATTATTTAACCCAAAATATGGTTATTTAACCCAAAAATCCGATTTTGGGACCATTCGCAGCCCCATTTTGGGGTTAAATTTCCCCATTTTGGGACCATTCCCAGCCCCATTTTGGGGTTAAATTCCCCCATTTTGGGACCATTTCTCAGCCCCATTTAGGGACCATTCCCATCCAATTTTTAGGGTAAAATCTCCTCATTTTGGGACCATTTCTCAACCCATTTAAGGACTACTCCCATTCAATTTTTAGGGTAAAATCTCCCCATTTTGGGACCATTCCCAGCCCCATTTTTGGGGCTAATTTCCACTCATTTTGGGACTATTCCCAGCCCCATTTTGGGGTTAAATTCCCCCCATTTTGGGAGTTAAATCCCCCCATTTTTTGAGTTAAATCCCCTCCATTTTTGGGACTATTTTCACCGCATTTTTGGGGTTAAATCCCCCCATTTTTGGGATTAAATCCCCTCTATTTTGGGGTTAAATCCCCCCTTTTTTGGGGTTAAATTCCCCCATTTTTGGAACTATTTTCACCCCATTTTTGGGACCATTTCCCCCACATCTTCAGCACTATCCCCACCCAATTTTTAGGATAAAATTCTCCATTTTTGAGGTTAAAAATCCCAATTTTTTTGTTAAAAAATGCCATTTTTTAGTAAAAAAACCCCATTTTTGAGGTAAAAAACCCCATTTTTAAATTAAAAAATCCCGTTTTTGAGTAAAAAACCCCATTTTTGAGGTAAAAAATGCCATTTTTGAGTTAAAACCCCCAATTTTGGCACTCACTGACCATGTTGAGGAGCCCCCCGGGCTGCTCGATGATGCCGGGGGGCAGCCCCACGGCCACGGGCAGCTCCAGCCCCATTTTGGGGTTAAATCCCCCCATTTTGGGGTTAAATTCCCACATTTTGGGACCATTCCCAGCCCCATTTAGGGACTACTCCCATCCAATTTTTAGGGTAAAATCCTCCCTTTTTTGGGATCATTCCCAGCCCCATTTTGGAGTTAATTTCCCCTCATTTTGGGACCATTCCCAGCCCCATTTTGGGACCATTCCCAGCCCCATTTTGGGGCTAAATTCCCTCGTTTTGGGACCATTCCCAGCCCCATTTTGGGGTTAAATTCCCCCCATTTTGGGAGTTAAATCCCCCCATTTTTTGAGTTAAATCCCCTCCATTTTTGGGACTATTTTCACCGCATTTTTGGGGTTAAATTCCCCCATTTTTAGTATTAAATCCCCCCATTTTTGGGATTAAATCCCCTCTATTTTAGGAGTTAAATCCCCCCTTTTTTGGGGTTAAATTCCCCCATTTTTGGAACTATTTTCACCCCATTTTTTGGACCATTTTCCCCATATTTCAAGGACAATCCATACCAAATTTTCAGCATAAAATCCCCCATTTTTGAGGTAAAAAAACCCAATTTTTGGGGTAAAAAACCCCCATTTTTGTGTCTGACTGACCATGTTGAGGAGCCCCCCGGGCTGCTCGATGATGCCGGGGGGCAGCCCCACGGCCACGGGCAGCTCCAGCGCGCCGACGCCGTAGCCGGGGGGCGCGAAGGCGGCCTCGGGGGTCGCGCCGGGCTCAGGCAGGTCCTCGAAGTGTCCCACCACGGCCAGGGACGGGTCCGAGTCCAGCGGGATGGGCGGGATCTCGAACTCCTCGTCGCCCAGGCTGGGCGTGTGGAACGTCTGCGGGGGGTTGGGAACAAAATTGGGGGTTTGGGACTAAATTCGGGGGGTTTGGGACCAAAATCGGGGGTTTGGGACTAAATTCGAGGGTTTGGAAAGGAAATTGGGGGGTTTGGAACTAAAATCGGGGGTTTGGAAAGGAAATTGGGGGTTTGGACAGGAAATTGGGGGGTGGGCGAGTGAGTTTGGGGGGTTTGGAAAGGAAATTGGGGGGTTTGGGACTAAATTCTGGGGTTTGGGACCAAAATTGGGGGGTTTGGAACGAAATTGGGGGTTTGGAAAGGAAATTGGGGGGTGGGCGAGTGAGTTTGGGGGGTTTGGAAATTAAATTGGGGGTTTGGGAAGGAAATCGGGGGGTTTGGAAAAGAAATTGGGGGTTTGGAAACTAAATTTGGGGGTTTAGAAAGGAAATTGGGGGGTGGGCGAGTGAGTTTGGGGGGTTTGGAACCAAAATTGGGGAATTTGGAACTAAATTTGGGGGGTTTGGAAATTAAATTGGGGGGTGGGTGAGTGAATTGGGGGGTTTGGAAAGGAAATTAGGGGGTGATGGAAACAAAATTTGGGGGTTTGGAACCAAAATCGGGGGTTTGGAACCGAAATTGGGGGGTTTGGGACTAGATTAGGGGGGTTTGGAACTAAATTCGGGGGGTTTGGAACTGAAATTGGGGGGTTTGGAACTAAAATTAGGGGTTTGGAAACGAAATTGGGGGGTTTGGAAACAAAATTGGGGGTTTGGAAATGAATTCGGGGGTTTGGAAATGAAATTGGGGGTTTGGCCATGAAATTGGGGGGTGGGCGAGTCAGTTTGGGGGGTTTGGGAAGGAAATCGGGGGTTTGGCCACGAAATTGGGGGGTTTGGGACTAAATTTGGGGGGTTTGGCAATGAAAATTTCTCATTTTTTGTCCCATTTTTTCCCCATTTCCCCTCATTCTCCCCCCATTCTCCTCCCATATTCCCCCCATTTTTATCTCATTTTTTTCCCCATTTTATTCTTTCTTTTGTCCAATTTTTCCCCATTTCCCCTAATCTTTCTCATTTCGCCCCATTTTTCCCCATTTCCCCCCACTTTCTCTTTTTTCTCCCATTTTTCCCCATTTTTCTCCCTTTTTTCCCCCATTTTTCTCATTTTCCGCCCATTTTTCCCTATTCCCCCCAATTTTTCTCATTTTCCCCTCACTTTTCTCTTTTTCCCCCATCTTCTCTTTTTTTGTCCCTTTTTTCCCCCATTTCCGCTCATTTTCCCCCATTTTTTCCCCATTCCCCCCAATTTTTCTTTTTTCTCCCATTTTTTCACCATTTTTCTCCCATTTTTCCCCATTTCCCTAATTTTCCCCCCATTTTTCCCATTTTCCCTGATTTTTCTCATTTTCCCCCCTCATTTTTCTGTTTTTTTCTCTCTCATTTTCTTGTCCCATTTTTTCCCCATTCCCCCCATTTTTCTCCCATTTTTCCCCATTTCCCTCATTTCCCCATATTTTTTCCCCATTTCCAATTTTTCTCATTTTCCCCCATTCCCCCCCCATTTTTCTCTCATTTTTTACCCATTTCTCTTTTATTCTAATTTTTCCCCATTTCCCCCCATTTTTCTCATTTTTGTCCCATTTTTCCCCAATTCCCCCCAATTTTTGTCATTTTTTTCTCCCATTTTTCCCCATTTCCCCCCATTTTTCTCATTTTTGTCCCATTTCCCCTATTTCCCCTCATTTTTCTCTTTTTCCCCCCATTTTCTCTTTTTTTGTCCCATTTTTTCCCCATTTCCCCTCATTTTCCCTGATTTTTTCCCCATACCCTAATTTTTCCTTTTTCTTACATTTTTCTCCCATTTTCCCCCATTTCCCTAATTTCCCCCCATTTTTTCCCCATTCCCCCCAATTTTTTTCATTTCTTCTCCCATTTCCCCCCATTTTTCTCATTTTTGTCCCATTTTTCCCCAATTCCCCCCAAATTTTGTCTTTTTTTTCTCCTATTTTTCCCCATTTCCCCCCATTTTTCTCATTTTTATCCCATTTTTCCCCATTTCCCCCCATTTTTCTCATTTTTTCCCCATTTTCCCCCCAGTTCCCCCCCCACCACTGCTGGTTTTTTTTTTCATTTTCCCGTTTTCCCCGTTTTTTACCCCATTTCTCACCTCGGCCCCGCTGAGGAAGGGGTGGGAGGTGCCGGTGATGGCCAAGTAATTGTCGCTGCCTCCGGGGAACTGCCAAAATTCCAAAAATTCCACATTTTCACCCAAATCCCCCTCCTCTCCTTCACTTGCACTTTTTTCCTGCTTTTCCCCTTTTTTTCCCAACTTTTTCCCCCCAATTTTCCCATTTTCTCCCCTTTTTTCCTTCCTTTTTCCCCCATTTTCTCATTTTTTCTTTTTTCCCACTTTTTCTTTATTTTCCCCCCAATTTTCCCATTTTCTCCCCTTTTTTCCTTCATTTTTTCCCCCATTTTCTCATTTTTTTCTTTTTTCCCACTTTTTCTTTATTTTCCCCCCAATTTTCCCATTTTCTCCCCTTTTTACCTTCCTTTTTTTCCCATTTTCTCATTTTTTCCTTTTTTCCACTTTTTCTTTTTTTTTTCCCCCAATTTTCCCATTTTCTCCCCTTTTTACCTTCCTTTTCCCCCCATTTTCTCTTTTTTTTCCTTTTTTCCCACTTTTTCTTTATTTTCCCCCCAATTTTCCCATTTTCTCCCCTTTTTTCCTTAATTTTTTCCCCATTTTCTCATTTTTTCCCACTTTTTCTTTATTTTTCCCCCAACTTACCCATTTTCTCCCCTTTTTTCCCATTTCCCCCCCACATTTTCCCCTTTTTCCTTATTTTTCCCATTTTCCCCATTTTTTCCTCTCTTTTCCCCCATTTTTTCCCTTTTTCCTCTTTTTTCCCTCTTTCCCCCCATTTTTTCCTCTCCTTTTCCCGACTTTTCTTATTTTTTCCCACCTTTCCCCATTTTCCCCCATTTTTTCCCATTTCCCCCTTTTTTTCCCCTCACAACCCCATTTTTACCCAATTTTTTCACATTTTTTCTCCATTTTCCCCATTTTTCCTCAACACTCCCACCCCAAACCCTTTTTTTCCCCATTTTTCCCATTTCCCCCTTTTTTTCCCCTCACAACCCCATTTTTTTCACATTTTTTCTCAATTTCCCCCATTTTTCCTCAACACTCCCACCCCAAACCCCTTTTTTCCCCATTTTTTCCCATTTTCCCCCATTTCCCCCTCACCCCAAAACCAAATTTCCCCTTTTTTCCCTTTTTTTCCTTTTCTTCCCCCATTTCCCCCTCACCCCAAAACCCAATTTCCCCTTTTTTCCCCATTTTTCTCCTTTTCTTCCCCATTTTCCCCTCACACTCCCCCTCACCCCAAATCTCTATTTTTCCTTTTTTTCCCATTTTCCCCTCACGTTTTCTCTCACATCAAACTCCTTTTTTACCCCATTTTTTCCCATTTTCCCCCATTTTCCCCTCACCCCTAAACCTTTATTTTTATCTTTTTTTCCCATTTTCCCTCATTTTCTCCTCACATTCCCCCTCACCCCAAACTCCTTTTCCCGCCATTTTCTCCCCCATTTTCCCGCCATTTTCTCCCCCATTTTCCCCTCACGTCCCCCCTCACCCCAAACTCATTTTTACCCCATTTTTTCCCATTTTCCCCTCACCCCTAAACCTTTATTTTTATCTTTTTCCCATTTTCCCCCATTTTCTCCTCAAATTCCCCCTCACCCCAAACTCATTTCCCCCCATTTTTTCCCATTTTCCCCTCACCCCTAAACCTTTATTTTTATATTTTTTCCATTTCCCCCCATTTTCTCCTCACGTTCCCCCTCACCCCAAACTCCTTTTTTCCCCTCATTTTTCCCATTTCCCCCATTTTTTTCCGATTTCCCCCTCACTCCTAAACCTTTATTTTTATATTTTTCCCATTTTCCCCCATTTTCTCCTCACGTTCCCCCTCACCCCAAAAACTCATTTTCCCCCCATTTTCCTCCATTTTTTCCCATTTTCCCCTCACCCCTAAACCTTTATTTTTATATTTTTCCCATTTTCCCCCATTTCCCCCTCACCCCTAAACCTTTATTTTCATATTTTTCCCATTTTCCCCCATTTTCCCCTCACGCTCCCCCTCACCCCAAACTCCTTTTCCCGCCATTTTCTCCCCCATTTTCCCGCCATTTTCTCCCCCATTTTCCCCTCACGTTCCCCCTCACCCCAAACTCATTTTCCCCCCATTTTTTCCCATTTTCCCCTCACCCCTAAACCTTTATTTTTATCTTTTTTCCCATTTTCCCCATTTTCTCCTCACCCCAAACTCCTTTTTTCGCCATTTTTTCCCATTTCCCCCCCATTTTCCCGCCATTTCCCCCCCATTTCCCCTTCACGCTCCCCCTTTCCCCAAACCCCCAATTTCCCCCCCAATCCCCGCTTACCCCTCCCCCTATCCCCCTTTACCCACCCTTTTACCCCATTTTTACCCATTTTCGCCCTTTTTTACCCCATTTTTCCCCTCACACCCACCCCCCCTCACCTCCATCTCGCCGCCGCTGCCCCCCCCCCCTCACGGCGCCTCCCTCACGCTTCACTTCCGGTACAACCACCATAGAGACGAACCAGCGCGCTGATCAAATCCCTCAATCCCCACCTCAAAACCGCGACTTTTTAACCCTTAACGCAACACAAACAACATTTTGGGTCGTTTTATTGCAATTTGACTTTTTTTTGGTTAAAAAAAGACAGGGAATTAACGAATCAGTGAGGTTGGAGGACTGTGCTAGAGCGGCTACCGGAAGCGGAAAGGCGGAGCGCGCATGAGGGGAGGAACTAAGGGGGAGGATCATAGAGAAGAGGGAGGAGCGCCGCCGGAAGGGGCGGGGCGCCAGCGGCGGGCGCGCGCGGCGCGGGCGGTGCGTCATCGGCGGCGACGGGCGGGGGGGGGAGGGGCGGGGCGGGGGGGGGAGGGGGGCGAGGGGGGGGAGGGGAGGGGGGAGGGGGAGGGGGAGGGGGGGGAGGGGTCCGGGGCAGATTTTGGGGCGAATTCGGGCGGATTTGGGGCCGGCCCGGGGGGGTGGGGGGGGCCCCGAGGGGTTGTGGGAGGAGGGAGTGAGGGGGGGGTGAGGGGGGGGGTTGAGGGGGGGTTTTGAGGGGATTTTGGGGAGATTTGGGGAGTTTGAGGGGGTTTGGGGGGGTTGAGGGGGTTTGGGGGGGGTTGGGTGAAAAACGAGGGGATTTGGGCAAAAATGAGGGAGTTTGAGGGAGAAATGAGGGGATTTGGGGCAAAAATGAGGGGATTTGGAGGTTTGAGGGGATTTGGGGGAAAATGAGGGGATTTTGGGTGAAAAATGAGGAGATTTGGGGAGTTTCAGGGCATTTGGATGAAAAATGAGGGGATTTGGGGAGTTTGAGGGGATTTGGGTGAAAAATGAGGAGATTTGGAGAGTTTGAGGGGATTTGAGGGGGAATGAAGGAGTTTGAGGGGATTTGGGTGAAAAATGAGGAGATTTGGGGAGTTTGAGGGGATTTGGGTGAAAAATGAGGGGATTTGGGGAGTTTGAGGGGATTTGGGTGAAAAATGAGGAGATTTGGAGAGTTTGAGGGGATTTGGATGAAAAATGAGGAGATTTGGGGAGTTTGAGGGGATTTGGGTGAAAAATGAGGAGATTTGGGGAGTTTGAGGGGATTTGGGTGAAAAATGAGGAGATTTGGGGAGTTTGAGGGGATTTGAGGGGGAATGAAGGAGTTTGAGGGGATTTGGGTGAAAAATGAGGAGATTTGGGGAGTTTGAGGGGATTTGGGTGAAAAATGAGGGGATTTGGGCAAAAATGAGGGAGTTTGGGGTAGAAATGAGGGGATTTGGGGGATTTGAGGGGGTTTGGGGGGGTTTGGGTGAAAAATGAGGGGATTTGGTCAAAAATGAGGGAGTTTGGATGAAAAACGCGGGGATTTGGGGAGTTTGAGGGGATTTGGGTGAAAAATGAGGAGATTTGGGCAAAAATGAGGGAGTTTGAGGGAGAAATGAGGGGATTTGGGGGGTTTCAGGGCATTTGGATGAAAAATGAGGGGATTTGGGCAAAAATGAGGGAGTTTGGGGTAGAAATGAGGGGATTTGGGGAGTTTGAAGAGATTTGGGTGAAAAATGAGGAGATTTGGGGAGTTTGAGGGGATTTGGGTGAAAAATGAGGAGATTTGGGCAAAAATGAGGGAGTTTGGGGAGAAATTAGGGGATTTAGGCAAAAACGAGGGGATTTGGGTGAAAAATGAGGAGATTTGGTCAAAAATGAGGGAGTTTGGGTCAAAAATGAGGAAATTTGGGCGGATTTCAGGAGTTTGAGGGGATTTGGGTCAAAAATGAGGGAATTTGAGGGGGTTTGGGGAGAAATGAGGGAATTTGGGCGGATTTGAGGAGTTTGAGGGGATTTGGGTGAAAAATGAGGAGATTTGGGGAGTTTGAGGGGATTTAGGGAGTTTGAGGGGATTTGGGGAAAAATGAGGGAGATTTTGGCCAAAAATGAGAGAGTTTGGAGGAGTTTGGGGAGAAATGAGGAGATTTGGGGAGAATTGAGAAAATTTGGGGAATTTGAGGGAATTTGGGCAAAAATGAGTGGATTTGAGGTAAAAATGAGGAAATTTGGGGAATTTGAGGGAATTTGGGTGAGAAATGAGGAAATTTGGGGTAGAAATGAGGAAATTTGGGGAATTTGATGGGATTTGGGGAGAAATGAGGAAATTTGGAGAGTTTGAGGGGATTTGGGGAGAAATGAGGAAATTTGGAGAGTTTGAGGGGATTTGGGGAGAAAAGTGTGAATTTTGACAGTTTGAGGGGATTAGGGTTGGTTTTTGGGGAGAAATGAGCAGAATTTTGGCAGAAATGAGGAAATTTGGGAATCTCAGAGGCCGTTTTGGGGCTCTCTGGGGATTTTGGGGAAATCAGGAGATTTTTGGGGTGAAATCTGGAGATTTTGGGGTAAAATCAGGAGGATTTTGAGATTTTAGGAGATTTTGGGGTGGAATCAGGAGATTTTGGGTTGAAACCAGAAGATTTTGGGTAAAACCAGGAGATTTTGGGGCTCTGTAGGAGATTTTGGGGTGGAATCAGGAAAATTTGGGTATTTCAGGAGATTTTGGGGTGAAATCAGGAGGTTTTGGGGTGAAATCTGGAGATTTTGGGGCTCTCAGGTAATTTTGGGGTGAAACCAGGAGATTTTTGGGCTCTTCGGTGATTTTTGGGGTGAAATCAGGAGGATTTTGAGCTCTCAGGAGATTTTTGGGGTGAAATCAGCAGGTTTTGGGGTAAAATCAGGAAGTTTGGGGTAAAATCAGGAGATTTTGGGGTCACTGAGGAAGCCCCGCCCCCAAATAACAAAGCCACGCCCCCTTTCAGGACCCTGCGCTCCCCATTGGCCCGAGGCCGGTGACGTCATCGCGGGTGGCACCAATCAGAGGTGAGGGGCGGGGCCAAGAGTTTGGGCACACCCAAAATTTGGAATTTTAACCCCAAATTCCAGACTGGGACCCCAAAATTTGGTGTTTTAACCCCAAATTCCAGACTCAAATCCCAAAATTTGTTGTTTTAACCCCAAATTCCTTACTGGGACACCAAAATTTGGGTTTTTAACCCCAAATTCCAGACTGGGACCCAAAATTTGGTGTTTTAACCCCAAATTCCAGACTGGGACCCAAAATTTGGGTTTTTAACCCCAAATTCCAGACTGGAACCCCAAAATTTGGTGGTTAAACCCCAAATTCCAGACTGGAACCCCAAAATTTGGTGTTTTAACCCCAAATTCCAGACTGGGACCCCAAAATTTGGTGTTTTAAGCCCAAATTCCAGACTGGGACCCCAAAATTTGGTGTTTTAACCCCAAATTCCAGACTGGAACCCCAAAATTTGGGTTTTTAACCCCAAATTCAGGACTGGGACCCCAAAATTTTGTATTTTCTATAATTTTGGGTCAATATTTATCAATTTTAAGTCATTTTTATTAATTTTGGTGCATTTTTATTCATTTTTTGTGCCATTTTATTCATTTTTTGCACAATTTTATCAATTTTTCACCATTTTACCCATTTTTTGGCCATTTTATCCATTTTTGCCCATTTTTACTCATTTTTGGAACCCTTTATTTCCGGGGTTTTTTTTTGCCTTTAAAGGAGGTTTTGAGCCCAAATCTCTGAGGGGTTTTTGGGGCCATTTCCTGCAATTTTGGGGCATTTTCAGCCCCAAAACCGGATTTCTGAGGGGTTTTGCCCAATTTTTCCATTTTTACCCAATTTTGCCTGTTTTTTCCCCATTTTCCCCTTTTTTACCCGATTTTCGCATTTTTTACTCCATTTTCCCTGGTTTTGCCCCATTTCCCCAGGTTTTTCACCCAATTTCCCCCTTTTTTACCCCATTTCCCTTTTTTTACCCCATTTCCCCTTTTTTGCCCTATTTCCCCCTTTTTTACCCAATTTCCCCCTTTTTAACCTTTTTTTTTAAATCAATTTCCCCCATTTTTTACTCTATTTCCACCTTTATTCCCTGTTTTAACCAATTTCTCATTTTTTTACCTAATTTCCCCCTTTTTTACCCAAGTTCTTCATTTTTTTACCCCATTTCCCATTTTTTACCCAATTTACCCCTTTTTTTGCCCTATTTTTACCCAATTTCCCCCTTTTTACCCAATTTCCCCCTTTTATTTCATTTTTACATAATTTTTGCCACATTTTCCCATTTTTACCCAATTTCCCACCTTTTTTACCTATTTTTACCCCATTTCCCCTCTTTTTTACCTATTTTTACCAAATTCTCAATTTTTTTCTGTTTTTTACCCGTTCCCTCTTTTTTACCTATTTTTTACCCAATTTCCCCCATTTTTACCCAATTTCCCAACTTTTACCCATTTCCCCATTTTTAACCTATTTTTACCCATTTTCCCCCTTTTTTACCTATTTTTACCCAACTTCCCTCTTTTTTAATCTATTTTTTACCCAATTTTCCCCATTTTTTACCCAATTTCCCCATTTTTCATTGAATTTCCTATTTTTTCCAGATTTTCGCCCCATTTCCCATTTTTGCCCACTTTCCCCAGGTTTATTTGCCCCATTTCCCCATTTTTACCTAATTTTTACTCAATTTCCCCCTTTTTACCCAATTTCCCCGCTTTTTTTCCCAATTTCCCTTTTTTCATCTATTTTTACCCAATTTCCCACATTTTTAACCGGATTTTTGCCCCATTTCCCCCTTTTTTACCAAATTTCCCCATTTTTTTTTGCCCCATTTCCCCTTTTTTACCTATTTCTGCCCCACTTCCCCATTTTTTACCTGATTTACCTTTTTTTAACCGATTTCCCCCTTTTTTAACCCATTTTTTAAACCCAATTTCCCCAGTTTTTTTTTTGCCCCATTTCCCCGTTTTTTACCCATTTTTTACCCAATTTTCCCAGTTTTTTTTGCCCAATTTCCCTTTTTTTAACCTACTTCTGCCCCATTTCCCCCTATTTTTTACACCATTCCTCTTTTTTTACCCAATTTACTCCTTTTTTCCCCAATTTCCCCGTTTTTTATCTATTTTTGCCCCTTTTTCCCCATTTTTCCCCATTTCCCCTTTCCTCCCCCACCCCCTCAACTTTGGCCCTGCCGCCTCTCCATCCCCTTCTCCCCCCATCCCCCGTTTATTTTGGGCTCAAACCCTCCAAATCTCGTTCATTTCCATTTTTATTAATTCCATTTTTATTCATTTTCCCGATTTTCGTCATTCTGAGGGCGAAGGACCCCGCGCTCCCCCCCACCACAAAATGGCGGCCGGCGGGGCTGCCCTCACTGCCGCCTGTCCCGCGCGTTCCGGCAGCGCCGCGGCCACCCCGCTCCTCTTCCGGGTGAGCGCGCACAACTCACCCTGCTGACACCTCCTCCACCAATCACCGCGCGCCGCCGGCTCCTCCCAGCCAATGGGAAGGCTCCGTGCGTGGTGGTGGGCGTGGCCAGGCCGCGCGTTGCGTTGCGCCGCGAGCGGCTCCGCGAGGGCGCCCCGGGCTCGGAGCGCGCGCGCGCGGCGTGGGGGGGGGGGCGCCCCCCCGCGCCCCCCACAAAAAAAACCTCCAAATTTCACCTTTTTAACCGAAATTTAACGAATTAAAAATATCATTCCTGAGGGGAAACCCACCCCAAACAACCCCCCCGTGCCGGCGGGGCGGCGGAATTCCCCGCCCTTCCCCCGCTCCGCTCCCTCAGGTAAGGCGGGAATGGGGGGGGGGGGGGGAAATGGAGTCTCGTGAGGGGAAAACCGGAGAGTCCTGAGGGGAGAGTGGGGGGGCGGTTTGGGGGGGTCTCATTTAACCAAAATTGGGGTCCCAGTTACCCAAAATTGGGGTCCCAGTTCCCCCAGTTTGGGGCTCCCAGTTACACCAAATTGTGCTCCCAGTTATCCAAAATTGGGATCCCAGTTTGGGGTCCCAGTTCCCCAAAATTGGGCTCCCAGTTTGGGGTTCCAATTACCCAAAATTGGGGTTCCAATTACCCAAAATTGGGGTCCCAGTGACCCAAAATTGGGGTCCCAGTTTGGGCTCCCAGTTCCCCCAAATTGTGGTCCCAGTTACCCAAAATTTGGATCCCAGTTTGGGCTCCCAGTTACCCAAAATTGGGCTCCCAGTTCCCCCAGTTTGGGGCTCCCAGTTTGGGGTCCCAGTTACCCCAATTTGGGGTCCCATTGACCCAAAATTTGGATCCCAGTTTGGGGTTCCAATTACCCAAAATTGGGGTCCCAGTTTGGGGTTCCAAATACCCAAAATTGGGGTCCCAGTTACCCAAAATTGGGGTCCCAGTTTGGGCCAGTTTGGGGTCCCAGTTACCCAAAATTGGGGTCCCAGTTTGGGGTCCCAGTTCCCCCAGTTTGGGACTCCCAGTTACCCCAAATTGTGGTCCCAGTTCCCCAAAATTGGGGTCCCAGTTTGGGGTTACAAATACCCAAAATTAGGGTCCCAGTTCCCCAAAATTTGAGGTCCCAGTTACCCAAAATTGGGGTCCCAGTTTGGGCTCCCAGTTCCCCCAGTTTGGGGTCCCAGTTACCCAAAATTGGGATCCCAGTTTGGGGTCCCAGTTACCCAAAATTGGGGTCCCAGTTCCCCAAAATTGGGGTCCCAGTTACCCCAGTTTGGGGCCCAGTGACCCAAAACTGGGATCCCACTTTGGGGTCCCATTTAATCAAAATTTGGGGTCCCATTTAATCAAAATTTGGGGTCCAGTTACTCAAAATTTGGGGTCCAGTTACTCAAAATTGGGGTCCCAGTTTGGGGTCCGAGTTACCCAAAATTGGGGTTCCAGTTTGGGGTCCCAGTTCTCCCAGTTTGGGGGTCCCCCTGACCCCCCTTTTCTCTCCCCACAGCCTGGAGCTCCGGAGCCCCCCCAGCCTGAGAAGAGCCCCCCAAAAACCCCCAAAATCCCCCAAAATCCCCCAAATTCCCCCAAAATCCCTCAAATTCCCTCAAATCCTCCAAAATCCCTCAAATTCCCCCCAAAAATCCCCCCAAAAATCCCCCAAATTCCCCCCAAAAATCCCCCAAAACCCCCCCAGAACCCCCAAATTTCATTTTTTTGGGGGGTCTAGACCCCTAAACCCCCCCCAAATTCCCATTTTTTGGGGTCAGGACCCCCCAAATCTCCTTTAAAATCCCCCAAATTTCAGATTTTTGGAGTCAGGACGTCCCAAATCTTCCCCAAATTTTGGATTTTTGGGCTCAGAACCTCCTAAATTTTGAATTTTTCGGGCTCAGGACCCCCCAAATTTCAGATTTTTGGGGTCAGAACCACCTAAATTTCAGATTTTCAGGATCAAGACCCCCCAAATTTCAGATTTTCAGCCCCTCAACCCTCCAAATTTCAGATTTTTGGGGTCAAGACCCCCTAAATTTCTGATTTTTGGGGACAGAACCCTCTAAATTTCGGATTTTCAGCCCCTCAACCTCCCAAATTTCAGCTTTTTGGGTCAAGACCCCCCTAATTTCAGATTTTTGGGGTCAGAATCCCCTAAATTTCAGATTTTTAGGCTCAAGACCCCCAAAATTCACATTTTTAGGCTCAAGACCCCCCAGATTTCAGATTTTTGGAGTCAGGACCCCCTAAATTTCGGATTTTCAGGCTCCAGACCTCCCAAATTTCAGATTTTTGGGTCAGAACCCCCCAAATTTCAGCTTTTCAGCCCCTCAACCCCCCAAATTTCAGATTTTTGGGTTCGAGACCCCCCAAATTTCCAATTTTTAGGCACAAGACCCCCTAAATTTCTGATTTTTGGGGTCCAGACCCTCCAAATTTCTGATTTTTAGGGTCAAGACCTCACAAATTTCATATTTCTGGGGTCAGAACTCCTAAATTTTGGATTTTCAGGTTCAGGACCCCCCAAATTTTCGACTTTTGGGGTACAGACCTTGAAATATCTGACTTTTGGGGTCAAGACCCCCTAAATTTCAGATTTTTGGGGTCAAGACCCCCCTAAATCTCCATTTTTAAGGGTCAGAACCCCCCAAATTTCAGCTTCTCAGCTCCTCAACCCCCTAAATTTTGGATTTTTGGGGTCAGAACCCCCCAAATTTCAGATTTTCAGCCACCCAACCCCCCAAATTTCAGCTTTTTGACCCCAGAACCCCCCAAATTTCAACTTTTTGACCCCCAACCCCCCAAATTTCAACTTTTTGACCCCCAACGCCCCAAATTTCAACTTTTTGACCCCCCAACCCCCAAAATTTCAACTTTTTGCCCTCCCAACCCCCCAAATTTCCCCTTTTCAGCCCCCCAACCCCCCAAATTTCAGCTTTTTGACCCCTCAACCCCCCAAATATCCGATTTTTGGGGTCAAGACCCCCAAATTTCATATTTTTGGGGTCAGTACCCCCTAAATTTCAGCTTTTCACCCCCCCAACCCCCCAAATTTCAGATTTTTGACCCCAGAACCCCCCGAATTTCTGATTTTTAGGGTCAAGACCCCCCAAATTTCAACTTTTCGACCCCCCAACCCCCCAAATTTCAGCTTTTTGACCCCTCGACCCCCCAAATTTCAACTTTTTGACCCCCCAACCCCCCAAATTTCTGATTTTTGGGGTCAAAACCCCCCAAATTTCAGCTTTTTGACCCCCAGCCCCCCAAATTCGGGGGTCCCGCCCCTCCCCCGCCATGGCCGACCCCATCATGGACCTCTTTGACGACCCCAACCTCTTCGGCCTCGACCCCCTCCCCGATGACCTCGTGACCCCTGCGGCCGCCCCTCCCCCCTCCGACCCCTTGGCCGAAGCTTTGGGCCTATCAGGAGCTTTGGACCCCTCCCCCACCCCTCCCCCACCCCCCCAACCCGCCCCTCCCCCCCCTCCTCCTTCCTCCGCCCCTCCCCCCCCACCCCCGCCGCCCCTCCCCCACCCCGACCCGGAAGTGCTGAGTCAGGGAAATCCCTTCATGGGGGTCTCCGCCCCTCCCCCACCCCCACCACCCCCTCCCCCCCCCTCCCCCACCCCCCAAAATCGTCATCCTCAAAGCCCCGCCCCCCTCCGGCCCCGCCCCGGCCACGCCCAACGGCGGCAAGCTCTCATTGGCCAAGGTGCTGGGGGGCGTGGCCTCGGGCGCGGTGGGCGTGGCCTCCGGGGGCGCGGGGGGCGTGGCCTCCGGGGGCGGGGCCCGGCAGGTGAAGCAGGTGCTGCTGCAGCCCCTGAAGGCCGGGCCGGGAGGCCCCGCGGCGGCGCACCTGAAACCCGGGCTGGGCCTGGGGGCCGGACAGGTGAGATTTTGGGTGTGGCCAGGTGAGGTTTAGGAAGGATTTGGGGGAGTTTAGGTGTGGCCAGGTGAGATTTTGGGGGGGTTTTAGGGGGGTTTGGGTGTGGCCAGGTGAGATTTGGGGGGGATTTCAGGGGGTTTGGGGGGGATTTGAGGGGCTCAGGTGAGGTTTGGGTGTGGCCAGGTGAGGTTTGGGTGTGGTCAGGTGGGGTTTGGAGAGGATTTGGGGGGTTTGGGTGTGGCCAGGTGAGTGGGGCGGGGCTGGGGGTGGGGCCGGGGGCGGGGCCAGGTGGGGTTTGGGTGTGGCCAGGTGAGGTTTGGGTGTGGCCAGATGAGGTTTGGGTGTGGCCAGGTGGGGTTTGGAGGGGATTTGGGGGGATTTACGGGGGATTTGAGGGGCTCAGGTGAGGTTTGGGTGTGGCCAGGTGGGGCGTGGGTGTGGTCAGGTGAGATTTGGGGGGGATTTGGGGGGTTTGGGTGTGGCCAGGTGAGGTTTGGGGGGCCAGGTGAGATTTGGGGGGGATTTGGGGGGATTTAGGGGGGTTTGGGTGTGGCCAGGTGAGGTTTGGGTGTGGCCAGGTGAGGTTTGGGTGTGGCCAGGTGAGGTTTGGGGGGGTTTGGGTGTGGCCAGGTGAGGTTTGGAGGGGATTTGGGGGGATTTAGGGGGGTTTGGGTGTGGCCAGGTCAGGTTTGGGGGGGATTTGGGGGGCTCAGGTAAGGTTTCGGTGTGGCCAGGTGAGGTTTGGGGGGATTCGGGGGGCTCAGGTGAGGTTTGGGTGTGGCCAGGTGAGGTTTGGGGCAGATTTGGGGGGGTTTGGGTGTGGCCAGGTGTGATCAGGTGAGGTTTGGGGGGCTCAGGTGAGGTTTGAGAGGGATTTGGAGGGCTCAGGTGAGGTTTGGGGAGGATTTGGGGGGGGTTGGGTGTGGCCAGGTGAGGTTTGGGTGTGGCCAGGTGAGGTTTGGGGGGGTTTGGGGGGCTCAGGTGAGGTTTGGTGTGGCCAGGTGAGGTTTGGGTGTGGCCAGGTGAGATTTGGGCCCGCCCAGGTGAGCGGGGCAGGGCCGGGGGCGGGGCTGGGGGGGCCAGGTGAGGTTTGGGGGGAAATTGGGGGGCTCAGGTGAGGTTTAGGAAGGATTTGGGGGAGTTTAGGTGTGGCCAGGTGAGGTTTGGGGGGGATTTCGGGGGGTTTGGGTGTGGCCAGGTGAGATTTGGGGGGCTCAGGTGAGGTTTGGGTGTGGTCAGGTGAGGTTTGAAGGGGATTTTGGGGGCTCAGGTGGGGTTTGGGGGGCTCAGGTGAGGTTTGGGTGTGGCCAGGTGAGCGGGGCGGGGCTGGGGGCGGGGCTGGGGGGGCCAGGTGGGGTTTTGGTGTGGCCAGGTGGGGTTTGGGTGTGGCCAGGTGAGGGTTGGGTGTGGCCAGGTGAGCGGGGCGGGGCTGGGGGCGGGGCCAGGTGAGTGGGGCGGGGCTGGGGGCGGGGCTGGGGGGGCCAGGTGGGGTTTTGGTGTGGCCAGGTGGGGTTTGGGTGTGGCCAGGTGAGGGTTGGGTGTGGCCAGGTGAGCGGGGCGGGGCTGGGGGCGGGGCCAGGTGAGTGGGGCGGGGCTGGGGGCGGGGCCAGGTGAGGTTTGGGGGGGTTTTGGGGGGATTTGGGGGGCTCAGGTGGGGTTTGGGGAGGATTTGGGGGGATTTGGGGGTCTCAGGTGAGGTTTGGGGAGGATTTAGGGCGGTTTGGGTGTGGCCAGGTGAGCAGGGCGGGGCTGGGGGCGGGGCCAGGTGGGGTTTGAATGGGATTTGGGGGGATTTGGGTGGCTCAGGTGAGGTTTGGGGGGGATTTGGGGGGCTCAGGTGAGGTTTGGGTGTGGCCAGGTGAGGTTTGGGTGTGGCCAGGTGAGATTTCGGGGGGATTTGGGGGGGTCAGGTGAGGTTTGGGTGTGGCCAGGTGAGGTTTGGAGGGGATTTGGGGGGATTTAGGGGGGATTTGAGGGGCTCAGGTGAGGTTTGGGTGTGGCCAGGTGTGGCCAGGTGGGGTTTGGGTGTGGCCAGGTGAGGTTTGGGGGGGTTTGGGGGGATTTAGGGGGGTTTGGGTGTGGCCCGGTGAGATCTGGGGGGGTTTGGGTGTGGCCAGGTGAGGTTTGGGGGGGTTTGGGTGTCCATCCCACTGACCACTGACCCTTATTCCTGTGTCCATTTGGGCTGACCAGTGACCCCTGCTCCTCCTGAGTGACCACTGACCACTGACCACTGTGTCCATCCCACTGACCACTGACTGACCACTATCCCCGTGTCCATCCCCGCTGACCACTGACCCCTTTATCCATCCCACTGACCACTGACCACTGACTGACCCCTGTCCTTGTGTCCACCCCACTGACCACTATCCATGTGTCCATCCCCACTGACCACTGACCCCTTTTCCTTTTCTGTCTGTCCCACTGACCATTGACCCTTATTCCTGTGTCCATTTGGGCTGACCACTGAGCCCTGCTCCTCCTGAGTGACCACTGACCACTAACCCCTTTATCCATCCAACTGACCCCTGTCCATCCCCACTGCCCACTGACTGACCACTGACCACTGACTGACCGCTGTCCCTGTCTCCATCTTGCTGACCACTGATCTCGGTGTCCATCCCACTGACCCCTGACCCCTGACCTTTGCCCTCTGTCCGCAGGGCGACTCCAAGCGCATCACTCTGGTCCTGCAGCCGCCCCCAGGCCAGGGCGGGTGTCCATCCCCACTGACCCCTGACTGACCACTGACCCCTGACCCCTGTGTCCATCCCACTGACCACTGACCCCTTTATCCATCCCACTGACCACTGACCACTGACTGACCCCTGTCCCTGTGTCCATCCCACTGACCACTGATTTCTGTGTCCATTTGGGCTGACCAGTGACCCCTGCTCCTCCTGACTGACCACTGACCACTGACCCTTGTCCCTGTGTCCATCCCACTGACCACTGACTGACCACTGATCCCTTTATCCATTCCCACTGACCACTGACCACTGTGTCCACCCCACTGACCCCTGTCCCTGTGTCCTGTGTCCATCCCACTGACCCCTGACCCCTGACTGACCCCTGTCCTTGTGTCCATTTGGGCTGACCAGTGACCCCTGCTCCTCCTGAGTGACCACTGACCACTGACCCCTGACCCCTGACCTCTGCCCTCTGTCCGCAGGGGGACTCCAAGCGCATCACGCTGGTCTTGCAGCCGCCCCCAGGCCAGGGCACGGCGCCGGGTCAGCGCCACGTCGTGCTGGGCACTCTGCCCGGCAAACTCCTCCTGCAGAGCAACGCCGCCGCTCCGGCCACTCCGGCCACTCCGGCCAAAGGCGCGTCCGGCGCTCCGGCCAAGGTGGTGACCATCCAGCTGCAGGTGCAGCCCGCGGCCGCGGCCGGAGCGGCCGGACAGGCCGGAAAGGTGCAGCTGGTGCCGCCGGCCGGGGCGGGGCCGCTGGGCGTGGCCCAGGTGCCGCAGGTGCTGGGCGGGGCCGGACAGAGGCTGACCGTGCCCCTCAAGGTGGTGCTGCAGCCCCAGGTGAGGCGGGGGAGGGGGCAGTGGGGTGGGGGAGTGGTCAGTTGGGTTGGATTGGTCAGTTTGTGAATGGTCAGTGGGGTGGGGGAGTGGTGGTCAGTTCGATTTTGGAGTGGTCATTTTGGTTTGGAGTGGTCAGTTGGATTGGATTGGTAGATTTGATAATGGTCAGTTGGGTTTGGGAGTGGTCAGTTGGGTTTGGGATGGTCAGTTCGGTGTGGGAGTGGTGGTCAGTTGGGTTTTGGAATGGTCAGTTGGGTTTGGGAATGGTCAGTTGGGTTTGGGAGTGGTCAGTTTGGAGTGGTCAGTTTAGAGTGGTCAGTTTGGAGTGGTCAGTTGGGTTTGGGATGGTCAGTTGGATGTGGGAGTGGTGGTCAGTTGGGTTTCGGAGTGGTCAATTGGGTGTGGGGGAGGTCAGCGGGGCTGTGGGAGCTGTGGTCAGTTGGGTTTGGGAATGGTCAGTTGGGTTTGGGAATGGTCAGTTGGGTTTGTGAATGGTCAGTTGGGTTTGGGAGTGGTCAGTTGGATTGGATTGGTCAATTTAATAATGGTCAGTTGAGTTTTGGGTGGTCAGTTGGGTTTGGGGCGGTCAGTGGGGTGGGGGAGTGGTGGTCAGTCGGGTTTGGAGTGGTCAGTTGGATTGGATTGGTCAGTTTGTGAATGGTCAGTTGGGTTTGGGATGGTCAGTTGGGTTGGGTTGGTCAGTTTGGAGTGGTCAGTTGGGTGTGGGAGTGGTCAGTGGGGTGGGGGAGTGGTTAGTGGGGGTGTGGGAGTGGTGGTCAGTTGGGTTTGGGATGGTCAGTTGGGTTTTAGATGGTCAGTTAGGATTGAAGTGGTCAGTTTAGAACGGTCAGTTGGGTATGGGAGTGGTCAGTTAGGTTTGGAGTGGTCAATTTTGAGTGGTCAGTTGGGTTGGATTGGTCATTTTGGGGTGGTCAGTTGGGTTTGGGATGGTCAGCTGGGTGTGGGAGTGGTCAGTGGGGTGGGGGAGTGGTCAGTGGGGTGGGGGAGTGGTGGTCAGTTGGGTGTGGGAGCGGTCAGTGATGTGTGGGAGTGGTGGTCAGTTGGGTGTGGGAGCGGTCAGTGATGTGTGGGAGCGGTGGTCAGTTGGGTTTGGGGTGGTCAGTTGGTTCTGGGTGGTCATTTTGGAGTGATCAGTTTGGAATGGTCAGTTGGGTTTGGGGGTGGTCAGTTGGGTTTGGGGGCAGTCAGTGGGCTGGGGGAGTGGTGGTCAGTTGGGTTTGGAGTGGTCAGTTGGATTGGATTGGTCAGTTTGTGAATGGTCAGTTGGGTTTGGAGTGGTCAGTGGGGTGGGGGAGCGGTCAGTTGGTTTTGGGTGGTCAGTTGGGTTTGGGAGTGGTGAGTTGGGTTTGGAGTGGTCAGGATGATTGGATTGGTCAGTTTGTGAATGGTCAGTTGGGTGTGGGGTGGTCAGCGGGGTGGGGGAGTGGTGGTCAGTTGAGTTTTGGAGTGGTCAGTTGGGTTTTGGAGTGGTCATTTGGGTTGGGTTTGTCATTTTGGGGTGGTCAGTTGGCTTTGGAGTGGTCAGTTTTGAGTGGTCATTTAGGTTTGGAATGGTCAGTTTTGCGTTAGGGTGGTCAGTTGGGTTGGATTGGTCAGTTTGTGAATGGTCAGTTGGGTTTTGGGTAGTTAGTTTGTGAATGGTCAGTTGGGTTTGGAGTGGTCAGTTGGGTTTGGCAGTGGTCAGTTGGGTTTGGAGTGGTCAGTTGGCTTTGGGTGGTCATTTCGCAGTGGTCAGTTGGTTTTGGGTGGTCATTTTGCAGTGGTCAGTTTTTTTTGTGAGTGACCATTTCAGAGTGGTCATTTCAGAGCGGTCAGTTGGGTTTGGGTGGTCTGTTGGGTTTGGGGGTGGTCATTTTGGAGTGGTCAGTTTGGAGTGGTCAGTTGGGTTTGGAGTGGTCAGTTTGGTTTGGAGTGGTCACTTCGCAGTGGTCACTCCCTCACTCCCCACCCCCTGTCCCTCCCAGGCCACCTCCTCCACCACCCCCACCTCCAGCGGCCTCTCCGTGGTCAAAGTCCTGACCACCACCGACCTGCCCGCCGCGTCCGGAGCGTCCGGAGGCGCGGCCGGAGGAGTGACCGCACTGACCACCCCGGACGAGAGCCGGCGGCTGGAGCACCAGAAGAAGCAGGAGAAGGCCAACCGCATCGTGGCCGAGGCCATCGCCCGGGCGCGCGCCCGCGGCGAGCAGAACATCCCGCGCGTCCTCAACGAGGACGAGCTGCCCAACGTCCGGCCCGAGGACGAGAGTGACCGCAAGCGCCGGCGCAAGGCCGGAGGAGAGCGCGGTGGGAAGGAGGAGCGGCCGCGGCGGGGGAAGGGCGGCCAGAGCGGCGGCAAGAGCAAGGCCAGGGGCAAGGCCAGGTGAGGTGGGGGCACCATGGGTGGGGTGGTGGGCATCTGGGGTTGGTGGTCATCTGGGGTTGGTGGTGGTCAGCGAGGGGTGGTGGTCATCAAGGATTGGGTTTTGTTATGGTTTTGGTGGTCATCGTGGCCTTGGTGGTCATTAGGGGTTGGTGGTCATCGTGGTCTTGGTGGTCAGTATGGTCCTGGTGGTCATCAGACCTTGGTGGTCATCGTGGTCTTGGTGGTCATCAAAGTTTGGGTTTTATTGTGGTCTTGGTGGTCATCAAGGGTTGGGTTTTATGGCGGTCTTGGTGGTCATCAAGCCTTGGTTTACATTGTGGTCATCATGATCTTGGTGGTCATCAAGGGTTGGGTTTCATCATGGTTTTGGTGGTCCTCGTGGTCTTGGTGGTCATCGTGGTCTTGGTCATCAGACCTTGGTGGTCATCAGGGGTTGGTGGTCATCAAGGGTTGGGTTTTATTGCGGTCTTGGTGGTCATCGTGGTCTTGGTGGTCATCAGACCTTGGTGGTCATCAAAGTTTGGGTTTTATTATTGTCATCGTGGTCTTGGTGGTCATCGTGGTCTTGGTGGTCATCAGGGGTTGGTGGTCATCAGGGGTTGGTGGTCATCAGGGGTTGGTGGTCATCAGGGGTTGGTGATCATCAAAGTTTGGGTTTTATTGTGGTCTTGGTGGTCATCCTGGACTTGGTGGTCATCGTGGCCTTGGTGGTCATCAAGGACTTTGTAGTCATCAAGGGTTGGTGGTCATCAAAGTTAGGATTTTATTGTGGTCTTGGTGGTCATTGTGGTCTTGGTGGTCATCAGACCTTGGTGGTCATCAAGGGTTGGGTTTCATCCTGGCCTTGGTGGTCATCGTGGCCTTGGTGGTCATCAGACCTTGGTGGTCATCAAGGGTTGGGTTTCGTTGTGGTCTTGGTGGCCATCGTGGTGTTGGTGGTCATCAAGGGTTGGTGGTCATCAAAGTTTGGGTTTTATTATGGTCATTGTGGTCTTGGTGGTCATCAAAGGTTGGTGGTCATCAGGGCTTGGTGGTCATCAGGGGTTGGGGTTTATTGTGGTCTTGGTGGTGGTCATCACAGGTTGGTGGTCATCAAGGGTTGGGTTTTGTCGTGGTCTTGGTGGTCAGTGTGGTCTTGGTGGTGGTCATCAGGGGTTGGTGGTCATCAAAGTTTGGGTTTTATTGTGGTCACTGTGGTCTTGGTGGTCATCAGACCTTGGTGATCATCATGGTCTTTGTGGTCATCATGGCCTTGGTGGTCATCAAGGGTTAGGTTTTGTCGTGGTTTTGGTGGTCATCAGACCTTGGTGGTCATCAAGGGTTGGTGGTCATCAGGAGTTGGTGGTCATCGTGGTCTTGGTGGTGGTCAGCGAGGGGTGGTGGTCATCAGGGGTTGGGTTTTTTCATGGTTTTGGTGGTCATCAGACCTTGGTGGTCATCAAGGTTTGGGTTTCATCCTGGTCTTGGTGGTCATCGTGGTCTTGGTGGTCATCAGGGGTTGGTGGTCATTGTGTTCTTGGTGGTCATCAAGGGTTTGGTCATCAAGAGTTGGTGTTGGTGGTCATCAAAGTTTGGGTTTTATTGTGGTCTTTGTGGTCATCCTGGCCTTGGTGGTCATCGTGGTCTTGGTGGTCATCGTGGTCTTGATGGTCATCAGGGGTTGGTGGTCATCAAAGTTTGGGTTTTATCATGGTTTTGGTGGTCAGCGTGCTCTTGGTGGTGGTCATCAAGGGTTGGGGTTAGTGGTCATCAGACCTTGGTGATCATCGTGGTCTTGGTGGTCATTAGGGGTTGGTGGTCATCAGGGGTTGGGTTTTGTCATGGTCTTGGTGGTCAGTGTGGTCTTGGTGGTCATCATGGCCTTGGTGGTCATTAGACCTTGGTGGTCATCAAGAGTTGGGTTTCGTCGTGGTCTTGGTGGTCATCAAGGGTTGGCACTGGTGGTCATCAAGGGTTGAGTTTCATTGTGATCTTGGTGGTCATCGTGGCCTTGGTGGTCATCAAGGGTTGGGTTTCGTCGTGGTCTTGGTGGTCATCAGGGGTTGGTGGTCATCGTGGTCTTGGTGGTCATCAAGAGTTGGTGTTGGTGGTCATCAAGGGTTGGGTATTATTGTCATCTTGGTGGCCATCAGGGGTTGGTGGTCATCGTGGCCTTGGTGGTCATCAAGGGTTTGGTTTTATTATGGTCTTGGTGGTCACTAAGGGTTGGGTGGTCATCAGGGGTTGGTGGTCATCAAGGGTTGGGTTTTATTGTGGTCTTGGTGGTCATAATGGACTTGGTGGACATCGTGGTCTTGGTGGTCATCAAGAGTTGGGGTTGTGGTCATCAGACCTTGGTGGTCATCAAGGGTTGGGTTTTATTGTGGTCATTGCAGTCATCGTGGTCTTGGTGGTCATCAGACCTTGGTGGTCAGTGTGGTCTTGGTGGTCATCGTGGTCTTGGTGGTCATCGTGGTCTTGGTGGTCATCAGACCTTCGTGGTCATCAACGGTTGGGTTTCGTCATGGTTTTGGTGGTCAGCGTGGTCTTGGTGGTCATCAGGCGTTGGGGTTGGTGGTCATCAAGGGTTGGTGGTCATCATGGCCTTGGTGGACATCATGGCCTTGGTGGTCATCATGGTCTTGGTGGTCATCAAATTTTGGGTTTTGTTGTGGTCATTGTGGTCTTGGTGGTCATCAGACCTTGGTGGTCATCGTGGTCTTGGTGGTCATCAAGGGTTGGGTTTTATTGTGGTCTTGGTGGTCATCATGGTCTTGGTGGTCATCAAGGGTTGGGTTTTATTGTGGTCTTGGTGGTCATCATGGCCTTGGTGGTCATCATGGTCTTGGTTGTCATCAAGGGTTTGTGGTCATCAAAGTTTGGGTTTTATTGTGGTCACTGTAGTCTTGGTGGTCATCAAAGGTTGGTGGTCATCAGGGGTTGGTGGTCATCAAAGTTTGGGTTTTATTGTGGTCATTGTGGTCTTGGTGGCCATTATGGCCTTGGTGGTCATCAAGAGTTGGGGTTGGTGGTCATCAGGGGTTGGTGGTCATCGTGGTTTTGGTGGTCATCGAGGGTTGGGTTTCATCCTGGTCTTTGTGGTCATCAAAGGTTGGGGTTGGTGGTCATCAGACCTTGATGGTCATCAAGGGTTGGGGTTGGTGGTCATCTTGGTCTTGGTGGTCATTGTGGTCAAGCGTGGTCCTGATGGTCACTCAGCCGGGGACTCAATAGTCACTCAACCTTGGCCATGGTGGTCACTCAATGCCGGTCAGTGTGACCGCAGCGGTCAGTGGGTCACTCAGTGGTCAGTGGTCACTCATTGGTCACTCAGTGGTCACTCAGTGGTCACTCAGTGGCCATTTTGGGTCATTTTTGGGTGATTTTAAGGCATTTTTAGGGGATTTTTTGGGGTTTTTGGGGTTGTGGTCACTCAGTGGTTACTCAGCGGTCACTCAGTGGTCACTCAGCAGTCAGTGGTCACTCAGTGGTCACTCAGTGGTCACTCAGTGGTCACTCAGCAGCCATTTTGGGTCATTTTTGGGTGATTTTAAGGCATTTTTAGGGGATTTTTGGGGGTTTTTGGGGTTGTGGTCACTCAGTGGTCACTCAGTGGTCACTCAGTGGTCACTTAGCGGTCAGTGATCTCTCAGTGGTCACTCATTGGTCACTCAGTGGTCAATCAGCGGCCATTTTGGGTCATTTTTGGGTGATTTTAAGGCATTTTTAGGGGATTTTTTGGGGTTTTTGGGGTTGTGGTCACTCAGTGGTCACTCAGTGGTCACTCAGCGGTCACTTAGCGGTCAGTGGTCACTCAGTGGTCACTCAGTGGTCACTCAGTGGTCACTCAGCGGCCATTTTGGGTCATTTTTGGGTGATTTTAAGGCATTTTTCGGGGATTTTTTGGGGTTTTTGGGGTTGTGGTCACTCAGTGGTCACTCAGTGGTCACTCAGCGGTCAGTTGGTCAGTTGGTCACTCTGTCCGCAGCACCATCACGCCGGTGGTGGGGAAGAAGCGCAAGCGGAACGTCTCCTCGGACAATTCGGACTCGGAGGCGCTCCCGACCCCGTCCCCGCGCCGCGACGACGACGCCACCGTGCAGGTGAGCGCACCTGGGGGCGGGGTCACCTGGGTGGGCGGGGCCACCTGGGGGCGTGGTCATCTGGGTGAGGTCACCTGAGATTGGTCATCTAGGTGGGTGTGGTCATTGCGTGTGGTCACTTGGGATTGGTCACCTGGGATTGGTCATCTGGGTGGGTGTGGTCACCTGGAGGTGTGGTCATTGGGTGTGGTCATCTGGATGGGCGTGGTCATCTGGGGGCGGGGCTACCTGGGGGTGTGGTCACTTTGGTGTGGTCATTTGGGTGTGGTCATTTGGGTGTGGTCACCTGGGATTGGTCACTGGTTGGGTGTGGTCAGCTGAGGTTGGTCATCTGGAATTGGTCACCTGTGTGGGTGTGGTCACCTGGGGGTGTGGTCACCTGGGATTGGTCACCTGGGTGGGTGTGTTCGCTTGGGAGTGGTCATTGGGTGTGGTCACTTGGGATTGGTCATCTGGGATTGGTCACCTGGTATTGGTCACCTGGGTGTGGTCATTTGGGTGTGGTCATTTGGGTGTGGTCATTGGGTGGGTGTGGTCATTGGATGGGTGTGGTCATCTGGGATTGGGCACCTGAGAGTGGTCATCTGGGGGCGTGGTCACCTAGGATTGGTCACTTGGGATTGGTCACCTGGGTGGGTGTGGTCACTTGGGTGTGGTCATCTTGGGTGTGGTCATTGGGTGGGTGTGGTCACCTGGGATTGGTCACCTGGGTGGGTGTGGTCATTGGGTGGGTGTGGTCACCTGGGATTGGTCACCTGGGTGGGTGTGGTCATTTGGTGGGTGTGGTCACCTGGGTGGATGTGGTCATTAGGGTGTGGTCACCTGGGATTGGTCACCTGGGTGGGTGTGGTCATTGGGTGGGTGTGGTCACCTGGGTGTGGTCACCTTGGTGTGGTCATTTGGGTGAGGTCACCTGGGTGGGTGTGGTCATTTGGGTGTGGTTACTTGGGTGTGGTCACCTGGATGGCTGTGGTCACCTGGGGGTGTGGTCATCTTGGGTGTGGTCACCTGGGTGTGGTCACCTGGGGGGCATGGTCATTTGGGTGAGGTCACCTGGATGGGTGTGGTCACTTGGGATTGGTCATCTGGGATTGGTCACCTGGGATTGGTCACCTGGGTGGGTGTGGTCATTGGGTGGGCGTGGTTCCTTAGGTGGGCATGGTCACCTTGGCCAGGTGTGGTCATTCATGTGGGCGTGGTCACCTGGTCAGGTCGGGTTATTCAGGTGGCTGTGGTCATTTGGGCGAGGTCACCTGGCCAGGTGTGGTCATTCAGGTGGCCGTGGCCACCTGGGCGTGGTTTTCGGGTTGGTGGGCGTGGTCTTTGGGCTGGTGGGCGTGTCCTGAGGCGGCCCCGCCCCGCAGAAGCGGCGCTCGAACCGGCAGGTGAAGCGCAAGAAGTACACGGAGGACCTGGACATCAAGATCACGGACGACGAGGAGGACGAGGAGCTGGACGTCACCGGGCCGGCGCGGCCCGAGCAGCCGCCGGCGCCGCCCCCGCCCGAGCCCGACGGCGCCGAGGCCCTGCCCTCCATGCAGTTCTTCGTGGTGGGTCTCCATCATCTTCATCATCATCATCTTCATCATTCCCTTCATCTTCTTCATCTTCTTCATCTTCTTGGTGGTCTTCATCTTCATGTTCTTCATGTTCTTCATGTTCTTCATCATCTTCCCGAGGCGCTGCCCTCCATGCAGTTCTTCGTGGTGGGTGTCCATCATCATCTTCATCATCCTCATTCCCTTCTTCTTCTTCACCTTCATCTTCATCTTCTTCATCTTGGTGTTCTTCATCTTCATTGTGTTCTTCATGTTCTTCATGTTCTTCATGTTCTTTATCGTCTTCCCGAGGCGCTGCCCTCCATGCAGTTCTTCGTGGTGGGTGCCCATCATCTTCATCATCCTCTTCTTCCTCATCATCTTCTTCATCTTCATCTTCATGTTCATCTTTGTGGTCATCTTGGTGTTCTTCATCTTCATCATGTTCTTCATGTTCTTTATCGTCTTCCCGAGGCGCTGCCCTCCATGCAGTTCTTCGTGGTGGGTCTCCATCTTCATCCTCACCTTCATCATCATCCTCATCTTCATTTTCTTCTTCATCTTCATCTTCATGTTCTTCATCGTATTCCTCATGTTCTACATCATCTTCATCTTCCCGAGGCGCTGCCCTCCATGCAGTTCTTCGTGGTGGGTCTCCATCATCTTCATCATCATCTTCATCTTCCTCATCTTCATCTTCTTCATCTTCATCTCTTCCACCACCTTCATCTTCATCATGTTCATCGTCTTCATCTCCACACCTTCATGTTCTTCATCTTCTCCACCACTTTCATCTTCTTCATCTCCATTATCTTCCACCCCTCCTCCATCCCCGTGACCTTTATCCCCTTCTCCACCACATTTGTCCTCCTCATCTCCACCATGTTCATCTTCATCATCTTCATCTTCCTCATCTTCTCCACCACCTCCTTCATCTTCTTCATCTTCTCCACCTCCTTCATCTTCATCACCTTCATCTTCTTCATCCTTCACCACCTCCTTCATCTCCACTACCTTGCTCTCCACCACCTTCATGTTCATCATCTTCACCACCTTCATCTTCTTGATCTTCATCCTCCTCATCTTTACCACCTTCATCTTCTTCATCATCTCCACACCTTCATCTTCTTCATCTCCTCCACCTTCATCATCTCAACGACCTTCATCTTCTCCACCTTCATCATCTTCATCATTTCCACCTTCATCTTCATAATCTTCATCCTCCTCATCTCCATGACCTTCATCTTCCTCATCTCCTCCACCACCTTCGTCTTCTCCACCACCTTCATCTTCCTCATCTTCACCACCTTCATCTTCATCCTTCTCATCTCCTCCACCACCTTCATCTTCATCATGTTCATCCTCCTCATCTTCTCCACCTTCATTATCTCCACCAGCTTCATCATCTTCACCATCACCTTCATCTTCTTCATCTGTTCACCACCTTCATCTTCATCTTTCTCATCTTCTCTACCTTCATGTTCTTCACCTTCATCATCTTCATCTTCTCCACCACTTTCATCTCCTCCACCTTCATCTTCTTCATCTCCTCCACCACCTTCATCCTCCTCATCTTCTCCACCTTCATCATCTTCATCTTCCTCATCTTGTCCACCACCTTTATCTTCATCATCTCCACACTTTCATCTTCTTCACCTTCATCCTCATCTTCTCCTCCTTCATCTTCCTCATCTTCATCCTCCTCATCTTCTCCACCTTCATCATCTCCACCAGCTTCATCATCTTCACCATCACCTTCATCTTCCTCATTTTCTCCACCTTCATCTTCTTCATCTTCTCCACCACTTTCGTCTTCATCATCTGCATCATCTTCATCTTCATCATCTTCATCCTCCTCATTTTCTTCATCTTCTCCATCACCTTCATCTTAATCATCTTCTCCATCTTCATCTTCATTCTCTTCATCATCTTCATCTCCACCACCTTCATCTTCTTCATCTTCTCCATCACCTTCATCTTCATCACCTTCATCTTCCTCATCTTCTCCACCTTCATCTTCATCACCTTCATCTTCCTCATCTTCTTCATCTTCTCCACCACCTTCATCTTCATCTTCCTCATCTTCTCCACCTTCATCTTCCTCATTTCCACCTTCATCATTTTCATCTTCTCCAGCACCTTCATCTTCATCACCTTCATCCTCCTCGTCTTCTTCATCTCCTCCACCACCTTCATCACCTTCATCTTCTTCATCTCCACCTTCATCATCTTCATCTTTCTCCACCAGCTTCATCTTCCTCATCTTGTCCACCACATTCATCGTCTTCATCTTCACCACCTTCATCTTCCTCATTTTCTCCATCTTCATCTTCATCTTCTCCACCACCTTCATCTTCATCTTCATCATCTTCTCCACCTTCATCTTCTTCATCTTCTTCACCTTCATCCTCCTCTTCTTCATCTTCTTCACCACCTTCATCTTCCTCATCTTCTCCGCCTACTTCATCTTCCTCCTCTTCTCCACCTTCATCATCTTCATCTCCACCACCTTCATCTTCCTCATCTTCATCCTCCTCATCTTCTTCATGTCCTCCATCACCTTCATCTCCACCACCTTCATCCTCCTCATTTTCTCCATCTTCATCTTCTTCTCATCTTCTCCACCACTTTCGTCTTCATCATCTTCATCTTCATCATCTTCATCCTCCTCATTTTCTTCGTCTTCTCCTCCTCCTTCATCTTCTTCATCTTCTCCTCCACCTTTATCTTCATCACCTTCACCTTCATCTTCCTCATTTTCTCCACCTTCATCTTCATCTTCTCCACCACCTTCATCTTCTTCATCTTCTCCACCTTCATCATCTTCATCCTTCATCTTTCTCATCTTCTCCACCACCTTCATTTTCTTTCTCATCTCCACCACCTTCATCTTCATCACCTTCATCCTTCTCATTTTCTTCATCTTCTCCACCACATCCATCTTCTTCATCTCCACCACCACCTTCATCTTCATCACCTTCGCCCTCCTCATCTTCTTCATCTTCTCCACCACCTTCATCATCTTCATCTTCCTCATCTCCACCACCTTCATCTTCATCATCTTCATCTTCATCTCCACCACCTTCATCTTCTTCATCTCCTCCACCACCTTCATCTTCCTCATGTTGTTCACCTTCATCTTCATCATCTCCACACCTTCATCTTCATCTTCTTCACCACCTTCATCACCTTCATCTCCACCACCTTCATCTTCATCTCCACACCTTCATCTTCCTCATCTTCATCCTCCTCATCTTCTTCATCTTCTCCACCACTTTCATCTTCATCATCTTCGTCTTCATCATCTTATCTTCACCACCTTTATCTTCCTCACCTTCATCTCCTTCATCTTCTCCACACCTTCATCTTCTCCACCTTCATCCTCCTCATCTTCTCTATGACCTTCATCCCTGACCTTCATCCCTGACCTTCCTCCTCCTCCCCAGGAGAACCCGAGCGAGGAGGACGCGGCCATCGTGGACAAGGTGCTGTCCATGCGAGTGGTCAAGAAGGAGGTGAGGCCAGCGGGGCGGGGGCGGGGCGTGGCCGGAGTGACCCTCGGGCCTTCCTCCCCCTCCTCATCCTCCTCATGGTCATCTTCGTCCCCAGCTGCCCTCGGGACAGGTGGTGGAGGCCGAGGAGTTCTTCGTCAAGTACAAGAACTAGTAGGTGGTCACTCGGGGGGCGGTCAGGGTGGTCACTCGGGGTCACTTGTGGTCACTTGTGGTCATTTATGGTCAGTTATGGTCACTCGTGGTCAGTTTGGGGTCATTTATGGTCATTTTGGGGTCAGTTATGGTCAGTTATGGTCAGTTATGGTCACTTGTGGTCACTCATGGTCAGTTATGGTCATTCATGGTCATTTATGGTCATTGATGGTCAGTTGTGGTCACTCATGGTCAGTTATGGTCAGTTTGGGGTCATTGATGGTCAGTTTGGGGTCATTGATGGTCAGTTATGGTCACTAATGGTCAGTTTGGGGTCATTTCTGGTCACTTTGGGGTCAGTTAGGGTCAGTCATGGTCATTTTGGGGTCATTTATGGTCACTCATGGTCACTCGGGGTCACTCGGGGTCACTCGGGGGTGTTTTTTTTCTCGTTTTTGTGTATTTTGTGTGTTTTTTTCTCATTTTTGGGTATTTTGGGCTGTTTTTTCCGTGTTTTGTGTATTTTGGGGTGAATTTTGAACATTTTGGGTTTTTTCTGCCCCCAGCTCGTACCTGCACTGCTCCTTTTGGGCTCATTTTTGGGTATTTTGGGGCGGTTTTTTCTCATTTTTGGCTATTTTGGGGTGGTTTTTTCGCGTTTTTGGGTATTTTGGGCTGTTTTTTTCTGTTTTTTTTGATATTTTGGGTTGAATTTTGAACATTTTGGGTTTTTTCTGCCCCCAGCTCAAACCTGCACTGCTCCTTTTGGGCTCATTTTTCGGTATTTTGGGTGTTTTTTGCTCATTTTTGGGTATTTTGGGGTGTTTTTTTCGCGTTTTTGGGTATTTTTGGGTGTTTTTTTCTCATTTTTTGATATTTTGGGTTGAATTTTGAACATTTTGGGTTTTCCTGCCCCCAGCTCGTACCTGCACTGCGAGTGGGCGACGATCGCACAGTTGGAGAAGGACAAAAGGATCCACCAGAAACTGAAACGCTTCAAGACCAAAATGAACCAAATGCGGCATTTTTTCCACGAGGTGGGGGCAAAATCGGCGTTTTGGGGGAAAAAACGGCGGTTTTGGGAAAAATCGGGGTTTTGGGGGAAAATCTGGGTTTTTTTAGGGGAAAATCTGGGGTTTTTTGGGGGAAAATGGGGTTTTTCTGGGGAAAAATTGAGGATGGTTTGAGGAAAAAATTGGGATTTTTTTGGGAAAAATTGGGGATTTTTTTTAGGAAAAAATGGGGGTTTTTTAGGAAAATTGGGGATTTTTTTAGGAAAAATTGGGGATTTTTTTAGGAAAAAATGGGGATTTTTTTTAAGGAAAAGTGGGGTGTTTTTGGAAAAATAGTGATTTTTTTCAGAAGAATTGCGATTTTTGGGGAAAAAATGGGGATTTTTTGAAAAATTTGGGGGTTTTGGGGAAGATTACAATTTTTGTGGGGAACAATGGGCTTTTTGGGGGAAAATATGGGGTTTTTGGGGAAAATATGGGGTTTTGGGGAAAATTGGGGATTTTGGGGGGAAAAAGATCTGAGGATTGGGGGAAATGGGGTTTTTTGGGGAAAAATTGGAGATTTTTTAGGAAAAAATTGTGAGTTCTTGGGAAAAAATGCAGTTTTTGGGAGAAATCCAGGTTTTTGGGGGAAAAATGGGGATTTTTTGGGGAAAATATTGGAATTTGGGGTGAGAATTGGGGATTTTGGGAAAAATGGGGATTTTTTGGGGGAAAATGGTGAATTTTGGGGGAAGATGGAGGATTTTGGGGGGGAAAAGTGGGATTTTTTTGGGGAAAATTTTTGGGGGGAAATGGGGGATTTTTGGGTGGAAAATGGGGGATTTTTGGAGGGAAAATTGGGGGTTTTTTTGGGGAGAAAATTGGGAATTTTGGGGGGGAAAATTGGGAATTTTGGGGGGAAAATGGGGGATTTTTGGGGGAAAAATTGGGAATTTTGGGGGGGAAAATTGGGAATTTTGGAGGGAAAATGGGATTTTTTTTGGGAAAACGGGGGATTTTGGAGCTAAATCCAGGGGAAAGGGGCAGAAGGGGATTTTGGGGTGAAAGAGGAGGATTTTGGGGTGAAAAAAGAGGATTTTGGGCAGGATGAGGAGCCCTTCAACCCCGACTACGTGGAGGTGGATCGGATCCTGGACGAGTCGCACAGCGTGGACAAGGACAACGGCGAGGTCGGAAAATTGGGGGAAAAAACCAAAATTTGGGATTTTTTAAAGGGTTTTTGGGGTTAAAAATCTAAAATTGGGGATTTTTGGGGAGAAAAGCCCAAAATTGGGGATTTTCGGGGGGTTTTTGGGTGGTAGAAACCCAAAATTGGGGATTTTTTCGTGGGTTTTGAGTGGTAGAAACCCAAAATTGGGATTTTTAGGGTTTTTTGAGCGGTAGAAACCCAAAATTGGGATTTTTTAGGGGTTTTTGGGTGCTAGAAACCCAAAATTGGGATTTTTAGGATTTTTGGGGTTAAAAAAATCAACATTTACGAATTTTCAGGGATTTTGTGGCATTAAAACCGCAAAAAATGAGAATTTTCTGAGGATTTGGGGTGTCAAAACCCCAAAAAATTGGAATTTTCTGAGGATTTGTGGTGTCAAAACCCCAAAATTGGGATTTTTAGGGTTTTGGGGCTTAAAAAATCAACAGTTACGAATTTTCAGGGGTTTTGTGGCGTTAAAACCCCAAAAAATGGGAATTTTCCGAGGATTTGGGGTGTCAAAACCCCAAAATTGGGGATTTTTGGGGGTTTTAATCGGTTAAAACCCCAAAAAATGGGAATTTTCCGAGGATTTGGTGGGTTAAAACCCCAAAATGGGAATTTTCCGAGGATTTGGGGGGTTAAAACCCCAAAATTGGGGGTTTTTGGGGGTTTTAGTTGGTTAAAACCCAAAAAAATTGGAATTTTCCGAGGATTTGGGGGGTTAAAACCCCAAAATTGGGGATTTTTGGGGGTTTTAGTTGGTTAAAACCACAAAATTTGGGATTTTTTGGGGTGGTAGAAGCCCAAAATTGGGGATTTTTAGGGGATTTTGGGGTTGGTTACCTGCCCAGGTGAGGTGGGTTTGGTGCCCAGGTGAGGTGATTTACCTGCCCAGGTGAGGTGGGTTAGGTGCCCGGGTGAGGTGTTTTAGGTGCCCAGGTGAGGTGTTTTACCTGCCCAGGTGGGGTATTTTAGGTGCCCAGGTGAGGTGATTTACCTGCCCAGGTGAGGTGTTTTTGGTGCCCAGGTGTGCAGCTCACCTGCCCAGGTGTGTCCCCAGCCCGTGGTGTATTACCTGGTGAAGTGGGGTGGGTTTGGTGCCCAGGTGGGGTGGGTTAGGTGCCCAGGTGAGGTGTTTTAGGTGCCCAGGTGAGGTGTTTCACCTGCCCAGGTGTGCAGCTCACCTGCCCAGGTGTGTCCCCAGCCTGTGGTGTATTACCTGGTGAAGTGGGGTGGGTTTGGTGCCCAGGTGAGGTGGGTTTGGTGCCCAGGTGAGGTCAGTTACCTGCCCAGGTGAGGTGATTTAGGTGCCCAGGTGAGGTGATTTACCTGCCCAGGTGTGTCCCCAGCCCGTGGTGTATTACCTGGTGAAGTGGGGTGGGTCAGGTGCCCAGGTGAGGTGGGTTTGGTGCCCAGGTGAGGTGGGTTTGGTGCCCAGGTGAGGTGTGTTACCTGCCCAGGTGAGGTGATTTACCTGCCCAGGTGAGGTGATTCACCTGCCCAGGTGAGGTGATTTACCTGCCCAGGTGTGTCCCCAGCCCGTGGTGTATTACCTGGTGAAGTGGGGTGGGTTTGGTGCCCAGGTGAGGTGGGTTACCTGCCCAGGTGAGGTGATTTACCTGCCCAGGTGAGGTGTTTCACCTGCCCAGGTGTGCAGCTCACCTGCCCAGGTGTGTCCCCAGCCCGTGGTGTATTACCTGGTGCAGTGGGGTGGGTTAGGTGCCCAGGTGAGGTGGGTTTGGTGCCCAGGTGAGGTGTTTTAGGTGCCCAGGTGAGGTGTCTCACCTGCCCAGGTGTGCAGCTCACCTGCCCAGGTGTGTCCCCAGCCCGTGGTGTATTACCTGGTGCAGTGGGGTGGGTTTGGTGCCCAGGTGAGGTGGGTTAGGTGCCCAGGTGAGGTGGGTTAGGTGCCCAGGTGAGGTCAGTTACCTGCCCAGGTGAGGTGATTTACCTGCCCAGGTGTGTCCCCAGCCCGTGGTGTATTACCTGGTGCAGTGAGGTGGGTTTGGTGCCCAGGTGAGGTGTTTTAGGTGCCCAGGTGAGGTGATTTACCTGCCCAGGTGAGGTCAGTTACCTGCCCAGGTGAGGTGATTTACCTGCCCAGGTGTGTCCCCAGCCCGTGGTGTATTACCTGGTGAAGTGGGGTGGGTTTGGTGCCCAGGTGAGGTGGGTCAGGTGCCCAGGTGAGGTGGGTCAGGTGCCCAGGTGAGGTGTTTTAGCTGCCCAGGTGAGGTGTTTCACCTGCCCAGGTGAGGTCAGTTACCTGCCCAGGTGTGCAGCTCACCTGCCCAGGTGTGTCCCCAGCCCGTGGTGTATTACCTGGTGCAGTGGGGTGGGTTTGGTGCCCAGGTGAGGTGGGTTTGGTGCCCAGGTGAGGTGATTTACCTGCCCAGGTGAGGTGTTTTAGGTGCCCAGGTGAGGTGATTTACCTGCCCAGGTGTGTCCGCAGCCCGTGCTGTATTACCTGGTGCAGTGGGGTGGGTTTGGTGCCCAGGTGAGGTCAGTTACCTGCCCAGGTGAGGTGGGTTTGGTGCCCAGGTGAGGTGTTTTAGGTGCCCAGGTGTGCAGCTCACCTGCCCAGGTGTGTCCCCAGCCCGTGGTGTATTACCTGGTGCAGTGGGGTGGGTTTGGTGCCCAGGTGAGGTGGGTTGGGTGCCCAGGTGAGGTGTTTTAGGTGCCCAGGTGAGGTGTTTCACCTGCCCAGGTGAGGTGATTTACCTGCCCAGGTGTGTCCCCAGCCCGTGGTGTATTACCTGGTCAAGTGGTGCTCCCTGCCCTACGAGGACAGCACCTGGGAGCTGCAGGAGGACGTGGACGAGGCCAAAATCGCCGAATTCAAACGGATCCAGGCCCGGCACCCCGAGCTCAAGAGACAGGTGAGGCGCACCTGCACAGGTGAGGTACACCTGCACAGGTGAGATAAACCCATACAGGTGAGGCGCGCCCATACAGGTGAGATAAACCCATACAGGTGAGGCACACCTGCACAGGTGAGGCGCACCTGGACAGGTGAGATACACCCGTACAGGTGAGATACACCCATACAGGTGAGATACATCCATACAGGTGAGATACACCCATACAGGTGAGGCACACCTGCACAGGTGAGATACACCCATACAGGTGAGATACACCCATACAGGTGAGATACACCCATACAGGTGAGATACATCCATACAGGTGAGGCACGCCCATACAGGTGAGATACGCCCATACAGGTGAGATACACCCATACAGGTGAGATACACCTATACAGGTGAGATACATCCATACAGGTGAGATACACCCATACAGGTGAGATACACACATACAGGTGAGATACGCCCATACAGGTGAGATACATCCATACAGGTGAGATAAACACATACAGGTGAGATACACCCATACAGGTGAGATACACACATACAGGTGAGATACGCCCATACAGGTGAGATACATCCATACAGGTGAGATAAACACATACAGGTGAGATACACCCATACAGGTGAGGTACATCCAGACAGGTGAGGTGCACCCATACAGGTGAGGTAAACCCATATACGTGAGATAGACCCATACAGGTGAGGCGCACCTGGACAGGTGAGGTGCGCCCATACAGGTGAGGCGCACCTGGACAGGTGAGGCGCACCCATACAGGTGAGGCGCACCTGGACAGGTGAGGTGCGCCCATACAGGTGAGATAAACCCATACAGGTGAGATACATCCATACAGGTGAGGCGCACCTGCACAGGTGAATATGCCACACCTGTCTCACCTGTATCTCACCTGTCTCTCACCTGTATCTAACCTGTCCCACCTGTATTTCATTTATCTCACCTGTTTCACTTGTCTCACCTGTCTGACGTGTCCCACCTGTATCTTACCTGTATCTCACCTGTCTCACCTGTATTTCATTAATCTCACCTGTATCTCACCTGTCCTACCTGTATCTCAGTAATCTCACCTGTCTCACCTGTATCTCACCTGTCTCACCTGTCTCACCTGACTCACCTGTCTCACCTGTATCTCACCTGTCTCTTATTTATCTCACCTGTCTCACCTGTACCTCACCTGTACCTCACCTGTACCTCTCCGAGCTCACCTGTCTCTCACCTGTCTCTCACCTGTGTCTCACCTGCGCAGCCCCGCCCATATCTCACCTGTGTCTCACCTGTATCTCACCTGTATCTCATTTATCTCACCTGTATCTCATTTATCTCACCTGTATCTCACCTGTCCCACCTGTATCTCATTTATCTTACCTGTATCTCACCTGTCTCACCTGTATCTCACCTGTATCACACCTGTACCTCACTAATCTCACCCATATCTCACCTGTATCTCATTTATCTCACCTGTCTCACCTGTCTCACCTGTCTCTCACCTGTATCTCACCTGTCCCACCTGTCTCACCTGTATCTCACCTGTGTCTCACCTGTACCTCCCCGAGCTCACCTGTATCTCACTTGTCTCACCTGTATCTCACCTGTATCTCATTAATCTCACCTGTATCTCACCTGTATCTCATTAATCTCACCTGTCTCACCTGTCTCACCTGTCTCACCTGTCTCACCTGCCAGCCCCGCCCCCAGGCCGCCGCCTGGAAGAAGTTGGAGTCGTCGCGGGAGTACAAGAACCACAACCGGCTGCGGGAGTACCAGCTGGAAGGGGTTAACTGGCTGCTCTTCAACTGGTACAACAGGTGAGCGCACCTGGGCACACCTGGGCACAGGTAAATCACCTGGGGAATGGCTAAAAAATGGGGAAATTGCCAAAAAACACCTGGGACAGGTGAGGTCACCTGCGGGCTGGAAGGGGTTAACTGGCTGCTCTTCAACTGGTACAACAGGTGAGCGCACCTGGGCACACCTGGGCACACCTGGGCACAGGTAAATCACCTGGGGAATGGGGAAATTGCCAAAAAACACCTGGGACAGGTGAGGTTACCTGCGGGCTGGAAGGGGTTAACTGGCTGCTCTTCAACTGGTACAACAGGTGAGCACACCTGGGGACACCTGAGCACACCTGGGCACAGGTAAATCACCTGGGGAATGGGGAAATTCCCAAAAAACTCCTGGGACAGGTGAGCTCACCTGCGGGCTGGAAGGGGTTAACTGGCTGCTCTTCAACTGGTACAACAGGTGAGCACACCTGGGCACACCTGAGCACACCTGGGCACAGGTAAATCACCTGGGGAATGGCTGGGAAAGGGGGAAATTGCCAAAAAACACCTGGGACAGGTGAGGTTACCTGCGGGCTGGAAGGGGTTAACTGGCTGCTCTTCAACTGGTACAACAGGTGAGCACACCTGGGGACAGGTGAGCACACCTGGGCACAGGTAAATCACCTGGGGAATGGCTAAAGAACGGGGAAATTGCCAAAAAACACCTGGGACAGGTGAGGTTACCTGTGCGCTGGAAGGGGTTAACTGGCTGCTCTTCAACTGGTACAACAGGTGAGCGCACCTGGGGACAGGTGAGCACACCTGGGCACAGGTAAATCACCTGGGGAATGGCTGGGAAAGGGGGAAATTGCCAAAAAACACCTGGGACAGGTGAGGTTACCTGCGGGCTGGAAGGGGTTAACTGGCTGCTCTTCAACTGGTACAACAGGTGAGCACACCTGGGCACACCTGGGCACACCTGGGCACAGGTAAAACACCTGGGGAAGGGAAATGGGAAGTGTCAGGTGCACCTTACCTGTCCCAGGTACAGCTTACCTGTCTCAGGTGTATCTCAGGTGTATGTTACCTTTCCCAGGTGTACCTTACCTGTCCCAGGTGTATCTCAGGTGGCTGTTATCTATGTCAGGTGCACCTTACCTGTCCCAGGTGCACCTTACCTGTCTCAGGTGTATCCCAGGTATATCTTACCTGTCCCAGGTGTATCTCAGGTGGATGTTATCTATCTCAGGTGCACATTACCTGTCCCAGGTACACCTTACCTGTCCCAGGTGTATCTCAGGTGCACGTTACGTGTCCCAGGTGTGCATTACCTGTCCCAGGTGTATCTCAGGTACACCTTACCTGTCCCAGGTGCCCATTACCTGTCCCAGGCGCAGCTTACCTGTCCCAGGTGTATGTTACTTGTCTCAGGGATACCTTACCTGTTTCAGGTGTATTTTATCTGTCCCCAGCACACCTTACCTGTCCCAGGTGCACCTTACCTGTCACAGGTGTATGTTACCTGTCCCAGGTATATCTCAGGTGAATGTTACCTATGTCCGGTGCACCTTACCTGTCCCAGGTGTATGTTACCTTTCCCAGGTGTATGTTACCTGTCCCAGGTGTACTTTACCTGTCCCAGGTGTATCTTAGGTGGGTGTTATCTATCTCAGGTGCACCTTACCTGTCCCAGGCATACCTTACCTGTCCCAGGTGCACCCTAGGCACACCTTACCTGTCCGAGACCTCCCCCCGTGCCTCACCTGCACCTCACCTGTGCCTCACCTGCGTCCCACCTGTCGCGCAGGCAGAACTGCATCCTGGCGGACGAGATGGGGCTGGGCAAGACGATCCAGTCGATCGCGTTCCTGCAGGAGGTGCACGGCGCAGGTGTGCGCGGCCCGTACCTGGTGATCGCGCCGCTCTCCACCATCGCCAACTGGGAGCGCGAGTTCGGCACCTGGACGCACCTGAACACCATCGTCTACCACGGCAGCCTGGCCAGCCGGCAGATGATCCAGCAGTACGAGATGTACTGCAAGGACGGCAAGGTGAGCGCACCTGGGCGCACCTGGGCGCACCTGGGCATTCATATTGTACATGTAACACACCTGTGTGGGGCTGTAATACACCTGTATGGGGGTTAATGACACACCTGAGCACACCTGGCCAGCCGGCAGATGATCCAGCAGTACGAGATGTACTGCAAGGACGGCAAGGTGAGCTCACCTGGGCGCACCTGGGCGCACTTGGGCACACCTGGGTATTCATATTGTACATAGAACACACCTGTATGGGGCTGTAATACACCTGTATGGGGCTGTAATACACCTGTATGGGGGTTAATGACACACCTGTATGGGGGTTATGGGCACACTGACACACCTGAGCACACCTGGGTGCACCTGGGCACACCTGGGCACACCTGGGCACTCATATTGTACATATAACACACCTGTATGGGGCTATAATACACCTGTATGGGGTTAATGACACACCTGTATGGGGGTTAATGACACACCTGTATGGGGGTTAATGACACACCTGTATGGGGGTTATGGGGACACTGACACACCTGAGCACACCTGGCCAGCCGGCAGATGATCCAGCAGTACGAGATGTACTGCAAGGACGGCAAGGTGAGCTCACCTGGGCGCACCTGGGCGCACCTGGGCACACCTGGGCACACCTGGGAACTCGTACTATACATATAACACACCTGTATGGGGCTATAATACACCTGTATGGGGCTATGGGCACACCTGTATGGAGGTCAATGACACACCTGTATGGGGGTTAATGACACACCTGTATGGGGGTTAATGACACACCTGTATGGGGGTTATGGGGACACTGACACACCTGAGCACACCTGGCCAGCCGGCAGATGATCCAGCAGTACGAGATGTACTGCAAGGACGGCAAGGTGAGCTCACCTGGGCGCACCTGGGCACTCGTATTGTACATATAACACACCTGTATGGGGCTGTAATACACCTGTATGGGGGTTAATGACACACCTGTATGGGGACACTGACACACCTGAGCTCACCTGGGCACACCTGGGCACACCTGGGCACACCTGTGTGCTCATATTGTACATATAACACACCTGTATGGGGCTGTAATACACCTGTATGGGGCCCTATGGGCACACCTGTATGGGGCTATGGGCACAGTGACACACCTGAGCACACCTGGGCACACCTGGGCACACTTGAGCACACCTGGGCATTCATAATTTACATATAATACACCTGTATGGGGTTGTAATACACCTGTATGGGGCTGCAATACACCTGTATGGGGCTGTAATACACCTGTATGGAGGTTAATGACACACCTGTATGGGGCTATGGGGACACTGACACACCTGAGCACACCTGTGTGCCCTAACACACCTGTATTGTACATATAACACACCTGTATGGGGCTGTAATACACCTGTATGGGGTCTATAATACACCTGTATGGGGGTTAATGACACACCTGTATGGGGCTATGGGGACACTGACACACCTGAGCACACCTGGCCAGCCGGCAGATGATCCAGCAGTACGAGATGTACTGCAAGGACGGCAAGGTGAGCTCACCTGGGCGCACCTGTGTGCCCTAACACACCTGTATGGGGCTGTAATACACCTGTATGGGGCTGTAATACACCTGTATGGGGCAGTAATACACCTGTATGGGGACACTGACACACCTGAGCACACCTGGGCACACCTAGGCATTCATATTGTACATATAACACACCTGTATGGGGCTGTAATACACCTGTATGGGGCCTGTAATACACCTGTATGGGGGTTAATGACACACCTGTATGGGGCTATGGGGACACTGACACACCTGGGCACACCTGTGTGCTCTAACACACCTGTATGGGGGTTAATGACACACCTGTATGGGGGTTAATGACACACCTGTATGGGGCTATGGGCACACTGACACACCTGAGCACACCTGGGCACACCTGGGCACACCTGTGTGCTCATATTGTACATGTAACACACCTGTATGGGGCTGTAATACACCTTTATGGGGGTTAATGACACACCTGTATGGGGTCTATAATACACTTGTATGGGGTTAATGACACACCTGTATGGGGCTATGGGGACACTGACACACCTGAGCACACCTGGGCACACTTGGGCATTCATATTGTACATACAACACACCTGTATGGGGCCTATAATACACCTGTATGGGGCTATAACACACCTGTATGGGGTCTATAATACACCTGTATGGGGTTATTGACACACCTGTGTGGGGTTATTGAGACACTTGTACACACCTGTATGGGGTCTATAATACACCTGTTTGGAGTTATTGACACACCTGTTTGGAGTTATTGACACACCTGTATGGGGGTTATTGACACACCTGTATGGGGTCTACAATACACCTGTATGGAGTTATTGACACACCTGTATGGGGTCTATAATAGATCTGTATGGGGTTATTGACACACCTGTGCATACTTGTGCACACCTGTATGGGGTTATTGACACACCTGCACACACCTGTATGGGGTTATTGACACACCTGCACACACCTGTATGGGGGTTAATAGCACACCTGTATGGGGTCAGTGACACACCTGCGCACACCTGTATGGGGGTTAATGGCACACCTGTATTGGGGTTAATGACACAACTGTACGCACCTGTATGGGGTTATTGACACACCTGTGCACACCTGTATGGGTTCAGTGACACACCTGTGCACACCTGTGCACACCTGTACGCACATTATAAAGTATCACAATTAACCGACAGGTGACCCACTATTACAAAAGGGATTTTTAGGCCTTCCAGGTGACCTCACCTGCCTCACCTGTCTCACCTGTCTCACCTGTCGTGCAGGGCCGGCTGATCCCGGGCGCGTACAAGTTCGACGCGCTGATCACGACCTTCGAGATGATCCTGAGCGACTGCCCCGAGCTGCGCGAGGTGCCGTGGCGCTGCGCCGTCATCGACGAGGCGCACCGGCTGAAAAACCGGCACTGCAAGCTGCTGGACAGCCTCAAGCACATGGACCTGGTCAGTGACGCACCTGGGCACACCTGGGCACTCACCTGGGCACACCTGGGGAGGTTACAGATACACCTGGGTATCGTACATGGGGGGTTTGGGGTAAGGTACTGCCTCAAGAACCGGCACTGCAAGCTGCTGGACAGCCTCAAGCACATGGACCTGGTCAGTGACTCACCTGGGCACACCTGGGCACACCTGGGCACACCTGAGATACACCTGGGCACACCTGTATATCATATATGGCCGATTTGGGATCATATCTGGGGGTTTGGGGTCATACCTGGGGGGTTTGGGGTCACACTGCAAGCTGCTGGACAGCCTCAAGCACATGGAGCTGGTGAGTGACACTCACCTGGGCACACCTGGGCACACCTGGGCACACCTGAGTATTGTACATGAGGGATTTGGGGTCATACCTGGGGGATTTGGGGTTATTTACCGCCTCAAGAACCGGCACTGCAAGCTGCTGGACAGCCTCAAGCACATGGAGCTGGTGAGTGGCGCACCTGGGCACACCTGGGCACACCTGGGCACACCTGGGCACTCACCTGGGCACACCTGGGCACTCACCTGAGGGGGTTTGGGGTCATATCTGGGGAGTTTGGGGTCAGGTACTGCCTCAAGAACCGGCACTGCAAGCTGCTGGACAGCCTCAAGCACATGGACCTGGTCAGTGACTCACCTGGGCACACCTGGGCACACCTGGGTATCAGAAATGGACATTTTGGGGTAATATATGGGGTATTTGGGGTTATTTACTGGCTGAAGAACCGGCACTGCAAGCTGCTGGACAGCCTCAAGCACATGGACCTGGTGAGTGGGGCACACCTGGGCACACCTGGGCACACCTGGGGGGGTTAGAACACACCTGGGCACACCTGAGTGTCAGAAATGGGGGTTAGAACACACCTGGGTATCGTACTTGAGGGGTTTGGGGTCACACTGCAAGCTGCTGGACAGCCTCAAGCACATGGACCTGGTGAGTGGGGCACACCTGGGCACACCTGGGCACACCTGGGCACACCTGGGCACACCTGGGGTACACCTGGGTACCATACATGGGGGTTACAGACACACCACCGGCTGAAGAACCGGCACTGCAAGCTGCTGGACAGCCTCAAGCACATGGACCTGGTGAGTGGGGCACACCTGGGCACACCTGGGCACACCTGGGCACACCTGGGGAACACAGGAACCCCATACCTGGGGGGTTTATAGGGGTTTGGGGTCATACCTGGGGAGTTTGGGGTCAGGTACTGCCTCAAGAACCGGCACTGCAAGCTGCTGGACAGCCTCAAGCACATGGACCTGGTCAGTGACTCACCTGGGCACACCTGGGCACTCACCTGGGCACACCTGGGCACACCTGGGCACACCTGGGATACACCTGAGATACACCTGAGTATTGTACATGGGGAGTTTGGGGTCATATCTGGGGATTTGGGGTCATATCTGAGGGGTTTGGGGTCACACTGTGAGCTGCTGGACAGCCTCAAGCACATGGAGCTGGTGAGTGGCGCACCTGGGCACACCTGGGCACACCTGGGATACACCTGGGCACACCTGGGGATCAGAAATGGGGGTTACAGACACACTGAGGGGGTTACAGACACACCACCGGCTGAAAAACCGGCACTGCAAGCTGCTGGACAGCCTCAAGCACATGGACCTGGTCAGTGACACTCACCTGGGCACTCACCTGGGCACACCTGGGATACACCTGAGTATCAGAAATGGGGGACTTATAGGGGTTTGGGGTCATACCTGGGGGTTTTATAGGTGTTTGGGGTCACACTGCAAGCTGCTGGACAGCCTCAAGCACATGGACCTGGTCAGTGACTCACCTGGGCACTCACCTGGGCACACCTGGGTACACCTGGGCACACCTGGGTATCAGAAATTGGGGATTTGGGGTCATACCTGGGGGGTTTATAGGGGTTTAGGGACAGGTACTGCATCAAAAACCGGCACTGCAAGCTGCTGGACAGCCTCAAGCACATGGACCTGGTGAGTGACTCACCTGGGCACACCTGGGCACACCTGGGCACTCACCTGTGCGGGTTAGAACACACCTGGGTACCATACATGGGGGGTTTGGGGTCATATCTGGGGGTTTGGGGTCACACTGCAAGCTGCTGGACAGCCTCAAGCACATGGACCTGGTCAGTGACTCACCTGGGCACACCTGGGCACACCTGAGATACACCTGAGGGGGTTACAGACACACCTGGGTATCGTACATGGGGGATTTGGGGTATGGTACTGCCCTAAAAACCGGCACTGCAAGCTGCTGGACAGCCTCAAGCACATGGACCTGGTCAGTGACACTCACCTGGGCACACCTGGGCACACCTGGGCACTCACCTGTGCGGGTTAGAACACACCTGGGTATCGTACATGGGGTATTTGGGGTCAGGTACCGGCTGAAAAACCGGCACTGCAAGCTGCTGGACAGCCTCAAGCACATGGACCTGGTGAGTGGTGCACCTGGGCACACCTGGGCACACCTGGGCACACCTGGGTATCACAAATGGGGGATTTGGGGTCATATCTGGGGGTTTTATATGGGATTTGGGGTTATTTACCGGCTGAAGAACCGGCACTGCAGCTGCTGGACAGCCTCAAGCACATGGACCTGGTCAGTGACACTCACCTGGGCACTCACCTGGGCACACCTGGGCACACCTGGGGAGCACAGGAACCCCATACCTGGGGGTTTATAGGGGTTTTGGGTCACACTGCAAGCTGCTGGACAGCCTCAAGCACATGGAGCTGGTCAGTGACTCACCTGGGCACTCACCTGGGCACACCTGGGCACACCTGGGCACACCTGGGCACACCTGAGTATTGTACATGTGGGATTTGGGGTCATACCTGGGGATTTGGGGTCACACTGCAAGCTGCTGGACAGCCTCAAGCACATGGACCTGGTCAGTGGCTCACCTGGGCACTCACCTGGGCACACCTGAGATACACCTGGGCACACCTGGGATATACCTGGGATACACTTGAGCATACCTGGGGATACCTGGGCACACTTGGGATACATCTGGGCACACCTGGGATATACCTGGGATACACCTGGGCGCACCTGAGATACACCTCAGCACACCTAAACAAAGCTGTGCCCACCTGTGGGAGGTTTGGGAGGGGTTTTACCTGTCCCAGGTGTGTTTTACCTGCCCCAGGTGTATGTTACCTGTCTCAGGTGTGCTCACCTGTCTCACCTGCAGGAGCACAAGGTGCTGCTGACCAGGAGAAGCTCTGAGCCCCACCTGTGCCCACCTGTGCCCACCTGTGGGAGGTCTGGGAGGGGTTTTACCTGTCCCAGGTGTGCCCAGGTGTGTTTACCTGTCTCAGGTGTGCTCACCTGTCCCACCTGCAGGAGCACAAGGTGCTGCTGACCGGGAGGAGCTCTGAGCCCCACCTGTGCCCACCTGTGCCAGGTGTATTTTACCTGTCCCAGGTGTGCCCAGGTGTGCTCAGGTGTGCTCAGGTGTGCTCACCTGTCCCAGCTGCAGGAGCACAAGGTGCTGCTGACCGGGAGAAGGTCTGAGCCCCACCTGTGCCCACCTGTGCCCACCTGTGGCAGTTGTTTGGGGGGTGTTACCTGCCCCAGGTGTGCTCAGGTGTGCTCAGGTGTGCTCAGGTGTGCTCACCTGTCGCACCTGCAGGAGCACAAGGTGCTGCTGACCGGGACCCCCCTGCAGAACACGGTGGAGGAGCTCTGAGCCCCACCTGTGCCCACCTGTCCCAGGTGTATTTTACCTGTCCCAGGTGTGTTTACCTGTCTCAGGTGTGCTCACCTGTCGCACCTGCAGGAGCACAAGGTGCTGCTGACCAGGACCCCCCTGCAGAACACGGTCGAGGAGCTCTGAGCCCCACCTGTGCCGGGTTTGGGAGGGGTGTTACCTGTCCCAGGTGTATTTTACCTGTCCCAGGTGTATTTTACCTGTCCCAGGTGTGTTTACCTGTCTCAGGTGTGCTCACCTGTCGCACCTGCAGGAGCACAAGGTGCTGCTGACCGGGACCCCCCTGCAGAACACGGTCGAGGAGCTCTTCAGCCTCCTGCACTTCCTGGAACCCGCCCGCTTCCCCTCCGAGGGCGACTTCCTGCGCGACTTCGGCGACCTGAAAACCGAGGAGCAGGTGAGGGACACCTGGGACACCTGGGGGGCAGGTGAGGGACACCTGGGGGCACCTGGGGCACCTGGGGGCACCTGGGGGGGCAGCTGAGGGCACCTGAGGATGTCTGGGGGTGGTACCTAGACACACCTGGGGGATATGTGCGCACACCTGGGAGCACCTGGGGGTACTTGGGCACACCTGGGGGAGCATCCAGGCACATTTTGGGGGGTATCTGGGCTCACCTGAGGGGGTACCTGAGGGTACCTGGGGGCATGTTGGCACATTTTGGGGGGTACTCGGGCACACCTGGGGGTACTTGGTGGCACCTGGGTACACCTGGGCACACCTGGGCACAGCTGGGGGTGGCGTCTCAGCACACCTGGGGGCACCTGGGCACACCTGGGGGCACCTGGGGGTACCTGGGGGTACTTGGGCACACCTGGGGGAGCATCCAGGCACATTTTGGGGGGTTCCTGGGTACGTCTGGGGGCACCTGGGCACACCTGAGGGTACCTGGGTACACCTGTGGGTACCCTGGGGTTGGCATCTGGGAACACCTGGGCACATCTGAGGGCACATGGGCACACTTAGGCACTCACCTGAGCACACCTGGGCAGACCTGGGCACACTTGGAGGCATCTGGGGATACCTGGGGCTCACCTGGGCACACCTGGGGATACCTGGGCACACCTGGGGGGTACCTGAGGGTACCTGGGGGCATCTTGGTGCTTTTTGGGGGGTATCTGGGCGCACCTGGGCACACCTGGGGGGCACCTGGGGATATCTGGGGGCATCTGGGCGCACCTGGGGGTACCTGGTGGTCGTATCTGGGCACACCTGGGGGAACCTGGGGGCATTTTGGGGGGCACCTGTGGTCATCTTGGCACTTTTTGGGGGTACCTGGGCACACCTGGGGGCACCTCAGTGCACCTCGGCACTCACCTGGGCACTCAGCTGAGGGGGCATCCAGGCACACCTGGGGGCACCTGGGTACTGCCCAACACGCACCTGGGCATATCTTGGCACACCTGGGGGTAGTATCTGGGCACATCTGGGGGTACCTGGGGGCACCTGGGCATACCTGGGCACAGCTGGGGGGGTACCTGGGGACACCTGGGCAGTCCTGGGCACACCTGTGGGCACACCTGTGGGCACATCTCAGGGTACCTGAGGACATGTAGGGGCTCTACCTGGGGCAGCCACCTCAGCCAGGTGTGTGCCAGGTGTGCCCATAACTCCTGATATCCACACCTTGGCACTCCCCGAGGCCTGCCCAGGTGTTCCAGGTGTGACACAGGTGTGACAGGTGTGAAAGGTGTGCCAGGTGTGATAGAGCTGTGCCAGGTGTGACGGGCAGCACAGGTGTGTCTCTTAACCCCTCATAGACACATCTGGTCCCTCTTTAAGCCATGCCCAGGTGGCACAGGTGTGCCCCTAACCCCTCATGGCCACACCTGGTCCATCTCCAAACCTCGTCCAGGTAACACAGGTGTGCCCACAACTCCTGATAGCTGCACCTGGTCCCTCCTTGAGCACTGCCCAGATGTTCCAGGTGTGACACAGGTGTGACACAGGTGTGACAGGTGTACCTGTCCCCGCAGGTGCAGAAGCTGCAGGCGCTGCTGAAGCCCATGATGTTTTTAGGTGTCCCAGGTGTGACACAGGTGTCACACAGGTGTGTCACAGGTGTGACAGGCGTACCTGTCCCCGCAGGTGCAGAAGCTGCAGGCGCTGCTGAAGCCCATGATGCTGTCAGGTGTTCTAGGTGTCACACAGGTGTGACACAGGTGTCACACAGGTGTCATACAGGTGTCACACAGGTGTCATACAGGTGTCATACAGGTGTCATACAGGTGTCATACAGGTGTCACACAGGTGTCGGTGTCACACAGGTGTCACACAGGTGTCATACAGGTGTCATACAGGAGTCACACAGGTGTAACACAGGTGTTCCAGGTGTCACACAGGTGTGACACAGGTGTCACAGGCGTACCTGTCCCCGCAGGTGCAGAAGCTGCAGGCGCTGCTGAAGCCCATGATGCTGTCAGGTGTTCTAGGTGTGACACAGGTGTGACCCAGGTGTGACACAGGTGTGACACAGGTGTCATACAGGTGCCATACAGGTGTGACACAGGTGACACAGGTACACCTGTCCCCGCAGGTGCAGAAGCTGCAGGCGCTGCTGAAGCCCATGATGCTGCGGCGGCTGAAGGAGGACGTGGAGAAGAACCTGGCGCCCAAGCAGGAGACCATCATCGAGGTGGAGCTGACCAACGCGCAGAAGCGCCTCTACCGCGCCATCCTGGAGCGCAACTTCGCCTACCTGGCGCGCGGGGCGGGGCACGGCAACGTGCCCAACCTGCTCAACACCATGATGGAGCTGCGCAAGTGCTGCAACCACCCCTACCTGATCAACGGTGAGCGCACCTGGGCACACCTGGGCACACCTGGGGGCACCTGGGCACACCTGAGTTCATATAGATACACCTATGGCACACCTGGGCACACCTGGGCACACCTGGGCACTCACCTGAGATCATATAGATACACCTGGGCACACCTGGGCACACCTGGGCACATATAGATACACCTGGGAACAGATACAGACACACCTGAGTTCATATAGACACACCTATGGCACACCTGGGCACACCTGGCGCGCGGGGCGGGGCACGGCAACGTGCCCAACCTGCTCAACACCATGATGGAGCTGCGCAAGTGCTGCAACCACCCCTACCTGATCAACGGTGAGCGCACCTGGGCAGGTACCGATGGTCACTTGATGTTCTCCAAGATGTTTTGATGGAACCATTGGTGGTTCCTGGTGGTTCCTGCTGGTCAGGGCTCGTCAGGGATGGTCACTCATGGTCAGTGATGGTCACTGATGGTCAGTGATGGTCACTCATGGTCATTTGACCTTCTCCGAGATGGTTTGATGGAACCATTGATGGTCAGTCATGGTTCTTGATGATCACTTGATGTTCTCCAAGATGGTTTGATGGAACAATTGATGGTCACTCATGGTCAGGGCTGGTCAGTGATGGTCACTGATGGTCAGTTGAGGTTCTCAGAGGTAGTTTGATGGAACCATTGATGATCAATTGACGTTCTCCATGATGGTTTGATGGAACAATTGATGGTTCCTGGTGGTCAGGGATGGTCACTCATGGTCAGTGATGGTCACTCATGATCATTTGACCTTCTCCAACATGGTTTGATGGAACCATTGATGATCACTGACGGTCACTTCATGTTCTCCAAGATGTTTTGATGGAACTATTGACGTTCAATGACGGTTCCTGGTGGTTCTTGTTGGTCACTGATGGTCATTCATGGTCACTTATGGTCACTTATGGTCAATTGACGTTCTCTATGATGGTTTGATGGAACCATTGATGATCACTCATGGTTCTTGATGGTCACTTGAGGTTCTCCATGATGGTTTGATGGAACCATTGATGTTCAATGACGGTTCCTAATGGTTCCTGCTGGTCAGGGTTGGTCACTGATGGTCACTGATGATCATTTGACATTTTCCATGATGGTTTGATGGAACCATTGATGATCACTTGAAGTTCTCCAAGATGTTTTGATGGAACCATTGATGGTCAGTGACGGTTCCTGCTGATCAGGGATGGTCACTCATGGTCATTTGACATTCTTCAACATGGTTTGATGGAACCATTGATGGTCAGTGATGGTCATTGATGATCACTTGAAGTTCTCCAAGATGTTTTGATGGAACCATTGACGGTTCCTGGTGGTTCCTGGTGGTTCCTCGTGGTTCCTGCTGGTCAGTGATGGTCAGTGATAGTCAGGGATGGTCACTCATGGTCAATTGAGGTTCTCCATGATGGTTTGATGGAGCCCTTGACGTTCTCCAACATCTTTTGATGGAACCATTGATGGTTCCTGGTGGTTCCTGGTGGTTCCTGCTGGTTCCTGCTGGTTCCTGGTGGTCAGGGCTGGTCGGGGGTGGTCACTGCTGGTCACTGATGGTCACCACCTGTCCCTTAGGTGCAGAGGAGCAGATCGTGGCGGAGCTGAGGTCCTCCCCGGGCGCGCCGGCACCACCGGACCTGGCGCTGCAGGCCCTGGTGCGCTCGGCCGGGAAACTGGTGCTGCTGGACAAGCTGCTGCCCCGGCTGCGCGCCGGCGGCCACAAGGTGCTGGTCTTCTCCCAGATGGTGCGGTGCCTGGACATCCTGGAGGACTACCTCATCCAGAAACGGTGCGAAAAACGGCGATTTTGGGAAAAAATGGGGAAAATTGGAAAAAATGGAAAAAAATGGAAAAAATTGGGAAAAAATGGGGAAAAATATGGGGGAAAATGAGGAGAAATGGGAGAAGGAGGAAACTTGGAAGTTCTGGAGATGTTCCTCATCCAGAAACGGTGCAAAAAATGGGGATTTTGGGAAAAAATGGGGAAAAACGGGAAAAAATGAGAGAAATTTGGAGAAATAAGGAGAAAAATTGAGGGAAAATTGGGATTTGGGGCAAAAAATGGAGGAGAAACGGGAGGAGGAAACTTGGAAGTTCTGGAGAAGTTCCTCATCCAGAAACGGTGCGAAAAACGAGGATTTTTGGGAAAAAATGGGGGAAAATGGGGAAAAATGAGGAAAAATGGAAAAAAAATTGGAGTTTTGGGGACTTTTGGAGGTTCTGGAGCTCCACAGAGGAGATTTGAGGACCTTTGGAGGTTCTGGAGCTTCCTGGAGGAGCTTTGAGGGACACTTGAGATGTTCTGGAGCTCCACGGAGAAGACCTGGAGATCTTCCTCATTTTTGGGACCTCCCCCAGCTTTGGGGACTTCCTGAGGACCTCCTGGTCTCCACCAGAACCTCCATGGGGACCATTGATGGTCCTTCAACCATCTCCGAGAACCTCCTGGAGATCCCCGGGGCGTTCTTGGGGTTGCGTCCTGACGTCGTTATAGACACGTTAGTGGCCATGGTGGTCGTGGTGACCCCATGAGGACCTCCTGGTCCTCACCAGAACCTCCATTGTGACCATTTATGGTCCTTCAACCATCTCCAAGAACCTCCTGGAGATCCCCGGAGCGTTTTTGGCGCCCAGCGTCGTGTCCTGACATCGTTATGGAGACCTCGGTGGTCACGGTGTCCATGGTGACCACCGAGGTCTTCTCCAGGTACCCCTATGAGCGCATCGATGGTCGGGTTCGTGGCAACCTGCGACAGGCGGCCATCGACCGCTTCAGCCGGCCGGACTCGGACCGCTTCGTGTTTCTCCTGTGCACCCGCGCCGGTGGCCTCGGCATCAACCTGACGGCCGCCGACACCTGCATCATCTTCGACTCCGACTGGAACCCCCAGAACGACCTCCAGGTGGGTCTACCAAGGGTTTGGGGTGGTGGGATGAGGTTCTCCAGGGGTTTGGGGTGGTGGGATGGAGTTTTGGGTGGTGGGATGAGGTTCTCCAGGAGTTTTTGGTGGTGGGATGGGATCTACCAAGGGTTTGGGGTGGTGGGATGGGATCTACCAGGGGTTTGGGGTGGTGGGATGGGATCTACAGGGGGTTTGTGGTGGTGGGATGGAGTTTTGGGATGGTGGGATGAGGTTCTCCAGGGGTTTGGGATGGTGGGATGGAGTTTGGGGTGGTGGGATGAGGTTCTCGAGGAGTTTTGGGTGGTGGGATGGGATCTCCAGGACTTCCCGCTGGTAGGATGGGATCTCCTGGGGCTTTGGGGTGGTGGGATGGAGTTTTTGGTGGTGGGATGGGATCTCCTGGAATTTTTGGTGGTGGGATAAGATCTCCTGGACTTCCCGCTGGTGGGACGGGATCTCCTGGAGTTTTGGATGGGATCTCCAGGAGTTTTTGGTGGTGGGACGGGATCTCCTGGAGTTTTGGATGGGATCTCCAGGACTTCCCGCTGGTGGGTTGGGATCTCCTGGAGTTTTGGATGGGATCTCCAGGACTTTCCGGTGGTGGGATGAGGTTCTCCAGGAGTTTTTGGTGGTGGGATGAGGTTCTTTAGAGGTTTCTGGTGGTGGGATGGGATCTCCTGGAGTTTTGGATGGGATCTCTCGGAGTTTTTGGTGGTGGGATGGGATCTCCAGGACTTCCCGCTGGTGGGATGGGATCTCCTGGACTTTCTGGTGGTGGGATGGGATCTCCTGGGGCTTTGGGGTAGTAGGATGGAATTTTGGGATGGTGGGATGAGGTTCTCCTGGATTTTTTGGTGGTGGAATGAGGTTCTCCAGGAGTTTTGGATGGTGGGATGGGATCTCCAGATGTTCCCGCTGGTGGGATGGGATCTCCTGGAGTTTTGGATGGGATCTCCAGGAGTTTCTGGTGGTGGGATGGGATCTACCAAGGCTTTGTGGTGGTGGGATGGAGTTTGTGGTGGTGGGATGAGGTTCTCCAGAGGTTCCCGGTGGTGGGATGGGATCCCCTGGGCCTTTGGGGTGGTTGGATGGAGTTTTGGGATGGTGGGATGGGATCTCCAGAGGTTCCCGGTGGTGGGATGGGATCTCCAGATGTTCCCGCTGGTGGGACGGGATCTCCAGGAGTTTTGGATGGGATCTCCAGGACTTCCCGCTGGTGGGACGGGATCTCCTGGGGTTCCCGCTGGTGGGACGGGATCTCCTGGTGACCTCCACCCCCGTGTGTCCCCTCAGGCGCAGGCGCGGTGCCACCGCATCGGGCAGAGCAAGGCGGTGAAGGTCTATCGCCTCATCACCAGGAACTCCTACGAGCGGGAGATGTTCGACAAGGCCAGCCTGAAGCTGGGCCTGGACAAGGCCGTGCTGCAGTCCATGAGCGGCCGCGAGGGCGCCATCCCCGGGGTGGGTCTTCTCCTCGCGGTGGGGTGGGCTGGGGTGGGACGGGGTCCCAGGGGGCTCCTGGGGTCTCCAAAGTTCTCCAGGTTTGGGTTCCTTAAAGTTCTTCCACTTGAGGTTCTCCACATGGAGGTTCTCCATGTTGAGGTTCTTCACATTGAGGTTCTTCAAAGTTCTTCCACTTGAGGTTCTCCAAGTTTTGGGTTCTTCAAGGTTCTCCATTTTGAGGTTCTCCACATTGAGGTTCTCCAAGGTTCTCCAAGTTTAGGTTCCCCACATTGGAGTTCTCCAAGCTGGGGTTCTTCAAGGTTCTCCAGGTTTGGGTTCTCCAGGTTTGGGTTCTCCACATTGAGGTTCCTCAAGGTTCTCCCAGTTGAGGTTCTCCAAGGTTCTCCAGGTTGGGGTTCTCCAGGGTTCTCCAAGGTTCTTCAGGTTGAGTTTCTGTAAGGTTCTCCATGATGAGGTGCCCCCAGTTGAGGTTCCTCAAGGTTCTCTCAGTTGAGGTTCCTTAAGATTCTCCCATTTGAGGTTCTCCCAGTTGAGGTTCTCCCAGTTGAGATTCTCCAGGTTGAGTTTCTCCAAGGTTCTCCCAGTTGAGGTTCTCCAAGTTGATGTTCTCCAGCTTTAGGTTCTCCAAGCTTCTCCCAGCTGAGCTTCTCCCAGTTGAGGTTCTCCAGGTTCAGTTTCTCCAGGGTTCTCCCAGTTGAGGTTCTCCAGGTTCTGGTTTTCCAAGGTTCTCTGGGTTTGGGTTCTCCAAAGTTCTTCCGCTTGAGGTTCTCCACATTGGGGTTGTCCAAGGTTCTTCACATTTAGGTTCTCCAAGTTTAGGTTCCCCACATTGGGGTTCTCCAAGCTGAGGTTCTTCTAGGTTCTTCACATTGAGGTTCTCCACATTGAGGTTCCTCAAGGTTCCTCACGGTTCTACCAGTTGAGGTTCTCCTGGTTGAGGTTCCTCAAAGTTCTCCCGGTTGAGGTTCTCCAAGGTTCCCCAAGGTCCCCCATCCACGTGAAGGTCCCCGCCGGGTTGTCCCACCCCATGGAGGTCCCACCCCTCTGGGCTGTCCCACAGATCCAGCAGTTCTCCAAGAAGGAGATCGAGGACCTCCTGCGCAAAGGCGCCTACGCCGCCATCATGGACGAGGACGACGAGGGCGCCAAGTTCTGCGAGGAGGACATCGAGCAGATCCTCCTGCGCCGCACCACCACCATCACCATCGAGAGCCAGGGCCAGGGCTCCACCTTCGCCAAGGTCCGCCCCGCTGGGGTGGGGTGGGCTGGGGGAGGTCCTGGGGGGGCTGGAGAAGGTCCTGGTGGGGCTGGAGAAGGTCCTGGTGGGGCTGGAGAAGGTCCTGGTGGGTCCTGGTGGGATTTGGTGGAACTGGAGAAGGTCCTGGTGGGATTTGGTGGGGCTGGAGGAGGTTCTGGTAGGACCTGGTGGGATTTGGTGGGGCTGGAGGAGCTTCTGGAGGGGCTGGAGAAGGACCAAGTGGGACTTGGTGGTTCTAGAGAAGCTCCAGGTGGTTTTTGGTGACCCTGGAGAAGTTCCTGGTGGTCCCTGGTGGGGCTGGAGAAGGTCCTGGTGGGGCTGGAGGAGGTTTTGGTGGGGCTGGAGGAGGTTCTGGAGGGTTCTGGTGGGATTTGGTGGGGCTGGAGAAGGTCCTGGTGGGACCTGGTGGGGCTGCAGAAGGTCCTGGTGGGGCTGGAGAAGGTCCTGGTGGGATCTGGTGGGACCTGGTGAGGTGGAGAAGATCCTGGTGGGGCTGGAGAAGGTCCTGGTGGGGTTGGAGAAGGTTTTGGTGGGACCTGGTGGGACCTGGTGGGTCCTGGTGGGGATGGAGAAGCTTCTGGTGGGTCCTGGTAGGGCTGGAGAAGGTCCTGGTGGGACCTGGTGGCATTTGAGAAGCTCCAGGTGGTTTTTGATGACCCTGGAGAAGCTCCAGGTGGTCCCTGGTGGCCCCAGAGAAGCTCCAGGTGGTCCTGGAGAAGTTCCTGGTGACCCTGGTGGTATTTGAGAAGTTCCTGGTGACCCTGGACAAGCTCCAGGTGACCCTGGAGAAGTTCCTGGTGGTTTTTGGTGTCCCTGGAGATGTTCCTGGTGGTTTTTGATGACCCCAGAGAAGTTCCTGGTGGTCCCTGGTAGCCCTGGAGAAGGTCCAGGTGGTTTTTGGTCGTTCTAGAGAAGGTTCAGGTGATCTTTGATGACCCTGGAGAAGTTCCTGGTGACCCTGGTGGCCTTTAAGAAGCTCCTGGTGGTTTTTGATGACCCTGGAGAAGTTCCTGGTGGTCCCTGGTGGTCCTAGAGAAGCTCCAGGTGGTTTTTGATGGTTCTAGAGAAGGTTCAGGTGATCTTTGGTGTCTCTGGAGCAGCTCCAGGTGGTTTTGGTGGCCCCGGAGAAGCTCCTGGTGGTTTTTGATGACCCTGGAGAAGCTCCAGGTGGTTTTTAAAGATCCTGGAGAAGCTCCAGGTGGTCCCAGGTGGTCCCTGGAGAAGCTCCAGGTGGTTTTGGTGATCCTTGGAGAAGTTCCAGGTGGTTTTGGTGACCCTGGAGAAGGTCCAGGTGTCCACGCTGCCCTTCCCCCCAGGCCAGCTTCGTGGCGTCGGAGAACCGCTCGGACATCGCGCTGGACGACCCCAACTTCTGGCAGAAGTGGGCCAAGAAAGCCGAGCTGGACCTGGAGCTGCTCAACAGCAAGGTGGGCACGGACAGCGGTCAGTGTGGTCACTCAGTGGTCATTCGGTGGTCACTCGTGGTCATTTGTGGTCACTCGTGGTCACTCATGGTCATTTTGGGGCATTTTTTGGGAATTTTGGGGCTTTTTTAGGGGATTTTTGGGACTTTTTTGGTCGTTTTTGGGGTTGTGGTCACTCAGGGTCACTCAGTGGTCACTCAGTGGTCACTCAGTGGTCACTCATTGTCATTAGTGGCCATTTTGGGTCAATTTTGGGGCATTTTTAGGGGATTTTTGGGACTTTTTTGGGATTTCTGGGACTTTTTTGGGATTTTTGGGTCATTTCTGGGGTTCTGGTCACTCAGTGGTCACTCAGTGGTCACTCAGTGGTCACTCAATGGTCACTCACGGCCATTTTGGGTCAATTTTGGGGCATTTTTAGGGGATTTTTGAGACTTTTTTTGGGATTTTTAGTACTTTTTTGGGATTTCTAAGATTGTGGTCACTCAGTGGTCACTCAGCGGTCAGTGGTCACTCAGTGGTCACTCAGTGGTCACTCACGGCCATTTTGGATTAATTTTGGGCCATTTTTAGGGTTTTTTTGGGACTTTTTTTTTATTTTTGGTACTTTTTTGGAATTTCTGGTACTTCTTTGGGATTTTCGGGACTTTTTTGGGATTTTTGGGTCATTTCTGGGGTTGTGGTCACTCAGGGGTCACTCACGGCCATTTTGGAGAATTTTTGAGGCATTTTTTGGGAATTTTGGGGCATTTTTAGGGGATTTTTGGGACTTTTTTTGGTCATTTTTGGGGTTGTGGTCACTCAGTGGTCACTCAGTGGTCACTCAGTGGTCACTCAGTGGTCACTCATGGCCATTTTGGGTCAATTTTTGGGGCTTTTTTCAGATTTTTGGGTCATTTCTGGGGTCGTGGCCACTCAGTGGTCACTGGTCACTCACTGGTCACTCAGTGGTCACTCATGGCCATTTTGAGGCATTTTTGGGGGATTTTTGGTACTTTTTTGGGATTTTTTGGTACTTTTTTAGGAATTTTGGGTCATTTTTGGGTTATGGTGACTCAGTGGTCACTCAGTGGTCACTTGTGGTCATTAGTGGCCATTTTGGGTCAATTTTGGGGCATTTTTAGGGGATTTTGGGGGTGTTTTTAGGGTTTTTTTTTGTTTTTTGGGTCATTTCTGGGGTCGTGGCCACTGGTCACTCAGTGGTCACTCACTGGTAACTCACTGGTCACTCAGTGGTCATTGGTCACTCAGTGGTCACTCAGTGGTCACTCAGGGCCATTTTGGGTCAATTTTGGGGCATTTTTAGGGGATTTTTGGTACTTTTTTGGGATTTTTGGGTCATTTTTGGGGTCGTGGCCGCTGGTCACTCAGTGGTCACTCAGTGGTCACTCAGTGGTCACTCAAGGCCATTTTGGGGCATTTTTGAGCTATTTTAAGGCATTTTTAGAGGATTTTTTTGGGGTTTTTCGGCCTTTTTGGGGGTGTGGTCACTCAGTGGTCAGTGGTCACTCAGTGGTCACTCACGGCCATTTTGGTCAATTTTGGGGCATTTTTAGGGGATTTTTGGGATTTTTTTTTTGGAATTTTGGTACTTTTTTAAGATTTTCAGGACTTTTTGGGGATTTTTGGGTCATTTTTGGGGTCGTGGCCACTCAATGGTCAGTGGTCACTCAGTGGTCACTCAGTGGTCACTAACTGGTCACTCATGGCCATTTTGTGTCAATTTTGGGGCATTTTTAGGGGATTTTTGGGACTTTTTTTGGGATTTTTAGTACTTTTTTGGGATTTCTGGGTCAATGGTCACTCAGTGGTCACTCAGTGGTCACTCAGTGGTCACTCAGTGGTCACTCAGTGGTCACTCCCCGCCCCTCCCCCCAGAACACGCTGGTGATCGACACGCCGCGCGTCCGGAAGCAAACGCGCCACTTCAGCACTCTGCGCGACGACGATCTGGTCGAATTCTCCGACCTGGACAGCGACGACGACCTGGAGCGCCTCGACCGCGCCACGCGCTCCCGGCGCGGCCACCAGCACCAAAACCACCACCAAAACCACCAACTCCACCCCCAACCGCCGCCGCCGCCGCCGGCCGGCCCCGCCGCGCCGCCGCCCTTCGGCCGCAGCGACTGCGTCCGCGTCGAGAAGCACCTGATGGTCTACGGGTGGGTGAGGCCGCGGCGTCGGCCGTTGGGGCCGGTGACCCAACGTTGGGGTCGTTGACTCTCCATTGACCATTGGCTCAGTTGACCCAACGTTGGTGTCGTTGACTCTCCATTGACCATTGGTTGAGTTGACCCAACGTTGGTTGAGTTGACCCTCCATTGACCATTGGTTGAGTTGACCCAACGTTGGTTGAGTTGACCCAACGTTGGTGTCGTTGACTGTCCATTGACCATTGGTTCGGTTGACCCAACGTTGACGTCGTTGACTCTCCATTGACCGTTGGTTGAGTTGACCCAACGTTGGTTGAGTTGACCCAACATTGACATCATTGACTCTCCATTGACCATTGGTTGGGTTGACCCAACATTGGTGTCGTTGACTCTCCATTGACCATTGGCTCCGTTGACCCAACGTTGGTGTCGTTGACTCTCCATTGACCATTGGTTGAGTTGACCCAACATTGACGTCGTTGACTCTCCATTGACCATTGGCTCAGTTGACCCATCGTTGACTCTCCATTGACTGTTGGTTTGGTTGACCCAACGTTGGTGTCGTTGACTGTCCATTGACCATTGGTTGAGTTGACCCAATCTTGACTTTGTTGACTTCTTGTTGTCCATTGGTTTGGTTGACCCAACATTGGTGTCATTGACTCTCCATTGACCATTGGTTGAGTTGACCCAATGTTGGTGTCGTTGACTCTCCATTGACCATTGGTTGAGTTGACCCAATGTTGGTGTCGTTGACTCTCCATTGACCATTGGTTGAGTTGACCCAACGTTGACATCGTTGACTCTCCATTGACCATTGGTTGAGTTGACCCAACGTTGGTTGAGTTGACCCAACGTTGACTTTGTTGACTTCTTGTTGACCATTGGTTGAGTTGACCCAACATTGACATCGTTGACTCTCCATTGACCATTGGTTGAGTTGACCCAACATTGACCCCATTGACCATTTATTGACCCCATTGACCATTTGTTGACCCCATTGACCATTTGTTGACCCCATTGACCATTTATTGACCCCATTGACCGTTTGTTGACCCCATTGACCGAACATTGACCCCATTGACCCAACATTGACCCCGTTGACCGTTTATTGACCCCATTGACCATTTATTGACCCCATTGACCATTTATTGACCTCATTGACCTTTTATTGACCCCATTGACCATTTATTGACCCCATTGACCGTTTATTGACCCCATTGACCATTTATTGACCCCATTGACCATTTCTTGACCCCGTTGACCATTTATTGACCCCATTGACCGTTTATTGACCTCATTGACCCAACATTGACCCCATTGACCATTTATTGACCTCGTTGACAATTTATTGACCCCATTGACCAATTTTTGACCCCGTTGACCCAACATTGACCCCACTGACCATTTATTGATCCCGTTGACCCAACGTTGACCCCGTTGACCCAACATTGACCCCATTGACCCAACATTGACTCATTGACCCAACATTGACCCCGTTGACCGTTTATTGACCCCGTTGACCATTTATTGACCCCGTTGACCATTTATTGACCCCATTGACCCCACATTGACTCATTGACCCAACATTGACTTATTGACCCAACATTGACCTCGTTGATCTTGTTGACCCAACGTTGACCCCATTGACCGTTTGTTGACCCCATTGACCCAATGTTGACCCCGTTGACCACTCAATGACCGTTTATTGACCCCATTGACCCAACATTGACTCAATGACCCAACATTGACCCCATTGACCGTTTATTGACCCCGTTGACCATTTATTGACCCCCTTGACCCAACGTTGACCCCGTTGACCCAACATTGACTCATTGACCACTCAACGACCGCGCTGACCACCGAGTGACCACCGAGTGACCGCTGAGTGACCTCTGACCCTTCCAGTTGGGGCCGTTGGCGCGAGTTGGCCGCGCAGGGCCGCTTCAAGCGCCGGCTGTCGGAGCGCGACGTGGAGAACCTCGGCCGCGCCATCGTCCTCTTCTGCCTGCGGCACTTCCGCGGCGACGACGGCACGCGCGCCTTCGCCGGGGCGCTGCTGGCCCCCGGCCACAACGGCCGCGCCCGCCCCGCGCCCGGTGAGCACCGCGGGGCGGCTCGGGGCGGTTCGGGGCGGTTCTGGGTCGGTTTGGGCGGGTTTGGGTCGCTTTGGGTGGATTTTGGTGGTTTTGGGTGGATTTTTGTAAATTTTGGGGTGGATTTTGGTGGGTTTGGGGCAGTTTGGGTGTTTTGGTTCAGTTCAGGTGGATTTTGGTGGTTTTGGAAAGGATTTTGGGGGTTTTGAGTCAGTTTGGGTGGTTTTAGGTCACTTTGGGTGGTTTTGGGTCACTTTGGATGGATTTTGGTGGACTTTGTTGGTTTTGGGTCGTTTTGGGTGGTTTTTGGTGATTTTGGGATGATTTTGGTGGTTTTGGGTCGCTTTGGGTGGGTTTTGGTCATTTTGGGTGGGTTTGGGTTTTTTTGGGTGGATTTTGGTGATTTTGGGGTGGTTTGGGTGGATTTTGGTGATTTTGGGTCACTTTGGGTGGATTTTGGTGATTTTGGGGTGGTTTTGGGTGGTTTTGGGTCGCTTTGGGTGGATTTTGGTGGTTTTGGGTGGATTTTCGTAAATTTTGGGGTGTTTTGGGTCGGTTTCGGTGGTTTTGGGTTGGTTTGGGTGGGTTTTGGTCATTTTGGGTGGGTTTGGGTCACTTTGAAGGGGTTTTGGGTGGTTTTGGGTCACTTTGGGTCGCTTTGGGTTGATTTTGGGTAATTTGGGGTGGTTTTGGGTCATTTTGGGTCATTTTGGGTCATTTTGGGTCATTTTGGATGACCCCTCCATGACCCCTCGATGACCCCCCAAGGCCGGAAGGGCAAAAAGGCCCCGAAGGTTCCGGAAGCTCCGGCGGCCGAGTGGCTCCTGCAGGACGAGAACTTCCGGAAGCATCTGCGGCACCAGAGCGGAAAGTGAGGCCGGAAATGGGAATTTTGGGGTGAATTTGGGCATTTTAGGGTTTTTGGGGTCATTTTTTGGGATTTTTGGTGGTTTTTGGGGTAATATTGGGAGATTTGGGGTTTTTGGGGTCATTTTTGGGTGTTTTGGGTAATTTTATGATATTTTCTGGTCATTTTTGGGGTTTTTCTGTCATTCCTGCGGGATTTCGGTTTTTGGGGTCATTCCGTCTCTCTGTCCCCGTGTCCATCCCGTGTCCATCCCATGTCACTCCCATGTTGTTCCCGTGTCCGTGTGTCCGTGTGTCATTCCTGTGTATGTCTATCCATCCCATGTCATTTCCATTTGGTCCCATGTCATTCCTGTGTCATTCCCATGTCCATCCCGTGTCCATCTGTCCATCCCATGTCTGTGTGTTGTTCCCATGTCCATCTGTCCATCCCATGTCATTCCCATGTTTGTGTGTCATTCCCGTTTCTGTGTGTCCATCCCATGTCATTCCCGTGCCATTCCCATGTCCATCCCGTGTCCGTGTCCATGTGTCATTCCCATGCCCGTGTGTCATTCCCATGTCTGTGTGTTGTTCCTGTGTTATTCCCATGTCATTCCTGTGTCCATCCCGTGTCTGTGTGTCCATGTGTCATTCCCATGTCCCTCCCATGTCCCTCCCATGTCCATGTGTCTGTGTGTCATTCCCATGTCATTCCCATGTCCCTCCCATGCCATTCCCATGTCCATGTGTCCGTATGTCATTCCCATGCCATTCCCATGTCTCTCCCGTGTCCAGGCTGCTGCAGCGTGTCCGGGCTCTCCATGTTCTGCGCCACGAGGTGATCGGAGCCGCTGCCGAGCCCGTCCTGGCCGGGGCCACAGCCAGGTGGGTTTGGGGACAAACACCGCGATTTTGGGGCATTTGGGGGGGTTTGGGAATTTGGAGAGATTTTGGGGTAATTTTGAGGGATTTTGGGGGGATTTTAGGGGATTTTGAGGGGATTTGGGGGAGGATTTGGGGGCAGAGCCCGTCCTGGCCGGCGCCACAGCCAGGTGGGTTTGGGGACAGAAACCGCGATTTTGGGAAATTTGGGGATTTGGGGAAATTTGGGGATTTTGGGGGGTTTGGGGGGATTTTGAGGGGATTTTGAGGGGATTTGGGGGAGGATTTGGGGGCAGAGCCCGTCCTGGCCGGGGCCACAGCCAGGTGGGCTTTGGGGACAGAAACGGGGATTTTGGGAAATTTGGGGATTTTGGGGGGTTTTGGGGGGTTTGGGGGAATTTTGGGGGGATTTTAGGGGTTTTTGAGGGGATTTGGGGGAGGATTTGGGGGCAGAGCCCGTCCTGGCCGGGGCCACAGCCAGGTGGGCTTTGGGGACAGAAACGGGGATTTTGGGAAATTTGGGGATTTTGGGAGGGTTTGGGGGATTTTAAGGGAATTTCAGGTGGATTTTGGGGGGAATTTGGGCAGATTTTGGGGGAATTTCAAGGGAATTTTGAGGGATTTTGGGGGGATTTGGGGGATTTTGGAGGGATTTTGGGAGACTTTGGGGAAATTTTGGGGGGATTTGGGGGGATTTTGGGAGGATTTGAGGGGATTTTGGGGCGTTTTGGGGGGAATTTCAGGGGAATTTTGGGGGGATTCTGGGGGATTTGGGGGAATTTTGGAGAGATTTTGGGAGAGTTTGGGGAAATTTTGGGGGGATTTTGGGGGAGTTTGAGGGCGATTTTGAGGAAATTTTGGGGGTATTTTGAGGGGATTTTGGGGAGCATTTTGGGAGGAATTTGGGAGGGTTTGGGGAAATTTTGGGGGGTCTTAAAGGAGTTTGAGGGGATTTTGGGGAAGATTTTGGGGGGTTTTGGGGGAATTTTGGGGGGATTTGGGGTCCCTCTCCCCATTTTTGGGCTCATTTTCCCTGATTTTGGGGTGGTTTTGCTCATTTTTGGGGTCGCCAATCCCATTTTCGGGGTCCCTCTCCCCATTTCCGGGGTCGCCGATCCCATTTTTGGGCTCATTCTCCCCGATTTTGGGGTGGTTTTACCCATTTTTGGGGTCACTTTACCCATTTTAGGGGTCCCTTTGCCCATTTTCGGGGTCCCTCTCCCCAATTTTGGGCTCATTTTCCCCATTTTTGGGGTCCCTCCCCCCATTTTCGGGGTCGCCGATCCCAATTTTGGGCTCATTCTCCCAATTTTTCGGGTTCCTCTCCCCATTTTTGGGGTCCCTTTACCCATTTTCGGGGTCGCCGATCCCATTTTCGGGCTCATTCTCCCCGATTTTGGGGTTCCTCTCCCAATTTTTGGGGTCATTCTCCCCATTTTTGGGATCATTTTCCCCATTTTTGGGGTCATTCTCCCCAATTTTGGGCTCATTTTCCCCATTTTCGGGGTCCCTCTTCCCATTTTCGGGGTCATTTTCCCCATTTTTGGGGTGATTTTCCTCATTTTGGGGTCGCCGATCCCATTTTCGGGGTCGCCGATCCCATTTTTGGGCTCATTTTCCCCATTTTTGGGCTCATTTTCCCCATTTTTGGGGTCCCTCTCCCCATTTCCGGGGTCGCCGATCCCATTTTTGGGCTCGTTTTCCCCGATTTTGGGGTCCCTGACCCCATTTTCAGGGTCCCTTTACCCATTTTTGGGCTCATTCTCCCCATTTTTGGGGTCACTTTACCCATTTTTGGTGTGGCCGATCCCATTTTTGGGGTCGTTCTCCCCGATTTTGGGGTGGTTTTACCCATTTTTGGGGTCCCTCTCCCCATTTTCGGGGTCCCTGACCCCATTTTTGGGCTCATTTTCCCCATTTTCGGGGTCTCTCTCCCCATTTTTGGGGTCGCCAATCCCATTTTTGGGCTCATTCTTTTAGATTTTGGGGTGGTTTTCCCCATTTTTGGGGTCGCCGATCCCATTTTCGGGGTCGCCAATCCCATTTTTGGGCTCATTCCCCCCATTTTTGGGGTGATTTTCCTCATTTTTGGGTCATTTTCCCCATTTTCGGGGTCGCCGATCCCATTTTCGGGGTCCCTTTACCCATTTTCGGGGTCGCCGATCCCATTTTTGGGCTCATTTTCCCCGATTTTGGGGTCCCTGACCCATTTTCGGGGTCCCCAGCGAGGTGCAGATCTCCTTCCCGCTGCTGGAGCCGCTGGAGGTTCCCGAGCCCTGGTGGGACCCCGAGGCCGACAAGTCGCTGCTCATCGGGGTCTTCAAACACGGTGAGAATTTGGGGCATTTTGGGGCTTTTTGGGGCATTTTGGGGCATTTTGGGGATTTTGGGATTTTTTGGGATTTTTTTGGGGATTTTTGGGGGCGGTTTGGGGCCGTTTCGCTGAATTTTGGGGGGTTTTGGGGCGTTTTATTGGGGTTTTTTGGCCGTTTTTTGGCACGTTCGGGTGGGTTTACGGTGAATTTTTGGGGTTTTTTTACCCATTTTTGAGTTGTTTAGTGAATTATTGGGAATTTTGGGTTTTTTACTCATTTTTGGGTTGTTCGAGTGGTTTTGGGGTAATTTCCTGAAATTTTGGGGGTTTTTTATCCATTTTTGGTTTGTTTGGGGTGAATTTTTGGGAATTTCGGGGCTTTTTTACCCATTTTTGGTATGTTCGGGTGGGTTTGGGGTAATTTCCCAGAATTTTGGGGTTTTTTTCGGTTTTTTTTTACTTTTTTTTGGCATGTTGAAATGGTTTTGGGTTTATTTCCCAGAATTTGGGGTCTTTTTTGGTTTTTTTCACCCTTTATGTGTTTTTGGGGTGGTTTGGGGTTATTTCAGTGAATTTTGGGTGTATTTTGGGTTATTTTTTTGGGGTTTTTTGCCTTTTTTGTTGTTTTTTTGCAGTTTTTTTGCAGATTTTGCCGTTTTTTGCAGTTTTTGTTAACTGGCTCTATTTCTGGGGTGAATTTGGGGGATTTTAGGCTACGAGCGGTACCACACCACGGACACAAACCATAATCTGAATTTTTGGGTTATTTTAGGTGTATTTTGGGCATAGTTTGAGCTACTTTGATGCCGTTTTTTGCCGTTTTTTGCCGTTTTTTGGCCGTTTTTTGCCGTTTTTTGCAGTTTTTGTTAACGGAGTGTATTTTTGGGGTGAATTTGGGGGATTTTAGGCTACGAGCGGTACCACACCATGCGCGCCGACCCCGCCCTGTGTTTCCTGGCCAAGGCCGGCGGTCCCGACGCGACGGCCGTGGCGGCCGAGCAGCGCCTGGAGGGGTGAGCGGGGACCCCGAATTTGGGGGGATTTGGGGCTTTTTGGGCATTTTGGGGCTTTTTGGGTGGTTTGGGTGGGATTTGGGCCGTTTTGGGGCGTTTTGGGTGGGATTTGGGAGGTTTGGGGGGGATTTGGGGTGATTTTTAAGGGGGTTTTGAGATGGTTTTGGTGCGGTTTTGGATGATTTTTGGGGTGATTTTTGGGGGGATTTAGGGTAATTTTTGGGAGGTTTGGGGCATTTTTGGATGGTTTTTGGGGGTGTTTGGGGTGAATTTTGGGGGGATTTGGGCAATTTTGGGGGGATTTGGGAAGTTTTAGTATATTTGGGGTTATTTTTGGGGGGGGATTTGGGCAGTTTTGGTGGGTTTGGGCAGTTTTGGTGTATTTTGGGTGATTTTTGAGCGGATTTGGGCAATTTTGGGGGTTTGGGGTGAATTTTGGGGGGATTTGGGCAGTTTTGGTGGATTTGGGATATTTTTGGGGGATTTGGTCATTTTTGGGGGGTCTGGGGTGATTTTTGGGGGGATTTGGGCAGTTTTGACGTATTTGGGGTGAATTTTGGGGGGATTTGGGCAGTTTTGACGTATTTGGGGTGAATTTTGGGGGGATTTGGGCATTTTTTGTGTATTTGGGGTGATTTTTGGGGGGATTTGGGCAGTTTTGGTGGATTTGGGCAATTTTGGGGGTTTGGGGTGATTTTTGGTGGATTTGGGGAATTTTGGGGGAATTTGGAAAGTTTTAGTATATTTGGAGTGATTTTTGGGGGGATTTGGGCAATTTTGGGGGTTTGGGCTGTTTTTGGGGATTTTTGGCCTGTTTGGGTCATTTTTGGGGCTGTTTTTGGGGATTTTTGGGCCGGTTTTTGAGGACTTTTGCCTGTTTTGGGTGGTTTTTGGGGCTCTTTTGGGGGATTTTTGGGCCATTTGCGTGGTTTTTGGGCCATTTTGGAGGATTTTTGGCTATTTTGGGTTGTTTTTGAGCCATTTTCAGGGATTTTTGGGCCATTTTTGGGGGATTTTTGGGCCATTTTCGGGGATTTTTGGCCTGTTTGGGTGGTTTTTGGGGATTTTTGGGCCGTTTTTCGGGGATTTTTTTGCCGTTTTCGGGGCTTTTCGGGTCGCTTTTGAGTCTTTTGACACCCCCTGACTTTGCGGCCCCCCCAAAGCCCCAAATTTGGGTTTTTTCACCCCAAAACGGCGCCGCTGATGACCCAGCCATGCTAATACCGACCGGCCCCGGGCCGGGCTGAGTTCAGCTCAGGGCTGAGGCGCTTTTTGGGGCAAATTCCCGCGGATTTGGGTCCGTCCCGAATTCGGGGAGTTTTGGGGTGAATTCCGGCGATTTTGGGGTCCCCCCAGGGCCGATTTCGACAGAGACCCCGAGGACCCCGAGTACAAACCCCTGCAGGGCGGCGGCGAGGAGGTAAAACCCCAAAATCCCCCAAAATTCCCCCAAAATCCCCCAAAATCGCCAAAAACCCCAAAATTGGGGTTTTTCACCCCAAAATGTGACGGTTTTGGGGGGTCTGGGCTCTCGGTGACCCCGTGACCCCCCCAGAGTGACCCCCTGGCCGGGCTGGACGAGGAGATCTCGGTGGTGGACGGGGACGAAGGTAAGAGGGACCCCAAAATGGCCCAAAATCACCCCAAAATTCACCCCCGGTGCCAAAAATGTCAAAAAGCGCCAAAATCCTGAAAATTTTCCCCAGATTTTCTCCAAAATCGCCTCGAATTGCCCAAAATTCTCCCAAATCTCCACAAAATGACCCCAAATCCCCCCAAATCTCCCTAAAATGACCCAAACCCCCCAAACTGACCCCAGATCTCCAAAACCCCCCAAATTTTCCCAAAATGACCCAAAATGACCCCAAATCTCCCCAAAATGACCCAAAACTGACCCCAAACCCTCCAAATTTCCCAAAATCTCCCCAAAATCCCCCCAAATCTCCCAAACCCCCCAAATCTCCCCAAATCTCCCCAAAATCCCCCCAAATTTTCCCAAAATGACCGAAACTCCCTCAAAATGATCCCAAATTCCCCCAAAATGACCCCAAATCCCCCAAACTGACCCCAAACCTCTCAAATCTCCCAAAATCTCCACAAAATGACCCCAAATCGCCCCAAAATTATTCCAAATCTCCCCCAAACTGACCCCAAAATGACCCAAAGTCTCCCCAAAATCTCAAATTTCCCCAAACTGACTCCAAAATGACCCAAAATTCCCCGAAATCCCCCAAACTGACCCCAAAATTATCCAAAATCCCCCCAAATCCCCCAAACCAACCCCAAATCCCCCAAAATTATCATAAATTTCCCAAAACGATCCTAAATCTTCCCAAAATCCCCCAAATTCTCCAAACCGACCCCAAATCTTCCCAAAATCTCCCCAAAAGGGTTTGAAACTGACCTAAAATGACCCAAAATGACCCAAAATCCCCGAAACTGACCCGAAATCGCCCTGAAATTATTGCAAATCTCCCAAAATGACCGAAAATTCGTCCAAAGGGGTCCAAAAATGACCCAAAATCCCCCAAACCGACCCCAAATCCCCCCAAAATTTCCCCAAATCCCCCAAACCAACCCCAAATTCCCCCAAATTTTCCCCAAATTCTCTCACTGACCCCTTCCCTCCCTCACAGCCGTTCCGATGTCCGGCCCCACGCCACCGGTGTCCGGTCCTGTGGTCACTTCTGACCCCACGGTGATGTCCAGTCCAATGGTCACCTCCGGCCCTGTGGTCACTTCTGGTCCCACGCCACTGTCCGGCCCCACGCCGATGTCCGGTCCTGTGGTCACTTCTGGCCCTGTGGTCACTTCTGACCCCACAACGATGTCCAGCCCAGTGGTCACCACCGGTTCCACGCCGATGTCCAGCTCAATGGTCACCTCTGACCCCATGGTCACCACCGGCCCTGTGGTCACTTCTGACCCCACAGCAATGTCCACCCCAGTGGTCACTTCTGGCCCCACGCCACCAATGTCCACCCCAGTGGTCACTCCTGGCCCTGTGGTCACTCCTGGCCCCGGCCTGGGCGCGTGGCCGGCGGCCGCAGCACTGACCGCTCGCCTGCGGCGCCTCTTGGCCGCCTGTCCCCGCTCCGGCTCCGGCCACCGGCCGGACCCTCAGGCCACCGAGATGGCGCCTGGACAGCCCAGTGGTCACTCTGGTGGTCACTCTGGTGGTCAGTCCAGTGGTCACTCTGGTGGTCATCACGGCGGTCAAACCAGTGGTCAGCCCAGTGGTCACTCTGATGGTCAACCCAGTGGTCAACCCAGTGGTCAGCCTGATGGTCACTCCAGTGGTCACTCAGGTGGTCACTCAGGTGGTCACTCAGGTGGTCACTCAGGTGGTCACTCAGGTGGTCACTCAAGTGGTCACTCCACTGGTCACTCCGGACACGCGGAGCGGCCGCGGCGACCCCGGCGAGGGCACGAGCGGCGCGAGAAGCAGCAGCGGTCAGTGGGGGGATTTGGGGGGAATTTGGGGGAATTTGGGGAAATTTGGGGAAATTTGGAGAAATTTGGGGAAATTTGGGGTTTTTGGGTGGAATTTTGGGGTTTTGGGTGAAATTTACAGTGGAATTACAGGTTTTTAGGGTGGTCTTGGGGTGGAATTTTGGGGGATTTTTGGGGAAATTCAGGGTTTTTGGGGTGGAATTAGGGGTTTTGGGTGGAATTTTGGGGTTTTGGGTGGAATTTTGGGGTTTTGGGTGGAATTTTGGGGGTTTTGGGTGGAATTTTGGGGGTTTTAGGATGGTATTGGGGTGGGGTTTTGGGGTGAGATTTGGAGTTTTTGGGGTGAGATTTGGGGGGAATTTGGGAAAATTTGGGAAAATTTGGGGGTTTTGGTGCGATTTTGGGGTTTTGGGTGGAATTTGGGGGTTTTTGGGGTGGAATTTGTATTGGAATTTGGGGTTTTTAGGATTGTCTTGGGGTGGGATTTTGGGGAAATTTGGGGGTTTTTTGGGTGGAATTTTGGGGGTTTTGGGTGGAATTTTGGGGTGAAATTTGCAGTGGAAATTTGGTGTTTTTAGGATGGTCTTGGGGTGGGATTTTGGGGGTTTTTGGGATGGTTTTGAGGAAATTTGGGTTTTTTTCTGGTGGAATTTGGGGGGTTTTGGGTGGAATTTTGGGGTTTTTGGGGTGAAATTTGCCGTGGAATTTGGGGTTTTTAGGATGGTCTTGGGGTGGGATTTGGGATGAGATTTAGGGGTTTTGGGTGGAATTTTGGGGATTTTTGGGATGGTTTTGGGGAAATTTGGGGGTTTTGGGGTGGAATTTTGGGGGTTTTTGGTGGAATTTTGGGGTTTTGGGGTGAAATTTGCAGTGGAATTTGGGGTTTTTAGGAGGGTCTTGGGGTGGGGTTTTGGGGGTTTTGGGTGGGATTTTGGGGGTTTTGGGTGGAATTTTGCGGGTTTTGGGTGGAATTTGGGGGGTTTTGGGGTTGGGTTTTGGGTTTTGGGGTGGAATTTGGGGTTTTTCCCCTTCTGTATTTTCACCGTTTCTCGTCCTATTTTCGCCGTATTTTCGCCATTTTTTTGCCGTATTTTCGCCGTTTTTCTTCGTATTTTCACCATTTTTTCACCGTTTTTCGCCCTTTTTTCACCGTTTTTCACCATTTTTTCACCGTTTTTCACCGTTTCCCCCTTTTTCCCCCCGTTCCGCAGCTGGACGCGGCGGGAGCAGGCCGACTTCCTGCGGGTGGCCTCGACCTTCGGCGTGGAGCTGGAGCCGGGCTCGGGCCGGTTCCGCTGGGGCCGTTTCCGCGCCCTGGCCCGGCTGGAGCGGCGCTCGGACGAGGACCTGACGCGCTTCTACCACGGCTTCGTGGCCATGTGCCGGCAGGTGTGCCGGCTGCCGCCCGCGCCCGGCGACGGTACGGGGCCAAATCCCGGGATTTTGGGAAAATTCGGGCAGTTTGGGGGCGTTTGGGGGAGTTTTGACTCAAAATTCGGGTGTTTGAACCCAAATCGAGGGGTTTGAACCCAAAATCAGGAGGTTCCAGGAGGTCTTGGGGCTCTCTGCCGGCTGCCGCCCGCGCCCGGTGACGGTACGGGGTGAAATCCCGGGATTTTGGGAAAATTCGGGCAGTTCGGGGCAGTTTTACCCAAAATCCGGGTGTTTGAACCCAAATTGAGGGGTTTGAACCCAAAATCAGGAGGTTCCAGGAGGTTCTGGGGCTCTGCCGGCTGCCGCCCGCGCCCGGCGACGGTATGGGGTGAAATCCCGGGATTTTGGGCAAATTTGGGGAGTTCGGGGCATTTTGGGGAGTTTCCACTCAAAATTCGGGTGTTTGAACCTAAATTGAGGGGTTTGAGCCCAAATCGAGGGGTTTGAACCCAAAATCAGGAGGTTCCAGGAGGTTCTGGGGCTCTGCCGGCTGCCGCCCGCGCCCGGCGACGGTATGGGGTGAAATCCCAGGATTTTGGGCAAATTCGGGCAGTTTGGGACAGTTTCACCCAAAATCCGGGTGTTTGAACCCAAATCAAGGGGTTTGAACCCAAAATCAGGAGGTTCCAGGAGGTTTTGAGGCTCTGCCGGCTGCCGCCCGCGCCTGGTGGCATTTTTCCCCATTTCCCCCCATATTTCCCCATTTTTCCCCATTTTCCCCCATTTTCCCCATTTTCCCCTATTTCCACCCCATTTTCACCCATTTTCCCCCCTTTACCCCATTCTTACCCATTTTCCCCATTTTTACACCATTTCCCCCATTTTTACCCCATTTCCCCCCAATTTAACCAATTCCCTCCCAATTTTTACCCCATTTTTCCCCATTTTACCCTTTTTTCCCAATTTCCCCCATTTTTTCAATTTTCAACCCATTTTTACCCTACTTTCCCTGATTTCCCCCCCATTTTCCCCCATTTTTCCCCATTTTAACCTCTTTGCCCCTGTTTTACCCTATTTTCCCCCAATTTTCCCCCATTTTCCCCCATTTTTATTCAATTTAAACCCTGTTTTTTTCCCATTTTCCCCATTTCTAACCCGTTTTTTCCCATTTTTGCCCATTTTTCACCCCGTTTTTCCTGTTTTTTCACATTTTCTTCATTTCTAACTCCGTTTTTCCCCCATTTTTTCCTATTTTCACCCCGTTTTTTTGCATTTTTCCCCTTTTTTCCAGTATTTCCCCGTTTCTAACCCGTTTTCCCCCTTTTTTTCCCATTTAAACCCCGTTTTTTTCTGGTTTTTTCCCGTTTTTCCCATTTTTTCCCGTTTTTTCCCGTTTTTTCACATTTCCCCCATTTCTAACCCGTGTTTCCCCATTTTTTCCCATTTTCACCCCGTTTTTTTCCAGTTTTTCCCGTTTTTTCCCATGTTTTCCCGTTTCTAACCCATTTTTCCCCATTTTTTCCCATTTAAACCCTGTTTTTTCAATTTTCCCCATTTCTAACCCGTTTTTTCCCATTTTTTCCAATTTTTTCCCATTTTTCCCATTTTCCCCATTTTTCACCCCGTTTTTTCCCGTTTTTTCCTGCATTTTCCCATTTTCTTCGTTTCTAACCCATTTTTGCTCATTTTAATGCCATTTTTCACCCTGTTTTTTCCCATTTTAACGCCGTTTTTCCGTGTTTTTTCGCATTTTAACCCCGTTTTTTCCCATTTTAACCCCGTTTTTGCCCATTTTTTCCCATTTTGTTCGTTTCTAACCCTGTTTTTTCTCCTGTTTTCAGCCCGCCGGCCGCCGTGCCCCTGCCCCAGCTCCGTCCCCGCCCCGCTGGCGCTGCGGGCGCTGCGGCGGCTGGCGCTGCTGCGCTGCTGCGGGAGCGCGTGCTGCCGCACCCGGCGCTGCCGGCGCTGCTGCCGCGGCTGCCGCCCCCCGGCGCTTTTACCCATTTGCACCCCGTTTCTAACCCTGTTTTCCCCATTTTTCACCCTGTTTTTTCCCGTTTTTCCCCATTTTTTCCCATTTCCCCATTTCTAACCCGTTTTCCCCCGTTTTTTTCTATTTTCACCCCTTTTTTTCGCATTTTTTCCCCTTTTTCCCAGTATTTCCCCGTTTCTAACCCGTTTTTCCCCTTTTTTTCCCATTTAAACCCCGTTTTTTTCTGTTTTTTCCCGTTTTTTCCCGTTTTTTCCCGTTTTTTCCCGTTTTTCCCATTTTTTCCCATTTCCATCATTTCTAACCCGTTTTTTCCCATTTTTTCCCATTTTAACCCCGTTTTTTCCAATTTTTTCCCTTTTTCACCCCATTTTTCCTGTTTTTGCCCATTTTAACCCCATTTTTCCCCGTTTTTCCCATTTTCCCCATTTCTAACCCGTCTCTCCTCATTTCCACCATTTCTAACCCCGTTTTTTCCCGTTTTCTCCCCATTTTCCCCGTTTTTCACGTTTTTTCCCATTTCCCCATTTCTAACCCATTTTGCCCCATTTTTTCCATTTTTTCCCATTTTTTCACCCGTTTTTTCCCATTTTTTCCCATTTTTCATCCCATTTTTTCCCATTTTTTCCCATTTTTTCTCCATTTTTTCTCATTTTTCCCCGTTTTTCCCATTTTTTCCCGTTTTTTCTCATTTTCCCCATTTATAACCCCGTTTTTCCCTATTTCTAACCTGTTTTTCCCCGTTTTTGCCCATTTTAATGCCGTTTTTTCCCGTTTTTGCCCGTTTTTCCCCATTTTAATGCCGTTTTTTACCATTTTTCCCATTTTCTCCGTTTCTAACCCCGTTTTTTCTCGTTTTCCTGTTCTCCCCAGGGCGCCGCCCACCCTTCCCAGTCCCCGTCACCATCCCCGCCCCGCTGGCGCTGCGGGCGCTGCGGCGTCTGGCGCTGCTGCGCTGCGTGCGGGAGCGCGTGCTGCCGCACCCGGCGCTGCCGGCGCTGCTGCCGCGGCTGCCGCCCCCCGGCTCGCTGCTGCCGCCCTGGTGGCGGCCCGGCGCCCACGACGCGGCGCTGCTGCGCGCCGCCGCCCGGCACGGCCTGCGGGGGGCGCTGCTGCGCGCAGAGATCGGCGACGCAGGAGGAGGAGGAGGAGAGGGGCAGAGGAGGAGAGGGGAGGAAGAGGAGGAGGAGGAGATGGAGATTGGAGGTGGGTTTGGGGGAAATGGGGGTGAAAAGGACCCCAAAATTTGGGGGGAAATGGGGAAAAAATTGGTTGGAAAAGGGGAAAAAGGGGAGCCCAAATTTTGGGGGAAATTGGGAAAAAGTTGAGCTGAAATTTAGGGAAAATGGGGAAAAAGTGGAGCCCAAATTTTGGGGAAAATGGGGAGTTTGGGATGGGAAATTTTGGGGCAAAAATGGGGATTTTTGGGGTGGGAAATTTGGGGGAAAATGGGGGAAAGGGGATCTGTGAATTTGGGGGGAAATGGGGAAAAAGCGGAGCTCAAACTTGGGGGGAAATGGGGAAAAAATTGGGGTGAAAAGGGGAAAAAGGGAAGTCATAAATTTGGGGGGAATGGGGAAAAATTTGGGGGGAAAAGAGGAAAAAGGGAGCCCATAAATTTTGAGGGAAATGAGGAAAAAATCTGGGGGGAAAGAGGAAAAAGGGGAGCCCAAATTTGGGGGAAAATGGGGAAAATGGATCCCTAAATTTGGGAGGAAATGGGGAAAAAGTGGAGGTCAAATTTTGGGGGGAAATGGAGGAAAATGGATCCCTGAGTTTGGGGGGGAAAGGGGAAAAAGGGGAGCTGAAATTTGGGGGGAAATGGGTAAAAAGGGGAGCTCAGATTTGGGGGGAAATGGGGAAAAAATTTGGGGGGGAATGGGGAAAAAGTGGAGCTCAAATGGGGAAAAATGGATCTTTAATTTTGGGGGGAAATGGGGAAAAGTGGAGCTGAAATTTGGGGGGGAAAAGAAGAGGAGGAGGAGGAGAGGGGCGGAGGAGGAGAGGGGAGGAAGAGGAGGAGGAGGAGATGGAGATTGGAGGTGGGTTTGGGGGGAAAAAGGGGGCTTTTGGGGTGGGAAATTTGGGGGGAAAAGCGGTAAAAAGTGGAGCTGAAATTTGGGGGGAAATGGGGAAAAAATTGGGGGGAAAAGGGGAAAAAGGGATCCGTGAATTTTGGGGGAAATGGGGGAAAAAAGGAGCCCAAATTTCGGGGAAAATAGGGATTTTAGACTGGGAAATTCAGGGGGAAATGGGGGAAAAAATTGGGGGGGAAGAGAGGAAAAAGTGGAGCTCAAATTTGGGGGGAAAGGGGGAAAATGGGGGGTTTTGGGGTGGGAAATTTAGGGGGGAAAATGGGGGTTTGGGGGTTGGAAATTTGGGGGGAAGTGGGTAAAAAGGGGAGCTCAAATTTGGGGAGAAATGGGAAAAAAATCGGGGGGAAAAGGGGAAAAAGTGGAGCCTAAATTTGGGGGGAAATGGGGAAAAAGATTGGGGGGAAAGGGGAAAATGGGGAGCCATAAATTTGGGGGGAAATGGGGGAAAATGGATCTCTGAGTTTGGGGGGAAAAGGGGAAAAAGGGGAGCTCAAATTCGGGGGGAAATGGGGAAAAAGGAAGCTCAAATTTGGGGGGGAAATGGGAAAAATTTTGCAGGGAAAAGGGGAAAAAGGGAAGTCATAAATTTGGGGGGAATGGGGAAAAAATTTGGGGAGAAAAGAGGAAAAAGGGGAGCCCAAATTTGGGGGGAAATGGAGAAAAAATTGGGGGTAAAAGGGGTGCTCAAATTTGGGGAAAAGGAGGAAAAGGGGATGCCTAAATTTGGGGGGAAATGGGGGAAAATTTTGGGGGAAATGGGGTAAAAGGGATCCGTGAATTTGGGGGGAAATGGGGAAAAAGGGGAGCTCAAATTTCGGGGGGAAATGGGGAAAATGTGGAGGTCAAATTTGGTGGGAAATGGGGGAAAAGGGATCTGTGAATTTGGGGGGATAATGGGGAAAAATGGATCCGTGAATTTGGGGGGAAAAGGGGAAAAAGGGATCCCTGAGTTTGGGGGAAAGGGCGAAAAAGTGGAGCTCAAATTTGGGGGGAAATGGGGAAAAAGGAGCTGAAATCTGGGGGGAAAAGGGGAAAAAGGGGAGCGATAAATTTGGGGGGAAATGGGGAAAAGGGGAGCCCCTAAATTTGGGGGAAAATGGGGGGTTTTGGGGTGGGAAATTTGGGGGGAAGTGGGTAAAAAGTGGAGCTGAAATTTGGGGAGAAATGGGGAAAAAATGGAGCCCAAATTTGGGGGGGAAAAGAAGAGGAGGAGGAGGAGGAGGAGGAGAGGGACGGAGGAGGAGAGAGGAGGAAGAGGAGGAGGAGGAGATGGAGATTGGAGGTGGGTTTCGGGGCAAAATGGGGGGAAAAGAGCCCAAATTTGGGGGGAAATGGGGGAAAATTGATCCCTGAGTTTGGGGGGAAATGGGGAAAAAGTAGAGCTCAAATTTGGAGGGGAAATGGGGAAAAGTGGAGCTGAAATTTGGGGGGAAATGGGGAAAATGGATCCCTAAATGTGGGTGAAAAATGGGAAAAAGCGGAGCTCAAATTTGGGGGGAAATGGGGAAAAAGTGGAAGTCAAATTTGGGGGGAAATGGGGGCTTTAGGGTGGGAAATTTGGGGGGAAATGGGTAAAAAGTGGAGCTGAAATTTGGGGAGAAATGGGGAAAAATGGAGCTGAAATTTGGGGGGAAATGGGGATAAAGGGGAGCCCAAATCTGGGGGGAAAAGGGGAAAAAGTGGAGCCCAAATTTGGGGGGAAATGGGGTAAAAAGGATCCGTGAATTAGGGGGGAAATGGGGAAAAAGGGGAGCCTTACATTTGGGGGAAATGGGGAAAACATTTGGGGGGAAAAGGGGCAAAAGGGGAGTAATAAATTTGGTGGGAATAGGAAAAAAATTTGGGGGGAAAATGGGGAAAAAGGTGAGCCCAAATTTGGAGAATTTTGGGGAAAAGGGGGACCCCAAATCTTTGGGAATTCCTGGCGGAGAAAAGGAGCAAAAAAAGCCCAAATTTGGGGTTGGAAATGGGGTAAAAAGGGGAAAAAAAAAGGGGAAAAAAGGGGAGGGCCCCCAAAATTTTGAGGGAAAAATCCCGGAATGGGGGGATGGGGGAGGGGAGGGGATTTTTGGGGGGAATTTCAGCGTTTTTGGGGTCTCCCCTGGCGCAGGGCCGGAGGCGTTGGGGGCCGAGGAGGAGGAGGAGGAGGAGGAGGAAGAAGAGGAGGAAGATGAGGAGGGGGAGGGGGAGGACGAGGATTCCCCTCCCCCCCCGGGCGAGGGCGGCTCCCCCAAACCGCCCCTCCCCCACCCTGCGCCCCAAAATCTCCTCTGCTGGCCCAAGGTAAAAAAAAAAACAAAAAATCACCCAAAATCCCTAAAAATCACCCCAAAAATATTACCCCCAAAAAACACCTGAATATCACCCAAAAAACTGCAAAAAAAACCCCCAAATTTATTTTAAAAAAAACCCAAAAAAGCACCAAAAACATCCCAACCTGCCCCCCTAAAAAAACCCATTAGAAACACCCAAAAAAACCCAATCCTCACAGAAAAACCCCTAAAAAAACCCCAAAAAAACCCCTAAAAATTCACAAACAAAACGCAAAAAAGTTCCCCAAAAAAAGCCCAAAAAAAACCCAAAACACCAATGAAAAATTCCCCAAAAAAACCTCTAAAAAAAAAAAGTAGAAAAATTCCCAAAAAAACCCTTAAAAAACCCCAAAATATCCCCCCAAAAATTCCAAAAAACCCCCAAAATTTCCCAAAAAAACTCCAAAAAGTCCCAAATAAATTCCCAAAAAACGCTAAAGAAAAAAAAAACTTTAAAAACCTGAAAAAACCTTAAAAAAACCCCAAAAAAATCCACAAAAATTCCCAAAAAACCAAAAAAAAACCCCCAAAAAAACCCCTAAAAAAACCCCCAAAAAATCCACAAAAATTCCCAAACAAACCCTATAAGAACCCAAAAAAAACCCTATTAAAACCCAGAAAAACCCCCTATAAAAACAAAAAAAAAAAGCCAGAAAAACCCCCAAAAAACCCCTGAAAAAACCTTTAAAAACCCCCAAAAATCCCCTTAAATCCCGTCAGGAGCGGGCGCTGATCCGGCGTCTGGAGCTGATCTGCCGGGCCGTGCTGGCGGCGGGGGAGGGGCCGGCCCCGCCCGGGGGGGTCCCGGGGGGGCTCCCGGACCCCGCCCCTCCCCCCATCCCCTCCCCCACCCCCCGCGGCAGGAGGGAGTTCACCGTGCAGATCAAGGACGTGAGTATGGCCCGAAATCGGCCTTTTTCACCCCAAAAATCCAGCAGTGACCCCGCCCATTCCCATTTTCCCATTTTTATCCATCCAGTTCTGATTTTCCCGCCTTTTTCCATCCCCCTCATGATTTTCCCGCCTTTTTTCTTCCCCTCACGATTTTCCCGCCTTTTTCCATCCCCTCACGATTTTCCCATTTTTATCCATCCATTTCCAATTTTCCCATTTTTATCCATCACTGATCCCGCCCATTCCCGATTTTCCCATTTTTATCCATCCATTCCCGATTTTCCCATTTTTATCCATCCCTTTCCGATTTTCCCGCTTTTTTTCTTCCCCTCACGATTTTCCCGCCTTTTTTCTTCCCCTCACGATTTTCCCGCCTTTTTAATCCACTCACAATTTTCCCGCCTTTTTTATCCCCTCACGATTTTCCCGCCTTTTAATCCCCTCACGATTTTCCCGCCTTTTTAATCCCCTCACGATTTTCCCGCCTTTTTTCTTCCCCTCACAATTTTCCCGCCTTTTTAATCCCCTCATGATTTTCCCGCCTTTTTAATCCCCTCACGATTTTCCCGCCTTTTTTCTTTTCCCTCAGGATTTTCCCGCCTTTTTCATTCCCCTCACGATTTTCCCGCCTTTTTCCTCCCCCTCACGATTTTCCCGCCTTTTTAATCCCCTCGCGAATTTCCCGCCTTTTTAATCCCCTCACGATTTTCCCGCCTTTTTAATCCCCTCACAATTTTCCCACCTTTTTAATCCCCTGACGATTTTCCCGCCTTTTTCTTTCCCCTCACGATTTTCCCGCCTTTTTCTTTCCCCTTACGATTTTCCCATTTTTATCCATCCATTCCCGATTTTCCCATTTTTATCCATCAATTTCCCATTTTCCCGCCTTTTTCCATCCCCCTCACGATTTTCCCGCCTTTTTCTTTCCCCTCACGATTTTCCCGCCTTTTTAATCCCCTCACAATTTTCCCGCCTTTTTCCATCCCCCTCACGATTTTCCCGTTTTTTTTCTTCCCCTCACGATTTTCCCGCCTTTTTCCAGCACCTCACGATTTTCCCGCTTTTTTCTGTGCCCTCAGGATTTTCCCGCTTTTTTCCATCCCCCTCATGATTTTCCCGCCTTTTTTCTTCCCCTCAGGATTTTCCCGCCTTTTTCCAGCATCTCACGATTTTCCCATTTTTATCCATCCATTTTCTGATTTTCCCATTTTTATCCATCCATTTTCCGATTTTCCCATTTTTATCCATCCATTTTCTGATTTTCCCATTTTTATCCATCCATTCCCCATTTTCCCATTTTTATCCATCACTGATCCCGCCCTTTCCCGATTTTCCCAGTTTTATCCATCCATTTTCTGATTTTCCCATTTTTATCCATCACTGACCCCGCCCATTCCCAATTTTCCCATTTTTATCCATCAGTGATCCCGCCCATTCCCGATTTTCCCGCTTTTTTCCATCCCCCTCATGATTTTCCCGCCTTTTTTCTTCCCCTCACGATTTTCCCGCCTTTTTTCTTCCCCTCACGATTTTCCCGCCTTTTTCCAGCACCTCACGATTTTCCCATTTTTATCCATCCATTTTCCGATTTTCCCATTTTTATCCATGACTTATCCCACCCATTCCTAATTTTCCCATTTTTATCCATCCATTCTTGATTTTCCCATTTTTATCCATCAATTTCCCATTTTCCCGCCTTTTTCCATCCCCTCACGATTTTCCCGCCTTTTTAATCCCCTCACAATTTTCCCGCTTTTTATCCCTCCCAATTTTATTTATCCCTTCACAATTTTATTTATTCCCTCAAAATTTCATTTATTCCCCTAAAAATTTTAATTATTCTCTCACAATTTTATTTATTCCCTCCCAATTTTATTCCCTAAAAATTTTATTTCCTGACACTTTTATTCCCTCACAATTTCATTTATTCCATCATGATTTTATTCCCTCAAAATGTTATTTATTCCCTCCCAAATTTATTTCCTCAAAATTTTATTTATTCCCCTCATAAGTTTATTTATTTCCCTCACAATTTTATTTATTCCCTCACAATTTTATTTATTCCCTCACAATTTTATTTATTCCCCCCAAATTTTATTTATTCCCCTCACAATTTTATTTATTCTCTTACAATTTATTTTCTTTATTCCTCTCACAATTTTATTTATTCCCTCACAATTTTATTCCTCAAAAATTTTATTTCCTGACAATTTTATTCCCTCACAATTTCGTTTATTCCCTCAAAATTTTATTTATTCTCTCACCATTTTATTTATTCCCCTCAGAATTTTATTTATTCCCTCATTTTATTCCCTCCCAATTTTATTTATCCTCTCCATATTTTATTAATTCCCTCACAATTTTATTTATTCCCCCAAATTTTACTTATCCCCTCACAATTTTATTGCCCCAAAATTTTAGTTATTCCCTCAAAATTTTACTTATCCCCTCACAATTTTATTGCCCAAAAATTCTATTTATTCCCTCAAAACTTTATGTATTTTATTCCCGATTTTTTTCCCTCACGATTTTATTTATTCCCCCCCGATTTGACTGATTGATTGATTGATTATTGATTGATTATTGATTGATTTTTCCCGGATTTCCGCAGGAGGAGGGGCTCAAACTGACCTTCCAAAATTTTATTTATTCCCCCAAAACTTAATGTTTTTTATTCCCGATTTTTTTCCCTCACGATTTTATTTATTTCCCCCCGATTTGACTGATTGATTGATTGATTATTTATTGATTATTGATTGATTTTTCCCGTATTTCCGCAGGAGGAGGGGCTCAAACTGACGTTCCAAAAGCATCGCCTGGGACCCAACGGGGCCCCGCGCCCGCCCGGCGCCCCCAAGAAAAGCAGCAAGAAACTGGTGGAGGTGCGGCCGTTTTGGGGCAAAAAACGCCCGGTTTGGGTTTTTGGGCCGTTTTGGGGTGAAAAACCCCCAATTTGGGCTGTTTTGGGGTGAAAAAACCCCAATTTGGGTCTGTGGGTGTTTTAGGGCAAAAAAAACCCAATTTGGGCCGTTTTGGGGTGAAAAAAAACCCAATTTGGGCCGTTTTGGGGCGAAAAAAGCCCAATTTGGATCTGTGGCCATTTTGGAGTGAAAAAACCCCAATTTAGGCCGTTTTGGGGTGAAAAAACCCCAATTTGGGTCTGCAGCCGTTTTGGGGTGAAAACGGCCAAAATTGAGGCGTTTTGGGGGTGGGGATGGGACCTGGGAAGGTCCAGGTGGGATTTTGGGGTTTTTTTTTACAAAATTTCGGGGTTTTTGGTCAGTTTTTGGGGTGTTTCGGGGTTTGTGCCAAAATTTGGGGTTTTTTTATCAGAATTTGGGGTTTCCTGTTGGAATTTGGGGGTTTTTCATCAGATTTTGGGGTTGTTTTTGGGTTTGTGCCAAAATTTGGGGTTTCCCAGCAGATTTTGGGGTTATTTTGGGTTTTGTACCCAGATTTTGGGAATTTCCCAGCAGATTTTGGGGTTTCCCAGCAGATTTTGGGTATTTTTGGGTTTTGTGCCCAGATTTGGGGATTTCCAAGCAGATTTTGGGGTTTCCCAGCAGATTTTGGGTATTTTTGGGTTTTCTGCCCAGATTTTGGGGATTTCCCAGCAGATTTTGGGGTTTCCCAGCAGATTTTGGGTATTTTTGGGTTTTCTGCCCAGATTTTGGGGATTTCCCAGCAGATTTTGGGTTTTTTTCAGTTTTCTGCCCAGATTTTGAGGTTTCCCAGCAGATTTTGGGTATTTTTGGGTTTTCTGCCCAAATTTGGGGATTTCCCAGCAGATTTTGGGTTTCCCAGCAGATTTTGGGATTATTTTGGGGTTTGTTCCCAAATTTGGGGATTTCCCAGCAGATTTTGGGGTTTCCTACCAATTTTTGGGAATTTCCCAGCAGATTTTGGGGTTTCTCAGCAGATTTTGGGTATTTTTGGGTTTTCTGCCCAGATTTGGGGATTTCCCAGCAGATTTTGGGTAGTTTTGGGTTTTCTGTCCGGATTTGGGGATTTCCAAGCAGATTTTGGGGTTTCCCAGCAGATTTTGGGATTTCCAACCAAAATTCGTGCATTTCCCACCTTATTTTTTTTTCCCCTTTTTTTATGGTTCTACACCCAAATTTGGGGTTGGGATTTTTTTTGGGGGGACCCCCCCCCAACCCCCCGAGTGGTTCAAATCACGGAAAACCCCCCAAAATCAGGAGATTTTGGGTTGCCGCCGTTTCGGCCCCGAATTTTGGGGTTTCGGCGCCGTTTCTGGGGATTTTTCCCAAAATCGGCGTTTTTTTCCCAAAATCGGCATTTTTCTCCCCAAGCTGGAGCTGCGCTGCCTCGAGGGGCTCCGGGACCCCCCGGGGGACCCTCCCCCGCCCCCCGAAATCGCCGATTCCCGGCTGCTCCCGGTGAGCCCCGAAATCGCCGGGATTCGCCCCAAAACCGCGTCGGGGCGGGGGGGAGCCCCAAAACCGCCCAAATTTACCCCAAAATTTTATTTTTTCCCCCCACAGTTCTCGGAGCAGCGGCGGGAGAAGTGGCACCGGAAAAAGGTGATTTGGGAAGGGGAAAAATTCACCAAAAATCCCCAAAATTCCCCAAAATTCACCAAAATTCCCTAAAATTTCCCAAAATTCACCAAAAATCCCCAAAATTCCCCCAAAATGGGGCTGGGGGCGGGGCCAGATCCTCCTCACGCCATTGGTCGGGGGGGATTTGGCTCCGCCCACCCGTTCTGGGCGTGGCCCGTGCGCCAAAATTTGGGTTTTTAAAATAATTGTGATTTAAATTAGTATTAAAATAAATAATTATTGAATTAATGCATATTTATTAATTATATAGTGATATATAAATAATTATTGGATTAACACATAGTATAGTAGTATATAATTATTAAATATAAATTTTCTAAATTAATATATAATTTATATGAATTTTTCCATTAATAATTTAATAATTTATAATTAAATAATTTTAATACCTATTTTTATTATTTATAATTGAATAACTTTAATAATTTAGTAATTTATAATGCGATGATTTCTATTAACAAATTAATACGTTATGATTTTATAATTTTAATTAAAACTTCCTTTCTAAATTCAACAATTTTAATAATAATTCAATAGTCTATAATTTCATACTTTTAAATAATGTAATGATTTATAACCTAGTCTTTTTTGTTAACAATTTATTAATTTTAAATTTAATATTTTTCAATACCAATTTATAATTTGTATATTATTATTATAATTTTTATTATATAATTATATTTTATATTTTATATTTTATAATTATATATTTTATATTTTATATTTATGTATTTATAATTTATTTTATATTTATATATTTATAATTTATTAATTACTATTATTAGAAATTAGTCTTTTTAATTATAGAATATTTTTATAATTTAATCATTTTAATCAATGATAATTTATAATTTAATAACTTTGAATAATAATGTAAAAATTTATTATTATTTTTTAGTAATAATTTATTAAATCACGATTTAATATTTAAATTAATAATTCATTACTTTATGAATTAGTAATTTTAATTAACAATTTAACAATTTAACGATCCGTGAATTAACAATTTTAATTCCTAATTAATTAATTTATTCCCCCAGTTCCTCCCCGCCCCGCCCCCACCCCTGGACCTCTCCAAGATGGCGGCGCTGATGGGGGGCGGAGCCTCACCCTCGCTGGCCCCGCCCCACTTCCGGCCGGAACAGGAAGAGGAAGAGGAGGAAACAGGAAGTGGGCGCTGCCCCCTGCTGGCCGACCCCATGATGGCGCCCGCCTCCGACTCGGATTAGGCCCCGCCCCTTTCCCGGGCCCCGCCCCCTCATGAATATTTATATAAATATGTAAAGTGTCTCTGTGTCATAGGGGCGGGGCTTGGCGGGGCCGGGTGGGCGGGGCCAGAGGGGTGGGCGGGGCCAAAGGGGGAGGTTTGGTTTTTTTGTTTTTTTTTTTTTAATAAAAGGTTTGGAAATGGAGCTGTGTGTTGAGTTAATTAATTAATTATCCCGCTAATTAATGTCCTAATTAACCCCTCACTGGTGTCCCGGCGTTCGTCCCGCCCCTTGATAGACACCCTTATTAATTAATTAATTAATTGATTAATGGGTAATTAACTATCCCCACAGTCACGTCTCCCCCTCACGATTTTCCTGCTTTGCTTTATTTTTTTTTTATTATTTTTTTGGGGTTTTTTTTTAGGTTTTTGGGGTTTTTTAAAAATTTCAGAGTTTTTTTTGTTTTATTTTTTTCTAGTTTTTTCTTTTTATGTTTTTTTTTCTTGTTTTTTTCAAGGTTTTTTTTTCTGCTTGCTGGTTGGTTTTTTTTGTTTTTTTTTTTTTAGTATATTTTTGGTTAGTTTTTTTCAGGGTTATTTTGTTTTTTCTCATATTTTTAAATATTTTGGGTTTTTTCTGGTTTTTTTTGGATTTTTTTAATTTTTTTGGGGGTTCTTTTGTTTTTTCTAATATTTTTTAATATTTTTGGGTTTTTTTGTTTTTGTTGTTAGGGCTTTTTTTGTTAAGTTTTTTTCAGGGTTCCTTTTTTCTTTCTCATATTTTTAAATATTTTTTGGGGGTTTTTTGGGGTTTTTTTAGGGGTTTTTTGTTACTTTTTTTCAGGGTTCTTTTGCTTTTTTCTCATATTTAAAATATTTTTTGGGTTTTTTTAGGGTTTTTTTTACGTGAGTTTTTTTCAGGGTTCTTTTGTTTTTTCTCATATTTTTAAATATTTTTTGGGTTTTTTTATAGGGTTTTATTTCGTAAGTTTTTTCAGGGTTCTTTTGTTTTTTCTTATATTTTTAAATATTTTTGGGGTTTTTTTGGGTTTTTTTGGTTAGTTTTTTTTTGTTAGTTGTTTTCAAGGTTCTTTTGTTTTTTCTCGTATTTTTAAATATTTCTGGGATTTTTGTGGGGTTTTTTTTGTTAGGGTTTTTTGCTTAGATTTTTTCAGGCTTCTTTTGCTTTTTCTCATATTTTAAAATATTTTTTGGGTTTTTTTGGTTTTTTTTAGGGGTTTATTTGTTAGCTTTTTTTAGGGTTCTTTTATTTTTTCTCATACTTTTAACTATTTTTAGGGTTTTTTTTTCCTTTTTTTATTATTTTGGGAGTTTAAAAAATTTTTTTCCTTTTTTTTTGTTTCTTTTTCATTTTTTTCTTTTTTTTTTTTGTGAGCCTTTTGTTCGTTTGTATTTTTTTAATTTATTTTATTTTTTTCGGTATTTTTTGCCGTATTTTCTGTATTTTTTGCCTCTCCCCTCCTTCCGCATCACGTGACCCCTTTTGGCCCCGCCCCTTTCCCCTCAGGAGCGGTCACGTGACGCCGGCGCCTCACGCGCCATTTCCCGCCTCTCCTCCATCACGTGACCTTCCGCGAACCGTTTCATTTCCGTTTATTTTCCCTCCCCCCGCACCGATTTTCCCCATTTTTTTTCCCTTTTTCACCTCATTTTTAATATTTTCATTCCTCCCCCTCCCCTCGCCCCTTTCCCCTCCCCCACCGCCGCTTTCCCCTCCCTCCCCCTCCTCCTCCGCCTCCTCCCGCCCTTTTCGCGCCCACCGGAAGCGGAAGTCGCCTCAGGCGGCGCTTCCGGCGGGCGCCGCGGCGCGGCAGGGGCGGGAGCGGCGGCGGCGGCGGCGGAGGAAGAGGAGGAAGAGGAGGAGGAGGAGGAGGAAGAAGAGGAGGTGTGAGGGGAGGAAGGTCCCTCCCCGCCCGGCGATTCCCCCCTCAGGCTCCCGGCGGGGCCGCGGCCGGGCCGGCTGATGGCGCTGAGCCTGGACCGCGAGGCCTTCGCGCGGCGGCTGCGGCGGCTCTACGCCAGCTGGCAGGTGGGGGAGGGGATGGGGGGCGGCTGAGGGGGATTTGGGGTGCTTGAGGGGAATTTGGGGTGAATTTGGGAAATCTGAGGGAAATCTGTGGGGGCTGAGAGAAATTTGGGGTAAATTTGGGAAATCTGGGGAGCATGAGGGGAATTTGTGGGTCCTGAGGGGGATTTGGGGGGGCTGAGGGAAATTTGGGGGGGATTTGGGAGATCTGAGGGAAATCTGGGGTGGCTGAGGGGAATTTGTGGGGCCTGAGGGGGATTTGGGAGCACTGAGGGAAATTTGTGGGGCCTGAGGGGAATTTGGGGTGGATTTGGAAGATCTGAGGGAAATCTGAGGGGCCTGAGGTGGATTTGGGGGGCCTGAGAGGAATTTGGGGTGAATTTGGGAAATCTAAGGGGCCTGAGGTGGATTTGGGGGGCCTGAGGGGGATTTGGGGGGGCTGAGAGAAATTTGGGGTGAATTTTGGAGATCTGAGGGGAATTTGTGGGGCCTGAGGGGGATTTGTGGGGGCTGAGAGAAATTTGGGGTGGATTTGGGAAATCTGAGGGAAATCTGGGGGGGCTGAGGGGAATTTGGGGGGGCTGAGGGGAATTTGGGCTGGATTTGGGAAATCTGAGGGGGCTGAGGGGAATTTGTGGGTCCTGAGGGGGATTTGGGAGCTCTGAGGGAAATTTGGGGTAGATTTGGGAAATCTGAGGGGAATTTGTGGGTCCTGAGGGGAATTTGTGGGGCCTGAGAGGAATTTGGGGTGGAGTTGGGAAATCTGAGGGGCCTGAGGTGGATTTGGGGGTCCTGAGGGGGATTTGGGGTAAATTTGGGAGATCTGAGGCAAATCTGGGGGGGCTGAGGTGGATTTGGGGGGGCTGAGGGGGATTTGGGGAGTTTTAGAGGAATTTGGGGTGGATTTGGGAGATCTGAGGAAAATCTGAGGGGAATTTGTGGGGCCTGAGGGGAATTTGGGGCTGATTTGGGAAATCTGAGGGGGCTGAGGGGAATTTGTGGGGCCTGAGGGGGATTTGTGGGGCCTGAGGGGAATTTGGGGTGAATTTGGCAGATCTGAGGGAAATCTGGGGGGGCTGAGGGGAATTTGTGGGGCCTGAGGGAAATTTGGGGTGGATTTGGGAGATCTGAGGGAAATCTGGGGGGGCTGAGGGGAATTTGGGGTGAATTTGGGAGATCTGAGGGAAATTTGGGGGTCCTGAGGGGAATTTTTGGGGGTCCTGAGGGGAATTTGGGGTGGATTTGGGAAATCTGAGGGGGCTGAGGGGAATTTAGGGGTCCTGAGGGGGATTTGGGGGATCTGAGGGAAATCTGGGGAAGCTGAGGGGAATTTGGAGGGGTCTGAGGGAAATTTGGGGTGAATTTTGGAGATCTGAGGGGAATTTAGGGGTCCTGAGGGGAATTTGTGGGGCCTGAGGGGGATTTGGGGGAGCTGAGAGAAATTTGGGGTGGATTTGGGAGATCTGAGGGAAATCTGGGGGGGCTGAGGGGAATTTTTGGGGCCTGAGGGGGATTTGGGGAGTTTTAGGGGAATTTGGAGGTTTTATGGGAAATTTGGGGGGAGGGCTGAGGGAAATTGGGGAATTTTGGGTAAATTTGGGGGGGTTTTAGGGGAATTTCAGCTAAATTTGGCTGTGCTGAGGTGAATTTTGGGAATTTGGGGAGAATTTGGAGGGTTTGAAGTAAAAATGGGGGATTTGAGGGAAATTTGGGGGGTTGAGGAGAATTTGGGGAGTTGAGGAGAATTTGGGGGAGTTTGGGGTACATTTGAAGGGCTTTAGGGAAATTTGGGGGGGGTTGAGGGGAATTTGGGGTAAAGTTGAAGAGTTTTGGGTAAATTTGGGGGATTTGAGGGGAATTTGGGGTAAAGTTGAAGAGTTTTGGGTAAATTTGGGGGATTTGAGGGGAATTTGGGGTTGCTGTAGGACATTGTTTTGGGGTAAATTTGGGTGAATTTGGAGCTTTTGTAGGGGATATTTTGGGGTGATTTTGGGTGAATTCAGGGTTGCTGCAGGGGAATTTTTGGGGTAAATTTGGGGCTTCTGCAGGGGAATATTTTGGGGTAAATTTGGGTAAATTCGGGGTTGTTGCAGGGATATTTTGGGGTGAATTCAGGGTTGCTGCAGGGATAATTTTGGGGTGAATTTGGGTGATTTTGGGTCTCCTGTCCCCCAGAAAGGCGAGGATGAGTTCGGCGGCGTCGATGTCAGGGAATATTTTGGGGTGAATTTGGGTAAATTCGGGGTTGTTGCAGGGGAATATTTTGGGGTGAATTCAGGGTTGCTGCAGGGATAATTTTGGGGTGAATTTGGCTGATTTTGGGTCTCCTGCCCCCCAGAAAGGCGAGGATGAGTTCGGCGGCGTCGACGCCATCGTGGTGGCCGTGGGCGTGGATGAGGAGATCGTCTACGCCAAATCCACGGCGCTGCAGGTGGGCAAAAAAACCGGAAAAAACCCAAAAATCTGGGGAGAAAATACCGAAATCTGGGAAAAACCCCAAAATCCTGAGGAAAACCCCGAAATTCCTGAGAAAAACCTCAAAAATCTGGGTGAAAAATACTGAAATACAGGGAAAAAAACCAAAATCTTGAAGAAAACCCCGAAATTCCTGAGAAAAACCTCAAAGATCTGAGTGAAAAATCGTGAAATCCTGGGAAAAACCCAAATCCTGAGGAAAACCCAGAAATTCCTGAGAGAAACCCCAAAAATCTGGGTGAAAAATACTGAAATCCTGGGGGAAAAAAGCAAAATCATGAGGAAAACCCCAAAATCTGTGTGAAAAATACTGAAATCCTGGGAAAAAAAACAAAATCCTGAAGAAAAGCCTGAAATTCCTGAGAAAAACACCAAAATTTTTTTTTGAAAATCCCAAAATCCTGGGAAAAACCTCAAAATCTGGGTGAAAAATCCCAAAATCAGTGTGAAAAACCCCAAAAATCTGGGTGAAAAATCATAAAATCCTGAAATTCTGGAGAAAAAAAAAGCAAAAACATGAGGAAAATCCCAAAATCTGGGTGAAAAATCCCGAAATCCTGGGAAAAAAACCCAAATCCTGAGGAAAACCTCAAAATTTGTGAGAAAAAGCCCAAAAATCTGGGTGAAAAATCCTGAAATCCTTGGGGGGAAAAAGCAAAATCATGAGGAAAATCCCAAAA